GGTTCTTTAGTTAGGATGGGGAAGTGTACTAGTGTTATTTATTGTAAATATAGTACCAATCCGAGTGTTTTGGCTAATTCTATTTTTATGGGTTAGTTTTAAAGTTCCTGGGAATTGACTTACAGATAAACCGAGCCCTGCGGAGCTGTTTCTTTATTGAAATTTCTTAATTTGTCTAGGTGTAATTCTGTGTAGCGTTGTTTAATTTGGATTTAAACTTGAATTTAATCTTCTACTTGGTGAAGTTTCAAAGATTCTATTCAGTTAATGAATTTGGATTGTGTCTGGAGTGTCCCTTGGGTTTGTTTTATTTTTGTCTTATTTTATTGCTTGTTTTAACAGTAGCAAGATAACTGTTTTGTGTTTACACTTTGAAATCTGGAGTGTTAACCAGCTCTCCTGTTGAAATATCTACTTAATATTTCTCTCCTTAATTGCTGCCTTTTACTACAGTGGCAATCTTAACTGTATATCACTTTTTCGCACTGGAGTGACAACCAGAAATGCTTGAGAAAAATAATACTCTATTTTCTTACTTCTCTAAGGGGGGCGAAAAGTTGCAGAAAGGGTCTCCCTTTTATACTCCTTGGGTCACCTTCCTTTTTCACGCTCTACCTTCTATTTACAGGATTTATTTACAGTGTATTTTTCTCAAACTGAATAAAAAATGAAATTTTCACGCTATAGTTCTACTGCACTTTTGCTGCGCTGAACTGCGGTTCTACTACGGACAGACTGCGCCTAGAATCCTTATTGTCCTCCCTCGCCTAAGCTATTTTAATGGTTAATTAGAACTTGGCTGCGCTGTATTTGTCGCAGTTACCTATTTCAAATTCTATATATATACCATTAAATTTGCTATGACTCGATGATTCTGAATTCAAACTTCGCATTACTATGCGTACGGCTGTGCTGAGACCTTCAGCTGATTTATTCCAATTTTATTTAGTGACATTTAGTTAAAATGAGACTGAAATGGTAAATGAGTGGATTATTCAGGTTTAAAACTGAAAGAAAAAGTTGCTAGTAGTCAAGAATTACTCAAACAAATGTGTTATAGCTCTCCACTTTATTAGAACATCGTTCCCTAAAATTCCCGCCATGGTCCGTCGTAGTTTAGTGGTTTTCGTGAATTTCGTTCATATTCCCTGACTCCCCTTTGTGTTATCACATCCTAATCCTCCATATGTATTGTTCGTTGTTATAGTAGGTCGTCCTTGAAGATATCATATTTTTATGTATTTTATTTAGGACTCTGGACCTCTTGAAGCTGTCTTCCCACGCGTTTTCAGGTTTCTAACTTCATGTCCTTGTATCTCATTCATTTCTGGATGTTTTCTCACGTTCTTGGTATCATAAATTTTCATTTATTCCCACCTTTCCAATGGTACTAAGGTTGTGTCCTATTTCCTGGTATTCGTTGAGTTAGCAAAGGTTCGCGCACACATTTGGTAATCACGTGCATCATTCCCATAGTCATTCGTATGCGGGCGCCATTTTCGTTTAATTGTTCGGGATTTATGATATGCGCGGGTGTTTATTTCTTTCATATGGGCTTCTGTGATTTATTTCAGATTTTTCCCTCATTGTCACGACCCGACATATCCGACACTTCCCTCTACACGTCCTAGTGCCACTTGGCCCGTCCCTCCCGCTATCATCATCATCCGTCCACCCATCCGTCCACCCGTCACCCTCATCCGCACTTCCTCCCTCGCGCGCGTACCTTCCAACCTAGGTTGCCCGCTTCATTGTTGTCCACCCCCAGCCGGACAGCTTGCTAGACGGCCGGATGGCCTTTTCTCTTTTGTCTGCTTGCGGACTATTGTTCCTCCTATTGTTCCTTGCTTGCCTTTTGTTGACCAAGTTTGCCGATATTGATTATTTGTTCCTTTCTTCATTCATTAATATCGCGCTTGATCCGCCACTCCTTCCGGGCCGGTCTCATTTAGTTACTTGTGTTAGAACAGGCGGAAACGGACGACTCCGGAGTGGAATCGGAGACTTAGCGTGGAGGGACCTTGGCCTCAGCGACTCAAGCGGAGCGCTGTGCCATTGCTGTTTGTCCATTTGGTCCTTAATTTCACAGTAGGTGAGCAGGAAGTCTCTTGGGGGCATTTCAGGTTGATTTCGGACTAAACCAAAACGAGTATGTACAAGCGCCGATATATATAATGGAAGGGGCAAAAGCACAAGGAGGACAAAGGGTAACCGAATCGGAACGAAGATGTCCGAACGGGAACAAAGGGTAGAAGAAGCGGAGAGGTACCGAAGGTCATAAGGCAGGACCTGTGATACATCCGAAAGGAGGTAGGGAGGGCGAGGCCCAGAGGGGCAGGAGGATGAGGGGAAGTGGGGATGATGACTAACTGGCTGGAATAGAAAGAAGCAGTAGTCCAAATAGGGATGAGGGGAAAACGCGAGAAATACATTACAAGCGGCGAGAGGGCCGAAGGTGATCCGTGAAGCTCGGGGGTTGCGGAGCTTACGGAGGTTACGGAGGCGGGGTTGAAAGTCCGAGGGATATTGGCAATGGTGTTTATGTAGTATGAGGTCACCAATGCAATGGACTAAGGCCGAGGTGGAGTCGAAGTCCGAGGTAGGGACTATGACGGAGGCTCGGAGTAAGGTACGAGCGGTGTCCGAGTGCGAAGTACGGAACAACGGTGGAAGGTCGTAACTTGGCGGAAGGGTGGCGGAGGAGTAGCAGAGGGAGGAGAGAGGGGAAAAGTAAGGGAGAAGGAGTGGCGGAAAGAAGAGTAGTCAGGTCTGAAGGTGAGTATCGGAGCGGACGGAGATAGGGTCGGGGAGGTAAGGAGGAGGTGTGTTGCCAGGACCGAAGGTGAGTATCGGAACGGCAGCGGTAGGTTATTTTTTTTTTTTTTTTTTTTTTTTTTTTTTTTTGGTGGAACCTTCTGTAGCTTTCGCGGGCTTGAGTGCCTGAAGGTTTGTGGGGAAGGGCTAGGCCTTCCTATCGGTGTATCTAGTGCCTATATGATGGGAATTGCCACCGCGGGGAAATGCGTTATCGCACTGGCGAAATCATTATCGCACCGTGTGGGGCTCACGCGACCGTGGGGGTCGGGTATACCCACTAAAACCCCGTTGCATTTCAGCCAATTCTCAGGGAAGCACGCTTCGTTTTCGATAACGCCGCTCCATGTGTGTAGGACGAGCCATCCAGGGAGGGCTTTGTTATGATACTTTCTTCTGTTCGTGAGGTGTTTGTCTTGGCACAGCTTATCGTTCATGGCAGCTTTAAGCTTGTTAACGGCTTCGTTCAGTGAGATTCTTTCCGTGTTGTCTCCTAGGATTCTTTTACACCTTAGTTTCCATATCTGCCAGGCGCATTCGAGTACGGTTATCATGAAAAATCTAGATGCGCCGAGTTTTACGGAGCCGTTTCTCTTTTTGATCGATATCAGGGGGGCTGCCATCACGTGGTGTATTCCTATGTTGGCGGGCCAGTTGATGCCTTTCGCTGTGCACATGTCTTCGACAGCGGCCCAGAGATTTGGGCCTTGGTTGTGTGGGCACTCGAAAATGATGTGGTTCATCGATTCAGTAGTCCCGCATTTCAGGCACTGACCACGGTCCTCGTAACCCGGGATTTTGCTCCAGTAGAGACCGTCTTTGTGGGCGCCGTGGACCAGTTTCCATACAAAGTTTCTTAGGCTGGGGTTCAGTTCTTTCTTGTTCTTTAGGATGGCGAGCCAGATTCTGCTGTCATTGGGGGCAGGGCAGTCCATGTTTTGACAGCGGTAGGTTATGACTCCGGAGGTGAAGAGGGTGGAGGTCCGGAAGTCGGGTCGGGGTCGGGTATGCACGGATATGACAACTTGTGTTTATAACACATGTAGGTTACACCGGATGTACCTCAGTTCGTATATTGACTTGGATTCCCCCTCTAAACTCTTATCCTCATCGTAAGGCTTCTGTCTGAAATTGGGACACCAACGTAAGAATGAAGCGCAGCGCTCCACCCGAGTCGCTGAAGCTAAAGTCCCGCCCCTCCGACCTTACGAGCCCAGACGACCTCGCACGCCTCGCGGGTCACCTGGATACACTTCTGACACGTTCCTGACACTCATGATCTAAGGTTGTTTTGCACTTTCTGTGCTTTGTTTTGACTGGGGTCTTCCTTATTTGGACGGAAATTGGTCTTCGCGATCTGCTGAAGTGCGGATCTCGGTTCCAACGGCCGGTTCCCTGCACATCGCCACCCTCACATGTCATTATACATGATGCGGATTTCTATATTCCCGTCATGGGTATAACTTCACAACGGCTGGACCGTTTGGGCTGAAAATTTGCATAACTATAGTTCCCCATTTTTCATAATTTCCGTGTAAATTTCGTTGTATGTTTTAATTATGGATCCTACGCAAACATCGTCTTTTTCCTGAGCTCGGACTTTTGATGTCGCTATTCCCATTATTGGATATCTCATTAACGCATGATCCTTTTATTATGAAAATTTGGGAGGATTAAGATTATATCCCTTCCTTTCTAATGGGCTATCAAGCTTGTCTCGGTCGTTACTGGTTAATCTTCGCGCTTGCCTTTTAGACATTGTCCTCATTTTTGCAGGAGTTTTAGTCATATCTCCATCGTTTATGGGTAGTTTCCCCTGTAATTACTCTCATTGGGTCCGTTTGGGGGACATCTACATTTCCTATTATAGACACGACTTTGAATTTTGCATTAGTTCCTGAGGAATCCTTGTTCCGTGGTACTTCCATCCTTGGCTACATGTGCGGACGTGGGAAAGTAGTTTCCGTGGAGGTTCTCTGATTGTTTTTATAGTCAAATCTTGGTTGATTGTCCTAATTCTTGATTTAATATTTGCTATAAATTCCCCCGAGAATTCCATCTCGTTGATGGTAAGCTTGAAGTATTTCTGCTATTTTTCTTTCTTTCAATTTATCGTGTATAGTCATAATAATTCGTAAAAGTTCGTAAAAATTCGTTAAAATTCAGGTCCTTCTATTTTCTCATATCTACTTGTCGTATGAGGTTTTGTGATTTATCTGGCATATTTCCATAATGGGTTTCCATAGTGTGACCGTTATTTCTCCTACAGCGTGCTCGATTGCGATGCCCATAATCCTCTCCCCTTTATGAATAGATTCAGGGAGGACAAGTTGTGGTTTGCCTGAATCATTCAGACGAAAAATTAGGCCATCGACGATTGAGAACTTAGGGAAATCCTCAGGTTTTGCGAGGATCCCTTTCCAAGCAGTGTGCTTGGAGTAGCCATCTTTCACACTCGTGATGAAAGCCTTGTCCTCTACATGAGGACGTAGTTCTGCCAATGGCAGCAGTACATCTTCGAGGGAAAGCTCCCTCCTCCCTTGATGATCGTCAGGGGGATCGAGCTTGGATGCCTCGAGATCTCATGGCTCCTGAGCGTCTCCAATAGAGTGAGACGCACCCAGGCGTATGCACTGCAGTTTTAACCTGTGCAGGTGTAATAATTCTCGTGCTTCTTCAGCACATGCCAAGGGCAGGTCGTCGCCCTCTTTATCAATCCGTATATCTGCAGATATGTAATCGTCGTAGTGGACATCCTTGTCTGACGAGGATTCATAGTATTGCGACAGGGCATCAGCCACTTTGTTTGTGTGGCCCTGTACATACACGATGTTGTCAAAAACCCGTCGGTTATGGAAGAGGGGGTAAATGCGTGAGTCCGAATGCAGGCGGGGCTCAACTAGAGGGGGGTCCGAGGGCTCCGGTAGTGAACTGAAGCTTCTCAGGGAGCCCGGTTCTGCTGGATGGTACAAGAGGCTCTAAGAAGGACGTGGCCTCAGCGACTCGGAGGGAGCACTGTGCCTCCGTTACGTCTCAGTTAGTCCTTGTATTTCTTATGTCTGAGGTGTCTTGTAGAACAGGGACAGGATTCACTCAGAGGGACTTTGGGTGGCATTTTAGTCGAGATTAGAACTGAGGAACTACAGGTTCTAATCTACGTGTATTTATTGAAGGAGGATGGGGAGGACTTTAGTCAAAACCCGAAATGACAAAATGGGGAAAACACCGAAAGGTACTGAATGATACCGAGAGGTACCGAAAGGTTCCGAACGATATCTAAAACGGGGAACCGAGGTGTCGGGCCAAGGAGGGCGGAGTTGGAGGCCGGAAAATGAATGGGGAAGACAAATGGATAAAGGGGGTTAGCCGACTGAATGGTAGTAAGAAGGTAGTCGTGCTAAGAATGGGAGATGACTAATAAGTGATAACGTGAGGGAGATCACCGAAGGATGCAGGTAGCTCCGAAAGCGGAGTTGCGTATCCGAAGGATGTTGGGTGACTCAAATAAATGAAATGGGTGGAGGAAGGGTTTAAGGGCATGTCACGGGATGTCGGAGGTCCGTCAGGATATCGGAGCAAATCCGGGATCTCCGAATGTTCCGACTCGGGACCGAGGTTCCGGGATGGGAGTGGCCAAGGTTTGGTGTGCCGCAACCAGACCGGAGCTGAGACAGTCAGGAGGGAAGGTGACTTGGAGAGTGGGGAGGCAAGGTGTAGGGGATGGTGAAGTTGTTAGGAAGGTGTGATGTGGTGGGAGTGCGCGGGGTCGGGATTCCGGGATATGACAGATGTCACAATTAAAATCGTGAAAGAAATTTTGCCAATGAATGTGACACGGTGCAGTGTGATTCTTCTCTTTGAAGTAAGTAAGCACCTTGTGGTCAGTGACCACAGTCAATTTTCGCCCACCAGTCAGCTCATCAAGCCATTTGGTGAGCACTTCCAGAACACCTAGAGCTTCCAGCTCATAGGTGAAATATGCCCATTGAGTCGGGGTGAATTTCTTCGACATAAATGCAGCAGGGTTAGAGGTTTGCCATTCCTCACCCTGTGCGAGCACAGCCCTGACGCCAGTGGGGCAGGCGTCAGTGATCACCCAGACACGGTACTTCTTTCAGTCTTCTGAACCAATTGAATCTGGTATATCCCAGATTATGGGCTTTAGAATCGGCATCTTGCATGCAATTACTTTGATTTGCGTGAAACATTTTTCGTGTAGGGCGCTCCAGTGGAACGGCATATGGTTGGTACATATGGATTGCAATGGTCCAGTGTATGCACTGACGTTGGGCAGGAATTTTGCTAGGTACTCAATGAGACCTAGGAATCGAAGAACCTCGGTGTGGTTCTCTGGCGTCTGCCAGTTTCTTATTTGTTGGAATCTGCATGGATTTTACACCCCAGTATGTCGAGTATGGGGGCGAATGGCTCAAATTTTCTTGGGCTCACATAGAGCTTCTCATCCTTTAGATGAGTATATATCCACAAGAATTTCTCGTTGTGTTGCTTCACTGTCATAGTTCCAGTGAAGATGTTGTCGAACCATATGTGGATGGCTTGACCGATTTGGTCCCTTAGGATCCAAGTCAAAACGCGCTGGAATGTGGAAGGGCCATTACAGTCCCCTTGTTGCAGCACGTTCGATATGAAAGTACCGTACAGGGTACTCATCCCCATGTATTGTACACAGTCTAGTTCAATACGAATCTGTTTGTATGCGTCCATCATATCGATTTTTGATCAATAAGTTACCCGAGCCATACTATCCATGATGAAACACATGTCAGGCATGGGCATGACATCGAGAATAGAGTTCGCGTTGCGATTTCTCGCATCGATTACAGTCCGTAAAGAACCATCCTTCTTTGCAAGACAAAGAAGTGGAGCAGCCATTGCGACTACCTTATGTTCCCACCACTTGGCTCGCTCATAACAAGCAATCTTTTCTCAAAGCTGCAGTTCGAGGGCTTGAGGGCACATAGCCCTTCTTTCTATATATTTTTTATTCGGATCAATCAAGTTGATCTGGTGGTTAACCTCCCTGAATGGAGGTAGGACCTCAGGGGCTGGTGCCATGACATCCTTGAAACGTTCATGCCACCAATTCCTGAGTGGCACAAATTCAGGGTCTGTCATTGGCAGCCCTTCTAAATGGGAACAGTCAGGAAGCCTGAGGTCTTTCGACCTCGGGCTTGGCCAGTGATTGGGCCACTGGGAGGTATCTGCATCTTTTTGAGCAGACATGGCAAGGACACGTGGTGAAGGGTTTTCAGCCTTCGCCGTATTGCATCATGCCATCTGTTTAGATGGCAGTTTGGATCTCGGTGCACGGGGAAGTTTGGGGCGACCACGTGCAGCAGCCCCCACAGAGGTTTTACCCCGTTCCGTTAGGACATCAAATGTTTTGATGTCGCCCATCTTTATGTGGACGGTGTGAGTTTCAAATTGAGGGACGCTCCATCGGCATTCAGCCAAGGAGCTCCAAGAATGGCATCGTAGCTGTTACAGGAATGGGTTCCGGGGAACCCAACCTGAACCGTTCAGCTCACTAATGGAGGTGGCTGTATAGCCATCGGAGGGAGAGCGGAATGGGATGAGTGTCTGGAAGTACAACCTGCAGGTTGGCCAACGGTAACTTGGCACTTGTCATATCCATCCCCAGCCATCGACTCCCGGTCCCTCCGATCCCTCCAGTCTAACTCCGCTCCTCCCTCACTAACCTCGGAGCTCCCGTATTCCGCAATCCTCTCGGTACCCCTCGATGGTCACCACCCCCTCATTTCAATTTATTACCTACGCCTCCCTAAGTATGGAGCCCCGAAGACTTCCGGACAGCTCCAACGTCCACTAGCACACTCCCGCCTCCGCTGGGCAATACACTCACCTGCCCTGCAGAGCCCACCTTCGGACCTATCCCTCCTTTCCATTTCTGGGTTATCGCCTGCCTTTCCGCTAACCCCGTGACCCGACTCGTCGGTAATATTCAGTCAGCTAATGTTTAACCCCGTTAGCTCCGCTCCGTTCGGCTCTGCCAATTGCGGACCCATCTTCGCTGTAACCATATATATATCCCACTTGTACATAGGTTACACTCCAGTAATAAAATCAACTAGAGTTACCCCCCCCTTCGGTTCTGATTGCCAGTCAGTAAGTTAGGGCACGGACATGTCACTAGGCACAGCGCTCTTGGCATAAGTCGCTGGGGCCAAAGCCCTCCGCTACGGAGACTCTCCCTCGTCTTGAATCTGGTCTCTGACAGTATTTTATTACTCCCTGACTAGTACACGTCTTGTATGGCACCAAAAGTCCTTCGCACTCGTTCGCAACTATGCACATTAGTTCCCAACTCCGCTTCACCTTCCCCAGAACCCTCTCAGCCTGGCCCTAGTCGATTGGCGAGAAACCCAGTTGAGTTTCGAAGTTTTTCTAACCTTGAAACCCCTCTCCCATCGACTCCGATCATGCGCCCCGTTAGGAATCGATCACCAGTTGCAGACTCCGACTTCGGAGACACCACGGAACAACCCATAGATCCCGTCCACTTCTTTGGACTCGGTTCCGAGGTCCCCGACTTTGTCGATCCTCCTCCTGCTGATCCTCCCATCCCCACTGTCCCAACCACTGACGATGCCGAACCCACCTCCAACGTGGCTATTGCACAATTGGCCCAAGCCATTGCCAGTCTGGCTCGTCACACCGGACGACGACAACGACGACCATCTTCTGCTCTCCGGACCAAGGTCCGTGAACCCGAACAGTTCGACGGAAAGGATCCCCGAGAACTCCGAGTATTCTTGGTCCAATGCGAGCTCAATTTCCAGGACCATCCCCTCGCTTTTGCTAGCGACTGCGCTAAAGTCATATTTGCGCAGTCCTACCTCAAGGGAATGGCCCTCGATTGGTTCGAGCCGGACCTGTTATTCGACCAGAATTCCACGCTTCATCCACGATGGATGAACGACTATCAAGAGTTCGTTAATGAACTTCAAACTAACTTCGGCCCTCACGATCCTGTGGGCGACGCCGAGGTTCAACTGATGACCCTGGACATGAAGGACGGGCACCACATCAATAAATACGTTGTCGAGTTCAATTGACACGCCTCTCAACTTCACGGTTACGGAGAAGCCGCGCTTCGTCGTTTCTTCTACAACAGATTGCCGGAACGTATCAAGGACGATATTGCTAGAGTAGGTAAACCCTCTACTCTCTCTGAACTTCGCACCCTGTCCCAAACTCTCGATGCTCGCTATTGGGAGCGTAAATCGGAAGTTACACGTCACGCGAAACCCTCTTCCTCTAACGTTTTCGACAAGTCCACCGCCGCTTCTCGTTCCGACCCCGTCCCTTCCTCCTCCTCTTTCAACTCCGCTTCCGGTAGTAGGCCTCCGAAGGACAATAAGAAGTCCGAGGCCAGCTCCGTTAAACCGGACCTCTCGTCTAAACTCGGAGACAACGGTAAGCTCACGCCACAAGAGCGTAAGTGTCATCTCGACGAGAAACTTTGTATGTTCTGCGGTCAGTCTGGCCACATGGTCAAAGACTGTCCCAAGTCTTCTTCTCGCGCATCTAAGGCCTGTTCGGCCCAGACCGAGGAGCAAGGATCCGCTTCCGCAGAAGCAAAAAATTAGTCCGCACCCCCGTGGACTCTGCACGGACCAGGGGTTGCGATCCTTCCTTCCGTGCGCTCAAAGAAGTGCGTTTAAACGCATCTTCCATTTCCGACTTATCCTCCCTCCACATTCCCGTTTCCTTTCTCTTTCAAATGGTCTACTTTCTCCTCTCAATGTTGACCCTTCGGTTAATGTTCTACCCGTTGTAGATAGTGTTGCTGATGTACCACTCTCTCCTCCGCCCCCTCCGACTACTCCCATAGATCGATCCACCTCTCTCCACTTCTCTTCTTTTTCTCCTCCTGTTCCTCCTCCGTCCAATATTAGGACACAAAATAAACTTTTCCGCTCCTATGAGAACGTACCCGCACTCGTAGATTCTGGGTCTTCGGACTGCTTCATCGACGACACATTCGTAAAAAAGTTGGCCTTGAAGACATACCAGATTAAACCCCTACAACTACGCCTATTCGACGGTAGCACCAACTCAATCATAACCCGTGCCGTTGATATCCCCCTCCACTTCGCTTCCGGAAACATCACCCCCACGACTTTCTTTGTCACATCGCTGGATGGATCATGTTCCCTAGTCCTAGGACACAACTGGCTTACCCGCTACAATCCGTTGATTGACTGGGTCTCAAGCAGTATTACGTTCCGAACTTCCGAACCTACCAAGACAGTTACTCCGAGCTCTCCCCTGTCGTCTCCGGCACCACCGCTGTCGTCCGACATCCAACCATCTGATGTTTCGCCAGCACCTCAGTCACAGGCTGTTACTCCTCCGTTACCATCTATCGAGTTCGTCAGCTGTTCCGCATTCGCGAAGGCTTGCCGACTTGAAGGATCGGTATCCTTCAGCCTAACCATCCCTTCCGAGGAAAGCCGCTTGAGGGCTGCCTCATCCCACACCGATTCTGTCGACCTCTCGGCCGTTCCGAAGGAGTATCACGAGTTCACGGATGTGTTCAGTAAGAGCAAAGCCTCGATGCTGGCACCGCACCGTGAGCACGACCTAAAGATCGACCTTGAGGAAGGCACCTCCCCACCCTTGGGTACCATATACTCTCTCTCTACTTCGGAACTCGAGGCCCTCCGGGCGTTCTTAGATGAACACCTGGCCTCCGGGTTCATTCGCCCCGCTACTTCCGCTCACATGGCACCGGTCCTCTTCGTCCGCAAGAAGGACGGATCCCTCCGTCTTTGTGTCGACTTCCGAGGGCTGAACAAGATCACCAAAAAGGATCGCTACCCACTTCCCCGCATCTCCGACCTCCTTGACGCACCTAGCCGTGCCACGGTCTACACCAGACTCGACCTCCGGCATGCTTACCACCTGGTTCGCATTGCAGCAGGCGACGAATGGAAGACCTCTTTCCACACGTGCTATGGTTCCTATGAGTGGCTTGTCATGCCATTTGGTCTCACAAATGCACCTGCGGCTTTCCAGCGATTCGTCAACACGATCTTCGCCGACCTCTTGGATGTTTCTGTGGTAGTCTACCTAGACGACATCCTTACCTACTCGGAAGACATGGCTTCGCATCAGGAGCATGTCCGAGAAGTTCTTAGGAGACTCCGCAAACACGGCCTATACGCCAATCCGAAGAAATGCGAGTTTCATACGGACACTACAGAATATCTCAGTTACTGCCTCTCTCCTTCCGGACTCACCATGTCCATCAAGAAGGTCAAAGCCATCCAAGATTGGCCCGAGCCCCGTAAAGTCAAGGATGTCCAATCCTTCCTTGGCTTCGCTAACTTCTATCGGCGTTTCATTCACCAATACTCCAACATTGTGGTCCCCTTGACGCGCCTCACGCGTAAAGGAGCCCCCTGGCTATTCTCTGACGATTGTCGCTCTGCTTTCAACACCTTGAAAGAAGCCTTCACTTCCGCCCCTATCTTCACACATTGGCTACCCGACGCCCCCCTCATTGTAGAAACCGACGCCTCCGATTACGCGATCTCCGGAATCCTTTCCATTCGCTGTGATGACAGAGAGATTCGCCCCATCGCTTTCCGCTCTAGAACACTCTCGGCGCCGGAGCTCAATTACGACACCCATGACAAGGAACTGCTCGCCATTCATGATGCGTTCCGATCATGGTGTCATTACCTCGAAGGTTCAGGAACCCCAATCGACATCGTCACCGACCACAAAAACCTCAAGTATTTCTCCACCACCAAACTCTTGACCCGGCAGCAAGCCCGCTGGTCAGAGTTCCTCTCCCAATTCCACATGACAGTCCGATTCCATCCCAGAAGACTCGGAGTTAAACCAGATGCGTTGACTAGACGCTGGGACGTCTATCCCAAAGAAGGGGATATGGACTACGCTCACGTCAATCCGCAGAACTTCCGACCGGTCTTCACTTCGGAGCAGCTCACTGCGTCCTTACGAGCTACGTTCCTAGCTGCCACAGTAATCCGAGCAGCCGTACTCATCGACACAGAGGCTCTTCATCGAGACATCCTAACCTCCCTCTCCTCCGACACCACAATCTCTTCTCATCTCGCTTCCCCCAACCTCCCCAACTCCCGCTGGTCCGTTGATGCCGAAGGCCTCTTAAGGCTGGACAATCGCATTTACGTTCCGGACTCTAACGACCTCTGTCTCCGTGTTTTGCGAGACAAACACGACCACCAACTTTCCGGACACTTCGGGCAAAACCGGACTCTGGATCTAGTACGTCGTGAGTATACCTGGCCGGGCATCCGTAACTTCGTCAAGAGTTACGTGTCCTCCTGCACTTCGTGCGCCCGTGCCAAGGTCCCCCATCACAAGCCTTACAGCTTACTCAAACAACTCCCCATCCCCGAACGTCCTTGGAACTCCATCTCCATGGATTTCATCGAACAGCTACCCTCCTCTTCCGGATTCACTTCCATCTTGGTCATCGTGGACCACCTGTCCAAACAGTGCATTTTCATCCCTACCCACGATACCATCACCTCTCCGGAACTGGCCAAGCTCTTCCTCCTCCATGTGTTCTCCAAGCACGGAGTTCCATCCCACGTCACCTCCGACAGGGGTCCGGAGTTTGTCTCTCATTTTTTCCGTTCACTTGGTAAGGCCCTCGACATCTGCCTCCAGTTATCACCCGGAAGGAGACGGTCAGACCAAACGGATGAACCAGACGCTCGAGCAGTACCTGCGCATCTACAGTAACTACCAGCAGGACAATTGGTCCGAACTCCTGCCTCTCGCAGAGTTTGCATACAACAACGCTCCGAATGCCACCACGGGCGTCTCCCCGTTCTTCGCCAACAAAGGCTACCATCCAAACATCACCATTCACCCGGAGCGAGACCTGACATCAGTACGCGCCCAAGAGTACTCTGTTGATCTCGACTCCCTCCACCACTTCCTTCGCGAGGAAATGCACCTCGCTCAGATCCGTTATCAGGGCCTGTCAGACTCCCATCGGAGTCCTGCCCCAGCTTTCGAGGTAGGAACTTTGGTCTATGTAAAGGCCAAGTATTTCCGCTCCACCTGACCTTCCAAAAAGCTCTCCAAAAAAAACCTCGGCCCATTCGAGATCATTGCCCGCGTAGGAACCCACTCCCTCACTCTCTGCCTGCTGGAAAACATGCAAGCCATTCACCCGGTATTCCATGTCTCGCAGATCGAACCCTCCGTCCCGAACGTCATTCTGAACCACCACCAGCCACCTCCACCTCCCATAGAAGTCGAAGGTGAGATGGAGTTCGAGATCGAAGAGATACTCGACTCCAAGATTGACCGACGTAGACGCAACAAGTTGCTCTACCTGGTCAAGTGGCTAGGCTATGAAGGGACCGATGAGGAGACACAATGGCTCCTTGCCAGCGAACTCGATCATGCCTCCGACCTCGTCGAAGTGTTCCACTCTCGGTATCCAGCAAAGCCTGGACCCGAAGCTCCTTAGGAACCCCGACTCCTCTCCCATTTCTCCTTTCCCCTCCACTCCTCACTTCCGTTTCCATTTTTCATTTCCTCATTTGCTTTTCTTTCTGTAAGTGCAGCTCCCCTCATCTTACTAATTCTGGGCCTTCAAGGGTTCAGGCCTAAGAAGGGGATACTGTCATATCCATCCCTGGCCATCGACTCCCGGTCCCTCTGATCCCTCCAGTCTAACTCCGCTCCTCCCTCACTAACCTCGGAGCTCCCGTATTCTGCAATCCTCTCGGTACCCCTTGATGGTCACCACCCCCTCATTTCAATTTATTACCTACGCCTCCCTAAGTACGGAGCCCCGAAGACTTCCGGACAGCTCCGACGTCCGCTAGCGCACTCCCACCTCCACTGGGCAATACACTCGCCTGCCCTGCAGAGCCCACCTTCGGGCCTATCCCTCCTTTCCATTTCTGGGTTATCGCCTGCCTTTCCGCTAACCCCATGACCCGACTCATCGGTAATATTCAGTCGGCTAATGTTTAACCCCGTTAGCTCCGCTCCGTTCGGCTCCGCCAATTGCGGACCCGTCTTCGCTGTAACCATATATATATCCCACTTGTACATAGGTTACACTCCAGTAATAAAATCAACTAGAGTTACCCCCCCTTCGGTTCTGATTGCCAGTCAGTAAGTTAGGGCACGGACGTGTCACTAGGCACAGCGCTCTTGGCATAAGTCGCTGAGGCCAAAGCCCTCCGCTACGGAGACTCTCCCTCATCTCGAATCTGGTCTCTGACAGCGCTCCTGGGAGCGTACCGGTAGCAAGTATGATGTGGGCTCCTTGAGGGAGCCTCCTGGCTGTCTGCTAACAGGGACTTGGCGCTCCTGGGAGCGTGCCGGTAGCGGGTGTGCTGGGAGTGGTTGGCTAGTGGTGACTTGGTGCTCAATGGAGCGTACCAGTAGTGCGGGATACTGGGACTCCCAAAGGGAGTCACCCAGTTGGTGGCTATCGGTGACTTGGTGCTGTAACAGGTCCATCAATCTAGACTCGTGGCTCAGGTCTGGGGGGGGGTAGGTCTCTCTCTAGTGTCAGACAGATGTAGTGGGGTCCTTGGGTACGGTGCTGATAACCCTCTCTAACTACTATACAGCGGGTCGGAAGAGTCCGATACAAATAGAAAAGGAAAGTCACATGCGTGAATGAATGAAAATAGTAAAGATAATAAAGAAAATGTCATATCTCCTCAACAACCCAACCAAATCCAGCGATCTTAGACTCGTCAGAACCACCTCTACAACCTCTACAACTCCTACTATTACCCCGACTCACCAATCCTAATCCCTGATGCAGTAAAGGGTGAAGTGTGCAATGAGGCTCGTTTTAACCCGCACGGACTTGTCCCCACAACATATAGGCCTAGCTCTTGATTGCAGTCCCTTGCAATCTCCCAAAAAGAAAGAAGTCAAACAGCAAGGAAAGGGAAATAAACATCAGAAAGTCCAGTCCTCACTCCGCACAGTGTGGAATGCCATGTGACCTCAAAACTTTCTCACGGATTCTCATCGCGCGCACTCATCTTCAGAAATGCTTGTCGATCTCGCTGAGTTCCCCACCAATCTTGGCATTCAAGGGCTCGTTAGGATCCTATGATCACCTCCTACAGCTATTCTTATTGCGTCAAGTCGCCATTCCTAGTCGTCGATGTCGTATAACGAATATGGACCGTGTATGGGTAACTGTGGACAAGTGGCAGTACTTGGGATGGATTTAGGCCAAAGGTGCAGTTAATGGCACTTGCGCTAGACGACTCGGGAATTTGTGGTCAAAACAAACGCAGGAATTCCGGGTCAAGTGGAAAGGTGGGCCTTGGGAGCTTCATAGATGGGAAGGCACACCACTCGGTGTCAGAACTCTTCGCGTCAACTTAATAAAAGACCTTGCTTGATAGGTTAAACGAGTGAGGGTGGTGACTTAAGAATGAGGCTTGCGCATTGCGTGGTGTGTGGATGGTATAAATAAAGGGGAACCTTTAACTTCTGCATCGAAAGGTGTTGGAAAATGATTAAAAGTTGGCTTAAACTAGGATGAGGGCGGTTCTATGTGCACATGGGGTGGCCATGCTCTCAGCGTCGCCAGGGAGGCTTGAGCTCTTTAGTCTTGAGCTGGCCGCTACGTCTTGGTTCGCATCTGGACTCGGACTTCCATGCTACAGCTGGAGTGCCTGTGAAGCGGTCTACAAGCGCGCATGTCCTGGACATCATAGGTGCTGTGCCGTCACTCATCATGAGCGAAATGGACCATGTCGTCGGGTGGCCATGATCGAGCTCACTGTTAAGGCCGGGAGGCCTTAGCTCTTTAAGCTTGGCCTCTAACTCCATTTGGGAAAAGATGCCCTCCGGCATCGCGAGTGTGTGGGTGTCACCGGGGAACTCGGTGACCTGGGTGTGCTGGGCCTCTGGGTTTGTTCCAGGCTCACGCACAAGTGGGGCCGACTGGCTGCCCAGACCGTGCTGTGTCTCTAAGGTCTTATCTGGGTCTTTCTCGGGCAGCGGGATATAGCCTTCATCCAGCTCAGGCTCAACATGCAACGTTTTAGCATTGTCGGGTACTTCATTATCTTGGTTGACATTGTACAACTCATGCAGTGGTTGATTTGAAGACCAGAACATTGCGCGAGTCACCTCTGGACTCAATGACTTGGCGTCCCCAAGCTCAACGGGGGTCTCAGCATCATTACGGTCTTCAACGATGAACGACTCTAAGTCGTTAAGCAGCTGGTCCAACTCGGACTCAGCTCTGGACGGAGGTTCGGCTTGGGGCTCAGCGGAATGCTCGCAGCGTGTCCCAGCTGGGCACTTGACATGGCCGACTGCTATGGCTGGTTTTGAGTGGCATGGAGCACTATGTGAAATAGGATTTTGGCTATCACTAAGCCTCGGCCGGTTGGATCTGCACGTCTCTGGCGTAAGGATCAGCGCGCGTGGGGGTAACTTGGCATAATCTTGATCAAGTGATATGGCCGGCACTACTCTGGTTGCCTTGGCTGGGATGAGATGTTCAACCAGTAGCAACGGTTTGGGAATAAACACGTTGTGGCGTGGGCTCATGCTGGGGGACATAGGCTCGACCTTACTTCGACATAAGACATCCGTTGCCATTGCCTGTTCTGAGACACGCTCTCCTCGCGCATATGTAAGGCAGTAGTCTCCGCTTGACGGCAGTACAGTCGCATCCTTGAACATGGGTGACATTTCTAACTCAAATTTCAACCTGAACACATCCGACTTGTGCTCAGAACTTTTGCGGCAAGATTTGCAGTACTTGGCCAGGCGAAACTCGTCATAAAATCCGATCGCCTCCATTGACTGAGGCTCTTTGACTTCATCTGGGCAAACGAGGTCTTGCATGAGAATCTCGGATTCCAATGTGCATTCGAGGCCCTAGGCCTAAGCTCTTTATAGCTATGCTCTAGTACATCAAAGTAGCTTGCATCGTCAAGCTCTTGCTCGGACTCATAACTCGGTGGTATGGCAATCGACTTCGCCTCAGCAGCACTGGGTGTCGTGTGTGTTTCGGATGGGCATTGATCTAGCGGCTCGGTAGGCACTTGCTTTGAGGGACCTAGGTCTTCAGTGAAGGAGTCGTGTTCATAGACATACTCAAGGCCGTTAGGCCTCAGCTCTTTATCATCAGGCTCTGGCAATACAGAGGAACTGGTAAGGGCATCGCAGGAGCTCATCTCCACGCCGGACTCGGCAACACTTGGCGTCTCTGATCTGTGGCTCAATTCCGCACCTTTAGCCTTCACAATGTACGACTCCCAGTCAGGATCGTAGTCATCACCCGGTGTCAGGGCCCGGCCCTCGTTCCGCAACAGGCCCAGGGGGATCCTCCTAGTCGCTGGGGTATCTAGTCCCAGTCCGAGATCTTCAAACTCACTGAGGGGGCTAGCCCCAGCCTTCACAGGAAATGAGTTGAGAAGAAGGGTAACCTTCTCAACCTCCTGTGAAGCCGCTACAAATGGGAGTCGGGAACTATACAGTTTTCGGCTCTTTGCCGACTTTCCATAATTGGCACCCCCCTGTAGGAAGATTCTGGGTGAACTGCTCGCCCAAAAAGTTCCCACGGTCGTGGCTGTGATGGTTTCTGGGCGAGTAACTCGCCCAGAACGTTCCCACGGGTCTGCATGCATGCGGGATTGTGGAACAGTGAAGGGAAAAATAGGAGAAAATGGTGGAAGGGTACCTGAGGGTGTGTGGGGTCAGGGGCTGTGCCCTGACACCCGGTTCACTATCAGTACCATCACCGAAATATGAGTCCAGATCAAAGCACTCATAAACCGTCTCATGGGGACTTTCGTTGTTGCGGCACGAATCCAAATCAAGGCTGGGTACATCATGGGGTGTTTTGAAAAAGTTCTCGTTATCAGAATGCGAGTCTGAATCGAAGACATCATTGACTGTTTTCATTGGCTGAGGCTCTCCGGCTTTGTCTGGAGACACTGAGTAGATCGCAGCTGGCTCTAAGGTCTGGCAGACTTGATCTTCAAGAACGTCGGGTTCTGAGACAGGTTCGAGGCTGCTAGGCCTTAGCTCTTGATCATTGAGCTCTAGCACCTCGGAACAACTTGCACTGTCACACGCACTTGCCTCTAGGCTTGCGTCATCAAATTCTGGCTCAGCCACGTAATCTCTGGACATAACGATCTTGGTTCCGTAGGCGCTCCACGCTTCGCATGCTTCGGATTGGTGCTGGTCCATCTGATCTAGCATCAAGCCACTGGCACTTGTCTCTTCGAACTTGGGCACGAAATCACTCTGGACTGTGGACTGCGTCGAGAGTACTGGTGAAGCGACATGTACACTGGTCCGCACATCGGACATCGATGAATAGGAACTAGCTCTTTTGCGATTGTGGGCATCTTGCAGCAGGGCCCTTGCCGCTGCAACAACATCGTGCATATTGGGGGGCTGAGTCAAATCAAGCCACAGGCTTTGAACTTGCAGGTCAAACTTGATCTCTTTTCTAAACTTTGACGGAAATCCATGGAAAAACAACACATCGCGCTCAACGACGGTGAGGGCACCCTGTGCATCTAAGGACTTGGAAATAGCACTAAACTTGCGCAAATATCGGTTAAGATGGTCGCCAGTCTTCATTTTTCGACCTTTCTCTATGAAGTTGCGGAGATCCTTCATGCGATATCAAGGCTGTTCTTCGTCAACACCATAAAAGTCCAGCAGGTCTTTCTTGAGCAACACCCAATTTGGGTTCTCGAATCCGTCCAGTGTGGAAATAAACCTCACTTCCTTGTCAGTGCAGTAAGCGGTCAGAAAATCGCATTTCTGAGCTTCCGTGAAAAGTGCTGCGTCAGCCAGTGACTCGTATTTGTTAAGGAACTTGACAATCCATTTGCCTCTGAATCGGGGTGCATCTGGGCTGCGGGGCATCGGCATGGGCGTGTAAAACATGGGCGCTACAATGGCAGGACGCGGATCCATGCAAAAGATCAACTTGAAAGTAAAAACTCGGGAGTGGGCTTCTAGAACGTCCGGGCGACTCTGGGCCCGATATGATAATGTTATCGTGAATCCCTATGCCTCTTGATGTCCGGCAATGGGGAATGAATGAACGTGAATGAATGAGAATAACTTGAAGTCAAATGCAAGTAGAATGCGAGTAAATGTGTGGAAAACAGCTGAAAAACAGGCTCCTGTGCCTCGTCTTGAGATCCACCAGGAGGGAGTGACTTGACAACAAATAAAACAGACTCCTGTACCTTGTCTTAAGGTCTGCCAGGAGACAACAATCACGATAGATTCAGGCAAACTTGTGCAAACCGTGTGGACCCATAACTCGTAGATCCCAAACACGGACTCCTGTGCCTCTTCTTGAGATCCTCCAGGAGTGGACAATTGCAGCGAGTGCATGCGTCTAATGCGTATGGATCCCACTTGGATCCCTGGGCTTGTACTAGTCTTGTTTTTCTGTGTCTGCAACCAACAATACTTGATATCCACAGCGAATGATAAGTTTTTCAAACAAATGAACAGTGTGAAACTTGCGTGATGACAAGAGAAGTGTACCCCCCCTGTAAGGACCACCAGACTTGTAACGGGTCTATCAATCTAGACTCATGGCTCAGGTCTGGGGGGGGGGGTAGGTCTCTCTCTAGTGTCAGACAGATGTAGTGGGGTCCTTGGGTACGGTGCTGATAACCCTCTCTAACTACTGTACAGCGGGTCGGAAGAGTCCGATACAAATAGAAAAGGAAAGTCACATGCGTGAATGAATGAAAATAGTAAAGATAATAAAGAAAATGTCATATCTCCTCAACAACCCAACCAAATCCAGCGATCTTAGACTCGTCAGAACCACCTCTACAACCTCTACAACTCCTACTATTACCCCGACTCACCAATCCTAATCCCTGATGCAGTAAAGGGTGAAGTGTGCAATGAGGCTCGTTTTAACCTGCACGGACTTGTCCCCACAACAGCGCTCACAGGAGCATACCGGTAGCAGGAGTTGTTGGGGAAAGCGGGCTGGTGGACCAGTGCACGGTAGTGGGTGACCGTGGGAAGTGGGACCCGTGGGTGCGTGGCCAGGCATCCTGGAGCTGCCTGGACCATATCCCTCTCCTAAGGAGGTGGGATAGGCTACAGTTCCTGAAAGGGAACTTCTGGTTGGATGGGAGTGACCGCTCAACCACCCGGTGGACTGGTGGGAGCGGGCTGCAGGAGGTTGGGCATGGGAATGCCCTCCTTGTTGCGGTTTTGTCATGGAGAGGATGAATAGGGAGGTGGACATGGTTCCAGGGTTACAGGTTGAGTTTACAGTGGTGGCACAATGGTGAGGATGTTACAATTGCGGTACAAGGTTTGTGGGTTATGTATTCGATAATGATCAACATCCTCGGCATTTGCCTTTACATGTCATATGACTGGTTTCTATCTAATATCAAAGTCTCAATGGTCAAGGGAAGTCCCTTGAAACTTAACAATTCCCCCAGCCAGCACCAAAACCCAGTGGGAAAGCTTGGCATGGAGTTTGACAGAGAAATATAATGAAGGAGGGCAGAGACAACCTACCTACTTGCAGTCATGGACCATAAGAATCTAGTCCATCTCTATGACAGTAGCGGTCAATGTTGACGACGTCAAAATAGTGAGTAGTTGTAACCCCATGAATGGTTACAGGAGTATTCATGCCGTACATTATGCATGAACGACTGCTTTTGGTCCCCATCTGGAGAACCAAGGGGTTTGGCAACTCGAGCAGTGGAATGTGTACTGCTCGGACAAAATCTGGAGATAGGGCATCTGTTTCAGCGCCACTATCAAATAGGACAAAAGCGTTTACCCTGGTGATGTTAACCTCACTGGTGAGCATCCGCCTTAAGTCGGCGCTGCGGTTTTCAGGGTATTTACCCGCCTCTCACGAGATTCTAAACTTCACGTCGAATATTGGCAGGATTTTCTTCAGAAGCTTGTTAGGCACTGAAGAACTTGCCACACTTTGCGTTGACGGTTTGTTGGATGAAGATTTTGGGACTGGTACTATGCTGTCCCTTTTGTAGGATTTTACTGCGTCGTCGACAAGCTCAGCTACTATCTGCTCATCAGATGGCAGTTTGTCCGCTTGCCAAGCAGACGCTAATTTAATGGAGAAGTTTTCGTCCGTGGGATCCACGAACGTCATAGCACTGACGAACATGTCAGCGTCCACCTCTACATACTCCTCCTCTGCCTCAGCGAGGAGGTTGGGGTCGTACAGGTCGTCCACAAGTTTATCGTCGAACGCCTCATTGTCGGCCATATAGTCCTGCACCTCTGCAGGATCTTCAACACCTTCCGGTTCTTCTACAGGCTCCGAGTCCTGTAGGTTTTGCTTGTCAGACTTGACCACTATGTTGTACATGCACAGTTTGGGCTTGTCGTGATTTGGGCAATCACGTTGATACCCTACTTTCCCACATTTATAACAACGCGGTTTCCCATCCTTATCCAAGGATGGCATCGATTTTGTCGCTGTAGACGACATCGACTTTTCTGTTTTTGGAGCCGGTGAATAGCTTGCATGGAAGGTCGAGCATTGTCCGCTCTTCAGAGATGACATGTTTCCCCCGAATGTGTTTTTGTACACTTTCTTGGCAGACGAGGAATCAGCAGCCTTTTTGGGTGCTGCTGCAGCATTGGTATTATGTTTTTGCGTCATTTTCGGCACAGTTGGCACCTGCGAGTCGTTATGATACGCAGAGATCGCCTTAATAGAATCGTACACGTGGTCCAGGCAGAGCACAGTGGTCCACAACTCTACTTTCGTTGTGTAGTCCACGGAAATTTCGTGGCGCATAACCATCTCCCGACGCATTTCGCCAGGGATGGCATTCAGGAAGTGTTCATTGAACGTTGCCTGGTCAGGAGGTGTGATCATCTCCTCAGCTGCACGATACAGCTGATTATAGAAGTGTTTGATTCCCTTCATGGAATCGTATGAAAGCATTTTGAACGCTTTCGTGGATGCTACTGCTGCAGACTTCTTGATGAAGGTGCAGATAAGGATCTCCAGTAGATCCCAGAATGGGGGAGTTACCCCGTTCTGCACTCCAATGCGTATATAGTGCATTAGGAGGTCTTGCACCTCGCCTTCAACGGCGGTTGTCAAAGTGTGGACGTGAAATTCATTATAAGCTTCACCCTTCCACCCACACGACAACATATAGGCTAGCCAGGAGTGCAGCCAGTTGTGGAATATCTTTGAGTTATTTTCTCCAGACCATTTGATGGTCGGAGTTAGTCCCTGCATCTTTTTGAGCAGTTCTGGGCGTACATCTGCAGGTAGTGGCTGCAGGATTCAAACCTCTACACTTCAGCATGCAGATTCAAGAAGCTGAGTCATTGTCATATCCATACAATCCCGACCTCCTTTCCGGGCTCCCAGAACTCCGAACCTGACTTCCGGAGCCCTACTTCCCTTCTGTCACCTTCTCCTTGCCGACTCCCAAGAGGTTATCCCACCTCTGGCCCGGACACCACCTTCAGTCCGACTCCGGAACATTCCGGGTCCGACCCCAACCTCGACACCTTCCAGACGAGTACGCAAAACCTATGCTCCCGACTCCGGACCTCCGCTCCGGAATCCCGTTCATGTCTCCGTCTCCGAAACCTCCGGTCTTAGCTCCGACCTCGGACTTTGACCCCACCTCCGCTTATACCCATTGTATTGGTTAGCTCATTCCATTTAATTACATTTGCCAATATTCCGGAGTTTAACTTCCGAGTTCGGACTTTCCGGACTTACCTCGGACCTTGCAACTATTGCATTGTCCATTTCAATTCCGCTATTCTCCCTCATTCCTATTTGGGCTGCTGCTTCCTTCCTCCTTGGGCCTTGGCCCTTCATTCCTCCTTTGGGAAACACCATTGAGTCAAACACTTGACCCTCGGTGTTGTCCCTCTTTCCATCTCCCTTTGTCTCCTTTCGTCCTACCCTTGTTCCTTTTGATTCCGGACCCCTCCTTATATACAATGTACCTAGTAACTTGTAACCTCAGTCCGAAATCGACATGAATTCCCCCCAAGAGACTTTCCCTCTGCTAGATCCAAAATTAGGGACCCCTAGGACAACCAGCAATGGCACAGCACTCTGCCTGAGTCGCTGAGGCCGAGGTCCTTCCATGCTAAGTCTCCGATTCCACTCCGGAGTCGTCCGAATCCGCCCGTTCTAACAGTCATGAACTCAGATGGATCAGGCACTACTCGTGCCGCAGGTGCTGCATATGAACGCATGGTTGAGTCAAACAAACCAGGTCGTACAGACGAGCGGTTTGGAAAGTTGGATGAAGGCTCCCATTTTACTTCGGTGCCAAATGGGTCAAGAAATGGTGGGTTGGGCCAGGACGAGCCACCCTCACCACCATCCTCGTCATCACCATCCCCATTTGGACGGCAGGGCCTTCTTCCTGAGTTAGACCTAACTTGGTCTACACGCCTCTTGCTCTCTTCTGGAGCTGCAGGCGGTTGTGAGAATCGGTGGTAGTTATCCAGCACCCATCTGAGTGCTGTGCCGTGGGACAGTCTTTCAGGGTCTTCACCGTTTGCCCCACGACCCACATTGTATACGAATGCCGTGTCTGCATCCAGATGGGTGTTAAAGTCGAAAGTAGATTCGCTGAGACTATGCTTAGCAAAGATAGGTCTGACCTTGGCGGGCTGTCCGCCAATGTCATCTACACGATCCTGGATGTAGATCGGGCGTTTTTTCCATGTGTAATAATCGTACGGAACACTGGTGACTTTCGCATCACCATCCTCCTCCTTGTCAGGGCCCGGCCTCTGTCCAGGGGTGGCCCTACCTCAGAACTGGACACTTGCGGTGTCCCAGGCAGCCAAGTGCTGGATCCTACCCCAAGCTCCTCAAACTCACTAAGTGGGGATTGAGTTGTCATGTATTATGGAAGGTAGCTACAACTTGCCTAAGCGGGGATTGAGTTGAGAAGAAGGGTAAGTTTCCCTATTCCCTGCTTGGCTACTATAAAAGGGAAATGTACTATACAGTTTGTAACGTGACTAAGGGTAGGAGCCGAGCATGTTCCCGCGATGTGGAAAAGGTGTCACATGGGTTAAGGCGAGTTGCTCGCCTTGACCCACGTGATTTTTCCCACGGGTTCGCGTGCGGGCTGTAGTTGCGAAAGGTGTGTGAAGATGGGAGGATGAGGGAAGTGGGGGGAGGTCAGGGAAGGCGGTTCTGGGGTTGTATGGTCAGGTGTGGTTGCCCTGACACTCCTGTATCGTCTCCACAGTGGCCTTCATTGGCACTGTTTTCTTTCTTCCGTGGTCAGGAGGGAAATTACGCGTTTGAGTAGTGTCAACACATGGTATTTTCACCCCACTGTTCATGGGTTGCGACAACAGAATGAACGGTGCAGGCACAAAGCCTGGCCTGAATTGGAGTGGAGAAGCTCCACTCTCCCCTGCAGTCAACGATCCAGCCAGTTGTCCTGGGTCGATCTCCCTACCTTTCCCCTTGGCGCCAGTGGTTACTGGCACCATCGACGGGGTAGGTGGCTTAGTTCCACTAAAGATGGGAACAAATCGTCTGTCAGGTTCTTGTACCTCGACGGACAGGTGTGAACTTGTCGCCTCTGTGATGACAGCAGTGACAGTGGGGGTTTCTTCAGGTGCTGGGACCCCAATGATTGGTTGACCCGTTTGATTAATGGGGACTACAGGGATCTCTTGGGGCGCTTGCGCCTCAGCAGTGGGTTCAATGATTTTGTTGACCCGTTTGATTAACGGGGACTACAGGGACCTCTTGGGGCGCTTGTGCCTCAACAGGGGTTTTTTTCATCTGTTCAGAGACAACGATAGGATCCCCACCAGTTGATGGGTTCGCAGGAGGGTTTGCAGGTGGCTTATCCACCGTTGCTGCAGGTGGCTTTGGCTCATCACATTGAGAGAGTGTGAGGAGAATTTTGTTTAATTTCTCATTAAGTCTTTCTTCCACCTTGATGATGTTACGATCTAAACGAGCGATGTTATTATTCCCAGAGATTTGGGTATTCATGTTACGGACATCACCCCTCAAGTCGGCGATGTCGTCATCGACTTGGTCGATGCGATTTCTTAGTACTCGTGCCATTTCAGACGCGAGGGAGTGGGTTGGGGATGGAGGACATGACGCGCACATTGGGATGTATGCTGCGAGAGTCTCAGCTGTGAGGGCTTCAGACGTTGTGACTTCGTCAACGTCTCTCATATAGGTGAGACGCGTCTGAGATGCGTCCCTGGGCCCTTGCAGGCCCAGATCACCACCATCACTTGAGGTGGTGTTGTCTTCTGCCCTACGGCCAGTGGAGGGGCCGGCCATGTTGGCGGGAGCGTTGGACGTACTCCTGGTGTTGTATCTCCACGACATCCAGAAGATGTGTCAAGTCGTTCAACAAGTTCGCATGAGAACTTGATCGAAGTCGTGTGTTGTCAGGGGCCGACAACGCGCGTGTTGCCAAATGGGGTTTCGGCGCCAGTAACGCGGTGCCGAGAATGGAAAAGAAAATATAGCGTAAAAAAGTGAAAGGTATCTTACTATTTTGGGGACGGTAACGTTCTGTTCCCCTGTTCGCCTCAGGCCTCAGTTGTCCGTCTAAGTATACACTTTGGTTTGCTGTATATTAATGGGGTAGAAGTAAAGGCTGATCTGCCTTTTACAGCTACCCCGAGGGTTTATATACAATCTAATGCATTCTTGGCACAAATAAATAGAGAAGCTTCCGCGACACTAAATTAGCATCACGACATAATTATTAGACAACACAACATCAACTGATGTTGTGGGCGGAATATAGACATGGGCCAGGGCCTCACACCTCCCTACAGTCCACAATCCAGCCTGTAAACACAGCCCATCTCAGGGCATGACTACTGTGGGTAAGAAAGTGAGAAGAAGGTTAACTTCTCACTTTCCCACAGTGGCCCCAATATGGCGAAAACTTCCGGGGATACCCGGAAGTCACATGAAGGTAGGATCCAGGGACCGGAGCATGCAGCGCATGGATCATGCGGCATGGGAAGCGCATGCAGGAAGTGGAGTGGGTCTCGACGTGGGTCCGGGTCCAGGCTAAGTCAGGGTATGTGCCCTGACAGCAAGTCACTTGTGTACAAGATCAAAGGAGGGGACAGTCACTACTGCTGCTGATTCTACTGATGTGGATAGGGTAGGGTGGTTCAGGTAGAAGAGGGGGCCAATATCCTTTAACGATTCTGCTACTACCATTCCCTTCTTTTGCAAAATTTTGCACATATTGTGGACTTCATCAAATATAATGCAGAGGCCATGGTGCATCAAGGTTCTGCAGGATAGTAGTGCATAAGCTATGTCCAGGACATATTGGATGCCAATTATGCGGCATATGATGTTCTTTCCATTTGCAATGCAGGAGATAGACACTGTTCCTTTGCCAAGAGATGGGATGACTGTTATGGATATAGACTAGAATCTTATGGTCCGTGGGTGGACCCAGGGCCTCCCCCCATTTTACTTCTCCATCAAACCCCATGCCAAGCTTTCCCACCGGGTTTTGGTGCTGGCTGGGGGATTTGTTGAGTTTCAAGGGACTTCCCTTGACCATTATAACTTTTATATTAGATAGTTAGAAGTCATATGATGTGTAAGGCAGATGCCGAAAATGTTTTCTCATTATCGAATACATAACCCACAAACCTTGTACCGCAATTGTAACATCCTCACCATTGTGCCACCACTGTAAACTCAACCTGTAACCTCAGAACCATGTCCACCTCCCTATTCATCCTCTCCATGACAAAACTGCAATGAGGAGGGCATTCCCATGCCCAACCTCCTGCTGCCCGCTCCCACCAGTCCACCAGGTGGTTGAGCGGTCACTCCCATCCAACCAGAAGTTCCCTATCAGGAACTGTAGCCTATCCCACCTCCTTAGGAGAGGGATATGGTCCAGGCAGCTCCAGAATGTCTGGCCATGCACCCACGGGTCCCACTTCCCACGGTCACTCACTACCGTGCACTGGTCCACCAGCCTGCTTTCCCCAACAACTCCTGCTACTGGTACGCTCCTGTGAGTGCCAAGTCACCAATAGCCACCAACTGGGTGACTCCCTTTGGGAGTCCCAGTATCCCACGCTACCGGTACGCTCCATTGAGCGCCAAGTCACCGCTAGCCACCCGTTAGCAGACAGCCAGGTGGCTCCCTCAAGGAGCCCATGTCATACTCGCTACCGGTACGCTCCCAGGAGCGCCAAGTTACCGTTGGCCAACCCACAGGTTACACTGCCAGACACTCATCCCATTCCGCTCTCCCTCCGATGGCTACGCAGCCACCTCCATTAGTGAGCCAAACGGTTCAGGTTGGGTTCCCTGGAACCCACTCCTGTAACAATGACACTAGAGTTTCCCAGTCAGATATGTTGGGGGGTTTCAAAGGGAGTACTGTACTGGCATGACCAACAACCTCTTCCCACAGCCTCCAGGAGTTACCGGAGCCATAAATCAATTCAATTTTGTTGATTTTCAATTCAATCCAAGACCTCTGCATGACATGTGACAGGTTGTTGGTCATGCCAGTACAGTATATTCAATGAATTTGGATTTGTTGGGGCTGAAGTGATTGCTGCATCCAGAGTCTATAATCCAGGGTTTGGGGGTATTTTTGTGCTTGTCAGCAATGAGGGCAGAACCGGAAATGAATCCATGATGCAATGTGCTTTCAGCAATCATGGCTCCCTCCTTGTTCTCAGGTTCAGTGGTGGCATTTGCATTTGCATCTCGTTCTGCTGCCTTCTTTTGTTGGTAAGCATCCTTTTTGGCTTGTGTAGTGGAGCACTTTGTCCAGATGTGGCCAGTTTTACCACACCTCCAACAGATTTGTCAGGCAAGCCAGACAGGGTCGTTGCAGGACATGCTGAGGGAATGTTTTAGGGTTAGTCGAGGTAACAATATAGAGTACAACCAGATGCACATGTTCATGGCCTTTCTATTTGATTTCTTGATTTTATCCTCATCAGATTGTTTGGCAGCAATTGAATCATCAAGCAATCTTTCTATGTGGTAGTATGTCCATATCTTTCCTTGATATTGCTTGATAATTTTCCTTGCCGGTTAAGGCAGAGATTTTGTCTCCGCTGAGAAATTCCATTAGCAACTGAAGTGAGAAGTTGAGCAAAGATCCGGATGTATAGAGTTCAATAGGTATGACCCATGGGCCATAACTTGTTGTTATGTACCTTGCTTGCAAGATCTCTTCCACCCCACAATTGCAATCTTGCACGCAGCCCTTCTAGTAATGAGGGGATTCCAGATATGGCCTGCTACTCAACGGCTTCGACTCGAGGTCGAGCAGAGGTAAGCCAGAAGCTTTTACGCACGTCTAACGCATTAAAATGAAAAGAATGCAAGCGTAAGAATTTACTCAGCCCTGGAGATTTCGCACCGCAATTCCGGGAGGTTCCGATGACTCGTAGATTCCAACAGTTACGATCGCCGAACAGCGTCGTACGAAAATGTATATAGCGCGTAGCAAGTCTACGCAGTTGGGTTGGGTTGAGCATTTCCACTCCCCATTCTCAGATCACCTCACCAAATGGAATCGCCTTCCACGTTCAAACACCTCGCCGTAGGTGCCTTTTCCGGGATTGTACTCCAGGCTGCGTGCGTGGTCGATGACATTGATAATCGTCTTCGTGGATAATGACATCTTCGCTTTTCCATCTTCCGTTCCCCTCCATGCAATAGACTCCTCGGTGTAATCACCATTCAGACTTTTCTCTATTACAAAAGGTTTTCCGAGGACCATTTCTTTCAGAAGACTGTCATCGGATTCTTATGGTGGGTGCTGACCAATTACATTTGGATGGTGGTTGGGTAACTGCGTACTCCACTTTCAGGCTCATGCAGATGTTTCAAGTGTAAGCTAAAAGCCGTGTCAAATACATTTTTCAGTGACTTGCTGCTTCTCTAGGATAGCTTCGCTTTACGTGTTTACATGGATTGTCGAGCATTTTGGGAAGTTGACTATACGATGGTAGGCCCTCCCGTGGACCCACCGCACTGGGTCTAACTTTGTCCCCACGACAGGTTTGATACTTTCTACCAGTTATCTATGGTAGGATCATGATCCCACCCGATCCGAGCCTAGTCAGTGCGCCGGAGGTTATGTACCTTTTCATAATTCGCTCCACTAGGTTATTTGCTCTGCCATCGTCCAATTTTTCTTCATCCTAAGACTCTATCGACGTACGTCCCCTCGGTGGTCTTTCTTCCAAGGATTTTGACATTCATCTGAATTGTGTCCAGTCAGTGGATCAACCTGGCTACCAACGTCAATTGTATGTCATCACCGTCCATCCTACAGACAACCCCCTTTTTTACGGGATCCTTATTGACAGGTTTTCCTGACTCTGGGGCAGTTTGGTGAGCAGATCCGAGTGATTGTGTTTCTCGAGCGTCTGATTATCTCGACCTAGGGACCGGTGTTGGTGAGGTGCAAAATTGTGGGATTGAAACACTTCTGAGACTCTCTGCACCCCGCGCATACTGCATACAGCGCTCTTTGTTAAAGCGTAAGAGGGTTCTCCATCTAAACCAGCCATTTTCTACTGATACGCTCTTGTCGTCTCTCCTGACAGAAATGCTACTCACAGTCCCGAAAACGTACTCTTTTCCAAAGGCCCACTCGCTATATCGTGGCTAACACTAGAGGTGCGCGCTTCCCATTAGCCAGGATATTTCGCTCACATGAACACATCCTTCAAAGGCAGTGGCTGATCTCGTAATTGCCTTCGCTATGTCATATTTCCTCCAGAAGCGTCGCACAGGATTTCGGCGGTAAGTGATTGATCTGACTCTTGTGGAATTAAATGCATAAATGGATTCCTGCCTAAAGGATGGACACAGTGTTACGGAAGTTAACAGCATATGCCATTAGCACTGGCCTGGTGACTGGGTATGATTTGTCTTGTTGTTACTGAACTAGGTTAAGTTCCCCAACTTAGCATTCTGGCGCTGGGTGTCATGTTTTCTGTATGTTTATTTTTCCAACTTTTCTGATGTGTAATCCTAACAGCCTTTCTCGGGGCAGGTTGCATTTCACAGCCCCCAATTTATCCCCATGATTTTCATCTTTGTGAGTAAAACCTATGTTTCAATGCAGACGCTTGGCCTTAGTAATACACCCTAGGTGCTTGGAGGCGTCTATACTACATCTCTCTTAGCAAAGTGCGTATACCGTCACGAAGCCATGCGCCATCAAAGTAATGTCTCGTGTATTGACTACATGCTTCTCCCCTCTCCGTCACGCCAGTTTACATTCGCGCTCGAAACTCTGGAGTGAACTTCGTTTCGAGGGAGACAACGGAATTTCAATACATTTGTCCCGTCTTCCTTCCAGGGTAAGAGTAACGCATCCGTAGCCGACTCCCCCATGACTTCTTCATCAGATACGCAATAATACAAGTGCTGTCACTCGGCACGTAGAAGGACACCATTCGGACGAAGGCACAGATCAAGCCCAATGAGCAGATTCATGTCTTTGGCGTCGCCAGCCAAAATTTAGGTCGGACGATCGAGCGATCTAAATCCAAATCTCGCAAGTGCAGCGAAACTGTGTGCCCAGCATCTTTATTGAAAACTGGTCATGGAAAGATAGGACTAGTGCATGCACGAGCTAGCTGGAGCAATGTTCCATGTAATAGGTGATGGGCCTCACACGGGGAGCGACCTCGGCTGTTCGTATACAGAAATGTAACGCACAGAAACTAGGATATGGGCGTAGAGCCAGGCCGGGGGAACATCCCAATGCTACAATATAACAAATCGGAGTGGGCATTGTAGGGTGGTCGTGTTTCGGTTATTATGCGATGCCAAGCAAGACCTTGGCCCGGATCCAAAGGAGAGACCTGGTCATAACTGGAGTGTGAAGTGTGGACAGGGAGGGAAAGAGAAAGCACGGCGAAAAACAAATGTGCATGAAGTGCATAAGAGACAACAAGAGACCAAGAGCACCGTGAAAGCGAGGGTTCGTCCATACCAATGAAGGGGTTAGAAACCAGGGGCTCTTTTTGACACTTTTTTTTGGAGATCCAGCGCGTGATGACGAATGAGACGGAAATCGGACGCAACTGGTTGGCAAGCGTGCTGGAACCCTGCTGGGCCCGGAGAAAAGGCTCATGTGGCCCATAGCAAACAACTACAGTAGCCTTAAGAATGCTCCATTGGGTGGAGCACACTGGTCGTGGGTTATATGAAAACCGCCTAGCGAGGCAAGTCTGAAGACCTGTTAGGCTTCGTTCGGGTCGGAGAAACAGGAAGAAACAGGCAAAAGAAACCTGTTTCTTCGTACCAAACGAAGCGACCCGTGAGAAAAGGTGAGTGGAAGAATGTTTGTTGCGGAAGAAACTGTACCCAGGATTCCGAGGGGGGAACTCACACTACCCAAAGATGGGTGGTTCTTCACCCCCGAGTTCTTGGCGGATGCCAGATTCCATGCTACGCCCGTGGGGCAAGCTCCAATGATTCTGTCAACATCGGGATCAGCTCCGCTACATAACATTCAAGCTCTCCCAAGCAGGCTGCCTCTGCTGTCTCCTTCGATCGATTCAACCTCCAAATAGTACGACATAGCCCTTATGGCCTTGCCATCAGCTGGGAATTGGCTGAAAATATCATCTCACGGCAGGCTCTGCACCGGCTCCCGCAAATGAAAAATTTCTTCCACTGCTACTTCCAGGGCTCTCACCCTGAGAAGTGATCTTCAGCCCAGAATAAGGACACACCAATTGTAGCGGACCTTTCGCTGTTATAGATGTCCGTCAACTTATCCAACAGATGAGCGATGAAATTCCCACCTACGAACTTCGGGTGCAACTGAGAAATTCTTCACAAAGCGTTCTTCCCTCCGCCCTCTTCCCCTCCAGTTGGGGGACATGAGGATCAACTAGGAGACATGAGGATCAATTAGGAGACATGAGGATATATAAATATAGCGCGTAACAAGTCTTCGCAGTTTGCGTGGGTTGAGCTTTCCATCCCCATCCCTCAGATCATCTCATCAAATAGCAGCCCCAGAGATGGGGATGTCTGCTCGCGAAAACCTCTTTGGGGGTTTCCTTTCTGGGCTCGTGCTGCAAACCATGTGCGTTACAAATGGCGTTGACGTTCGTTCTCTCCGAGAATAATCCAATATGCCCACCCTCTCACTGGCTTCATCCGCTTGCCCGGATTACTCCACACCCCTTCCCTGCGGTAGACTCTTCGGCATAATCACTGTTCAGGCCTTCCTGTATTACCATAGGTTCCCTCAGGACCATATCCTTTTGAAATCTACCGTAGGATTCTTATGGTGAGTGCTGGCTGACTAAGTGGCTTGCATGGTATATCGTTGGTTGACTTCACATTCCATTTGGAGGCTCGTTCAGGTATTTGAAATGTGAGTCAAAAGCTTCATCAGAAACTCGGTTCAAGGACGGTCACTTCGTCGCTTCTCCAGGATAACATTGACAGTTACGGTTCACGGGGCATTCGTTAGCCACTTCGGTGTTCAAGTATCAACCACGGTGTGGTATGTTCTCCCATAAACTCATCACAGCACTCGTATGACATTTCCACCACAAAAGGTATGAAACCATATATCAGATTTCTACAGTAAGTCCATAATTCCACCCAAACCTGGATCGAGTCTGCCTCGTGTGGTTATGCACCCACCAGAATTCCCACTAGGTTATTAGTTCTACCATCGTCCAGCTTTATTTCGTCCTTCGTCTATATCGATGTAAGCTGCCTCGGCAGTCCTCCCCCTCTCTTTTCATCCGTAGATTCCTAATGTCGCTCTGAGCTGTGCCTAGTTAGTGGGTCCATCTGGCTACCAGCACTACTCGTACGTAGTCACCTGTTCGTCCTATGAAGACGTGTAGACCTTCACCGGTAGGCCATCTTGATCCCGGCGCAAATTGGTGAGTGAGCCTGAGCAGTCATGTTTGGAGTGTCTAACGCATACCTTAACCTAGGAACTGGATTTGGTACGAGGCTGCACAAGTTATAGAATAAAACAGCTTTTGAGATCCCGCTTGTATCATATGTAGCGGTCTGGCTCAGAGCGTAAGTGGAAGTTTCTCAGGTAGTAACGTATTCTCATCATCCTCATTGACAGAAATACCATCCACGGTATTGAGACCTTCGTTCGGCCCGCACGCCGCCTCATGATAAGTTGGCTAACATTGGAGGCACGTCCTCTCTGTGCATTGACTTGGTTGTGTAATCACTGTCGAATTGCAGGCAGTGGCGGACCTCGTGATCGCACTTGTCATGTCATATTTCCTCAACAGGCGCCGCACTGGGTTTCAACAGTAAGTAATTTGCTTATCTCTGAGTCAAGGAAAAAAATGCCTGAATGGATGCTTCCCTCCCTCCTTAAAGGACGGATACGGTGTTACGAAAGTTAACCGTATATTCGATCAACACTGGCCTGCTGACGAGGTAGGACTTAACAAACTTAGGAAAATAGCTTCAAAATTCAGCCTTCTTATAACCCAGTGCTCTGGCATTGGTCGTCATGTTTTTTGTGTGGCTATTTCCCCCACTTCTGACGTACCAAGTAGCTCTGACAGTTTTTCTGGGCAGTTTGCATTCTACGGCTTCCACTTCATCCACTTGATGTTCTTCTTGGTAAGTTATATCTGCACTTCAGTACAGGTGCCGAATTTCACCGAATATTTTTCTGAGCCGCTCGGAGGTGTCTATACAGCATCCCTTTTGGCAAAGTGTGTATTCCACCATGGAGCAATATGCAAGACCCCAGCAAACTGACGATCTGCTCCTCTCTTCCACTCCACGTTAGTCTACATTCACGCTCGAGCCTCTGGGGGGAACTTCAACCCGGAGAAAACACGAACGTAAACCTCCTTTCTCCCGTGGTCAGAGAAATTCATCCATAATACACCACGTGTTACAGCTGACCCAACATCTTTCACCAGGTACGCAACCGGATGAGTGCTATCTCTCAGTCCGTGTGAGGGTACTAATGCACAGACCAAACGATCAGCAGTGCGAGTCCGTCGCGTCAGGCAAAGATAGAGGCAGAGCAATAAATAATTTGGGTCCTAATTCTCTCGTTTGAGCATGTCTCAGTGAGTTTAGTGATCTGCTGAATGTGGATTAGGATCGAATATATAGGAACTTTCATTGCTAAATGCGATAGGTAGTTCAACCGATCATTGAAAGATTATTTCTGGCATAAGCTATACAGAGTTCGATTATCCAGAATTCGTGTGAATCACTGGCAGGACACCTTTGTTAGACTTGGAACGGAAATGGGTGGTTCCGTCAAATCCTGCTTCCAATGCGGCCAAACTGTCCGAACTTAAAACTACGACTATTTCAAGGCGAGCCAACTATATGCAGAACCCGTCAATGACGATCGATGACGATTTTAGGAGGGTCGGGACGAGTGTGGTAGAGGTTGGAAGATGTTCAGGCGGGGACGAGCCCAAACTGAGACACTCTATTTGCCGTGTGGAAATTGATTGGCCTGGCCGAGGTGGCTATGCAAAATTCGGTATTGCCCAAATTTCATTCAGCCAGCTCCGCTTTCATCGGACCCTCCAGATGAAGACCCGCTGCGGTGGACCCAGACTTGCATTGCATAACGAGCATCCAGACGTACTCTTCGCCACGGGTTTTTGCTGACCTCATGGAAAAGGCATACTGCAATGAAATGCGGGTAGCGCGATTCTTGTTTGCAAGAGGTACGTATGAGAAGTCAGGGAACGAGTGAATGAGAAAACCTGGAATACCTTCGGGCGCTTACATGTCTGGATCTGGAATGGAACGAACTCAGTGAACGAAAATAACTGTAGATCATCCGTAGCGTGATGTTGCAGCCACGCAATCACGCATCAGCTCCCCTTCTCCCAATTCCTCACGCCTGAATCCTGGGGGTCCCATCATCTACGTTGCGCTCATGAGGCTCCAATGATGCTCTCAACTTCGTATAGCCCAGCTACATACCATTCAGACTCTTTCTGTCTACTACGACTGTTCCAATCTCTCAATAATACGATAGGTTCGTAATCATTGGGCGTTGTGTCCTTGTCATCAGCGGGGAAATATCGTTTCCTTGCCATTGAAGAAGTACTACATCTCAATTAACCATCGCCCTTCGGGACCGGTCTCGGCCTGGCCCTCCAGGGCTGCCAGCCGTGGTGGGCCCTGTGCTTTTGGCATCCCTCAGTTTGTCCGGGAAATGATCGGTGAGCTTCCGAATTAGGGATTTCGGGTGCAGGTAAAGCATTCTTCATGGAACACACCGAGCACCAGCGGGATCGATATGCCGTGGAGATTCTCGTTGCACTTAGCTTGAGGATGTGATGAGTTGATCTGCACCCGGCGTTGGGCACCATCTCCGAACAGTGCCGCGCGATGATAATCAACCCAAAAAATTGGCAGTTGCAATCGATGCCTAAGTTAAAAAGCATGAGGGTATCTATGGGTAGCAGGTCTTCGAAGCTAGCATAGTTTGCTTCTATCTCTCAGGCAGCATCGCCAGAGATGGGTATGTCCTTTCGCGAAAATCTCCAAGGGGGTTACCTCTGTGGGCTTGTGCTTGAAACCATGTGCGTTATCGACTCTTCTTCATGAAGAAGCATGTCCGCTCTTCCACTGTCTTCATGCGCTCGTCCTGATCACTTCATGTTCTTTCTCTGCCTTAGACTCCTCGGTGTAATCACCGTTCAGGTCTTCCTCTATTATCATAGGTTCCCTAAGGACCACATCTGTTTGAAATCTACCGTCGGATTTTTATGGTAAGCTCTGGCTGATCGAGCGACTTACGCGATGCATAGCGTATGGTTAGTTGATGTCTGATTCCATGTGGAGGCTCGTCCAGATGTTTCAAGTGTGAGTCATGAGCCTACTTAGATATACGTCACTCGAAGGACCGTCTTTTCTCCAGGACAGCTGCCACAGCTTCGTTGTACAGAGCATTCATTCACAATTTCGATACTTTGCCCTCATCTACTATATGGTTTGCTCTCCCGCAGACTCATAATACTCGCATGACATTGCTCCTGCAATAGGTATGATACCTTTTACCAGATTTCTACGGTAAGACCATGATTTCGCTCGGCACTGGACCGAGTCTGCGTTGTGTGGTCGCTCACCCACCGAGATTCTTACTAGGTTATTTGTTCCACCATCGTCCAACTTTACTTCGTCCTTCGTCTCTATCGATGTAAGAAACCTCACAGTCTCTCCCCTTTCATCTGTATTAATGTTTCCCTAGTTGGTGGATCAATCTGGCTACCAATGCTGGTAGTACGTAGTCACCTCTTTACCCTATGAATATCTGTAGATCCTCAGAATTCTCATTGATAGGCCCTCTTGACGCTGGGGCAAGTTGGTGGGTGAACCTGAGTGGTCATATTTTGGAGAGTCTGATGCGTATCCTAGGGACTGGACTTGGTAAGGACTGCACAAATTGTAGAATCAAACCCTTCTGAGGTTTTCCGTATTCTGTTCGCACTATACGCAGCGATTTGGATTAAAGCGTAAGGTGGAGCTATTCAAATAGTGACGTATTCTCATCGTCCTCATTAACAGAAATATCAGCCACGGTCTTGAAAGCTTCATCCGACCTACCTTGGCTAACGCTGGAGGTACATCCGTTCGATGCATTGAACAAAGAACTTCGGTTATGTTGAACACTATCAAATCCGCAGGCGGTGGCAGATCTCGTGATTGCCTTCTCTATGTCATATTTCCTCCAGAAGCGCCGCACAGGATTTCGACAGTGAGCAAGGTGTCTGTCTCTATGTCAGTGAAAAAAATATCTAATGGCATACTTCCCTCAGGACGGATACGGTGTTACGAACATTAACAGTATATGCCATCAACACTGGCCTGCTGACCAGGTATGATTTGGCAAACTTAAAACAGCTTCAAAAATCGACCGTTCTCTGTTTCCATAAACTAGTATTCTGGCATTGGCCGTCATGTTTGCTGTATGGCTGTTTCCAGTACTTCCGATGTACCTCGTAGCCCTGACAGCCTATATTTGGGTAGTTTGTCTTCTACGGCTTCCACTTCATCCACTTGACCTTCATCGTGGTAAGTTATATCTACGTTTCAGTATAGACACCGAACTTCTTAATTCCAACAAATTATACTTCTTAGCCACTCGCAGGTGTCTATACAGCGTCCCTTTTGGCAAAGTATGTGGGGGGAAAGGTTGCCGTTATCTTAACAAAATTGACGATTTACTTCCCCACGTCAGTCTGCATTCGCGCTCAACACTCCGCGGACAACTTCATTCCGGAGAAAACGGGATTTCAATACACTTGTCCCGCCTTCCTCCCAAGGTCGAGAAATGCGCACGTTGCTCGTCCCGTCACAAGCTGACCCAACGTCTTTCACCAGATACGCAACCAGATAAGTGCCACCGTTTAGCGTGTTGATCGGACGAATGCACGGACCACACTCCGTTAGAGTCCAGGTCGGGTAATTGAGTGACCCGAATCCTCTTGAGGATATGTGGCAATACGCTGAATACCCGTCAGTAACATTATTGAAAAAAAATAAATCATGGAAAGATAGAACTCGAACAAGCATGAGCTAGCTGGGAAGGCAAGGTTTCACGCAACGGATGATGAACCTTGGACGTTTCAAGGGCGGCTTTTCCTGCTTGCATAACGCACAGAAAGCAGAATATGGGCGCAAAGGCGAAGTCCAAGGGAGGGTGGCAGGTGGTCGTATTTCGATTAACGTTGCCATGAGATGCCAAACAAGCTTTTGAGTCGGTCATTTAGCTGAAGTGCCAAGTACGAAGTGGGAAAGATAAGACAGGGGTTTGAAATAAACGTGGCTTTATATAGTGCACAGAAGAGACCAAGGAATCAGAGCACCATAAAAGCGAGAGTTCCTTCGTGTCGACGAGATTCCGAAAGTATAAACGAAGGGTTTGATATTTTAGTTCAAGACCTAGTACGTGAATGAGGCCGGAAATCTGGTCGGTGCGTGTTGGGGTAGCTACTTGGCCCATGGCAGACGACGGGCCTGAAGAACGCACTAATGAATAGGGCAGACTGATCATGGGCTATATGGAGGCTGCACCAGCATGGGGTTGGAAGAGCATGATCGTTCGGTCACGCACAAGACCAATCGACGCCACCGCGAATTTGGTCAGATTACTGCGGATCACATTTGCGTGGTACGATAAAGGCCTGCACATGGTGTTTGTGTGGTCAGCATAGTCTGCACTCATTCCCTGCTACCGCCCCGAGTGCTAGCGGGCCGAGCCACACACCCAACATACAAAGCCGAGCAAGGAATTCGTGCTGCAACGGTACCCAGAGCCTGTCCCTCCGCAGTAAGTGACGACGTCTTCTGGCTTCTAAGGTCATTGGCAGCATGGCGAGTAGCAACGTGATACCCTTACCCTGTCACACATGGTGTTGTTGACTGTAATATGGCTCACAAGGCGCCAAGCAGGATCATTTGTCGAAAGATCTAGGAAGTGCGAGGTTCTCATTATCTCATGCTTGGATCGTCCACACATAATTGATATTGATATGCCCCTGCAATTGACCTATTGTGCGGGAAGACTGGGAAGATAGTGGCACAGCATCAAACTTAAATTGCAGGAGCAAGGTACCTCTACATTCAGCTTCTTAGAAGCACTTTCTATGATCCGTATAGCCCTCCTCCAATTTGATGCCGTTTAGATCCGGACAAATATTTCCCCTCTCCGAGCAGTATGGAAGTTATGATACGCTACGGAAGCCCGGCGTCCCATTGTTGGCGCCATAGTGATGACACAGGCTCTAAGCATTGAGCGCAGCAGCGGTCGGAATGCATCCAGGCGAAGGTGTGTCTGTCAGATGTCAGCATATATGGATCCGATTTATGATTTATGTAGTGTCTCAGCAGTGTCGCAGCGAACTCGGGAGGACCGTGAGAAAGGCTCTAGAGAACCTTTCAACCCAATGGCTGTGCGAGACCCTTGTGTGATAGCCGCACTGCCACGTAGCTACGAGGCCGCCGGGTAACGAAAGATCATCATCTTCTAGCTTCTCTTTAACGGGAAGAGACATCTTCCGTTTCTTGGTTATTGTGACGGGTGACACTATGGACGGGGGGTATGCATCAGCGGTCAAAGTAAATGTAGGCTATCGTAGCGTAGATAGAGGGCAATCATACATCTAGGCTTTTCCTTCTACTTTAGTAGAGGCTGGGATCCTGCCTGGCTTTTCCTAGTTCTTCAATCAACTCGAGTCCTGGGTGGGCACCCGCTCCTATGCTACTAGGCAGCTGCAGGTGACCAGCCTATGCTACGCCCATGATTGGGAAGGCTCCAATGATCCCATCAACATCGGGAGCTCCGCCGCATAACATTTAGGATCCCCCTAATCATTGTCTGCTTCGATCGATTCAACCTTCAAATAATACCAAAAGTTCGTGGTCAATAATTCTTCTACCATTAGCTTGGAATTGGCTGCAAATATCGTTCCCCGGTTGGCTCTGCACTGGCTCTTGCGAATAAAAACTCTTAACCCCTTACTTCTCAAAGTCAAGCAGGACCCTCATCCATGGTAATTGAATTCGGCCTGGCTAGACAAAGACCTATCGATTGTAACGGACCTTGTCCTGTTGGAGTTTTTTAATTTATTCCGCAGAATTCTCGCCTGCGGAATTGATCGCTCTCCCCGCAGCTAGTTGTACCTGCCCAAGGAATGGTCTGCATCCAGTGCTAGGTATGGCTGCCGAAGAGCACCGCACCATATGGGGTAACTTACAAAATCGGGAGCTCCATTCATTTCTTCCTCTTGCCCCAAATCAAGACCCATGGGAGTGTATATAGCACGTAACAAGTCTCTGGGTTGAGCATCTCCATCTTAGATCGTCTCATCCTTAGAGATGGGTATGTCCTCTCGCGAAAATCTCTTTGGGGGTTTCCTATCTGGGCTTGTGCTCCAAACTATGTACGTTGCGGATCACATTGACAAGCGTCCTCTCCGACACTAATGGAATATTTTCGCTCTTCCATCATGTGCTTGCTCGCATCAACCAATATTCTTTCCCCTGCAACAGACTCTTCGGTGTAATCACTGTTCAGGCTTTCCTCTATTACCGTAGGTTTCCTACGGACCATATCTCTTTGAAATTTGCGGTCGGGTTTTTGTGGTGAGCGCTAGTTGATCAAGTAACTCACGCAATACAAGATGTATGGTTGGTTGACTTCACATTTCATTTCCAGGCTCGTTCAGACGTTTCAAGTGTGGGTTAGCAGCCATAGAAAATACTCGTTTCAGGAACTGTCACTTCGTAATTTCTACAGGATAACATCAACAGTTTCGGTTCGCATGACATTCATTCACCACTTCGGTGTTCAGTCTTCAACTACAGTATGGTATGCTTTCTTACGAACCCACGATAACACTAGCATGACATTTCTCCTACAACAGGTATGATACTGTTTATCAGATATCTATGGTAAGACCACAATTCCACTCTAGATGGAGCCTGCCCTGCATGGTTGTGCACTCACCATAATTCCCACTAGGTTATTTGTTCTACCATCGTCCAAATTTACTTCGTCTTTCGTCTATATCGATGCAAGTTACTCCAAATAGTCCCCCTTTTCATCTATGAATTCCTAACGTCGCTATGGATTGTGACTAGTAGTTAGTGGATCAATCTGGCTACCAGCGCTACTCGTACGCAGTCACCTGTTCATCCTATGAATATTTGTAGACCTTTGATCCCATCGGCAGGCCCTCTTGATCCCGGCACAAGTTGGTGAGTGAACCCTGGTGACTACGTTCTGGTATATCTTATGCATAACTTAACCTAGGAACTGGATTTAGTAAGAGGCTGCACAAATTGTAGAGTCAAACGACATCTGACATTCTGCTCGCATCGCCCCCCACAGCGATCTGGGTCAAAGCGCAAGTTGAACCTCCTCAAGCAGCAACGTATTTTCATCATCCTCATTGACAGAAATATCACCCACGGTATTGAAAGCTTCGTCCGACCCACACGCCACCTCATGATATCTTGGCTAACATTGGAGGTATGTCCTTTCTATGTATCGAATCAAGAGCATTGATTACTTACGTAAACGCTCTATCATTTCGCAGGCGGTGGCGGACCTCATGATAGCCTTTGCCATGTCATATTTCCTCCACAGGCGTCGCACAGGGTTTCGACAGTAGGAAAATTTGCCTATCGAGGAATGAATGCCTAAATAAATTCCTCCCCCTGCCCTTGAAGGACGGATACAGTGTTACGGCAATTAATAGTATATGCAATCAACACCGGTCTGTTGACTAGGTATGATTTGCCAAATTTATTTGGAAATAGTTTCACAAGTTAACCTTGTTCTGTTTCTGTAACCCAGTGTTCTGGCACTGGCCGTCATGTTCGCTGTATGGCTGTTTCCAGCTTTCCTGATGCACCAAGTAGCCTTGACAACCTCCCACTGAGCAGTTCGCATTCTATGGCTTCCACTTCGTACACATGATGTTCGTTTTGGTAGGTTACGTCTGCATTTTGACACAGATGCTGGACTTCACAGTGCGTTGTGCTTCTTAGCCGCTCGGAGGCGTCTACACAGCGTCTCTTTTAGCAAAGTGTGTATTCCAACTACTCTTGACCGTTGTCAATACAATCCCTGACAAATTGACGACCTGGTTCTCTCTTTTGCTTCACCTTAGTCTGCACTCACGCTCGAGACTCCGGGCGGAACTTCATTCCGGAAAAAACGGGATTTCAATACACTTGTCCCACCTTCCTCCCAAGGTCAGAGAAAATTCCATAGCACACTAGTACTGTGTCACAGCTCACCAATCTTCCTTCACCAGATACATAATCAGATAAGTGCTATGGCGTAGTGTAAGTCGGACAAATGTACTCGGTCAACACCAGTTCGTCGCCTCAGGCGAGGATGGAGACAGGGTAATGAGGAACCAGGATCTTGAATCTTCTCTGAGCATGTCAGTGAGTGAATTTGCTGAATGCGGATTAGAATGTATGGAGAATTTTCGTCGTAAAATGCGATAGTTGTCCGATCGATCAGTGAAGGCTTGAGATATTTCACTTTGGTGTGAGCAATCGAAGCCGAGAACTGGTTTCATCGCAGCACGCTTCAGATGGTTTGAAAGAGGTATGTAGAGTCTGGTTAATTCAGAACCCGTTCGAATCAGCCAAACTGTCCGAACTTACGGCTATTTCTTGGCGAGCTACCCACAGAACTCATGAAGGTGGATCTTCAGCCCTAGGGAAGGCTGGCCAAGTTCCTCTGCTAGTAGCAGCGTGGCTACCCCGGTACAGAAAGTGGAAATTGGCGGTGCCGAGCGCGTCCACTGATGCTACTACCCCTATCCTAGTTGCTTGTTTTGATGAAGCACTAGTATGGGGTTTTCCGGGACATCCTATATAGCACCTCTTCCCTCACAGCCGTTTGGTCAATAGTTTCCGCCGGTGTTTCCGGCCCTCGACTCAGCTTTGAATCTGCCGAGTGAGCGCCAGCTCTATATCGCACAGAGTGCTTAGATGCGAGGATCCTTATGTATAATGATGCTGAATATCCTCCAAATGCACGCATGCAACTTCCAGGCTCTGATTGAGAACATCGGACGTGGCGAAAGAACCCTCAGGGGCCTGTAATTCTTACAACAAGTAATTACGAGTCACTGTAGTTAGATTCACATGATATAGCATTGACAGAAATCGTCCAGGTGATTGATCCGCGCCTCCGGCACCAGTAGAACCGGACCCCGTACTCCTCGAAGAGTGTTCAGCTCTCACCCTTCACCTTAACGCTAGAATCCACCCGCTAGAAACGCAAAGTTAAAACGAGGTAAAGCAGACCAAGCTACCATATGCAAATGCTCTCCTCGCATCCATTTGTTCCCTCAACAGATCAGATACCCATCTATACTAATAGAAGCTGGTAACCTGCCTAAGATACCCGGGCGTTCTTTTGATCCTAAGCTACATAAGAGTGGCTGTGGGGCCAAATAACGGAGTCATTGCAAGCCATCGCGAAAGCCCCCTACATCCGATGCCGAAACCAACGGACGCCAGCCATCTTAAAAAGGGGAACAGTTGTTCGACCGAAGCACTCAAGGAGTATCCTGTGTGCCTGTTGGGATCAACACAATTGTTCCACCACCGAGGGAAACCTATGAAGCGATAGGTCAGCATCCTTGAGCAACACGTCGCCATACACTCGCCTGGGGCACCGCAGGTTATCCGTTAACGATTCCACAATTTCAATTTCGGTCCTCCTCCAGAGATTTTTGGGGCTCCTAGTCTCATAAAACATGTTATTTTCTGTCCACGGCCGGTTTTCACCCAGCTCTCGGAGAGAGGATGAGGTCCAAGCCTGGCTTAGGAAAAGCCCCTTCACCTTTGCCCAGACTCCGCGAAGTGACCAGATAGTAGAGTAGGGGAATATTCAGGATGCTCTCCAGATGGTGGAAGACGTGAGTCATGTCATCCCTTGATAAGGCCAGACGGGCTGCTGCTGAGCTAAGGCCACATCGCTTGGTAGGAGCGCGGCATAGCCCGAACTCAGCCTAACATCCCGGCATTATGCAGAACGAACCCAACGACAAATCGCTACCATCCACCTAAACACCCACACCACGTTTCGAAACCCTCAGCACGCCCAGCTGGAATGAAAGTGAACAAGGAATTCGGTACCCACTGTGTTCTCATGCCAGCTGATCCGTCTGCAGTCTTTGGCTCACATTCCCGGTGAACTCTAGAATACTCAAACCAATCCATGCCCTTATAAATGATGCCAGCGGTTGATCACAAGAGTAAACCTAACAACCCCCCTTAGTAGAACGGATAAAAGTCACATGCACAGGCACGTGCGCTAAAAAATTTCTCGAAAATCATAAAATTAGTTCCGCAAATCTGATTCCAGATTTCCATATTTGTAATGTTTCAAGAAGCATATTTACAAATTAAGTCCAAGAATAGCATTAGCGGTGTCTTGGCCTGGTGGCTAATTCATGATTAGCCTTCATTCTTGGCTCGGTTGGGTGCCAGTTTGATTCACGGCTATTTGTGCCCTTTTTCTTTCTTTCTTTCTTATTCCCCCGGGGCACTGGGCGGGGGTTGGGCCTAATTGGGTTGGTGGGTTGGGAATTGGGTCAGGGGTTGGGCATTTGGGTTGGGGGTTGGGCATTGGGGTTGGGCATTTGGGTCGGGGGTTGGGCTTTGGGTCGGGGTTGGGCATTGGGTCGGGAAGTTGGGTTGGGGTTGGTGGCTGTGTATTGGGTATGTGTCTATTTTTTTCAAAATGAGTTCGGTTGGGTTGGGTTGCTCATACCGTAGTTCAGATTCAGAGTCGAGCAATTCAGATTACCACACCTTGATCATTTATTTATGATAAATATAATATTCACGACATGTATCTCTAGTTGGTTTTAAAATATATTTCCTTATTTACGTAGTTGTGCACGTGGCTTTTGTCCGTTCTACTAAGGGGGGTTATTAGGTTTAGTCATCACAAGTTTGGCTTGCGGATGCAAAACCTTTTTGGTCATGAGTTCGAAATGAGTCTTTTGTGGCTAAGGGATGTGGCACCCGCTTCAATTCAACGCGATGTGATCAAGTACAAGTAGTTATCAGTACTGGAGTTGTGGAACATATTGGGTATGAAGCTGAACCAATTACCGGCGGGACCTCGCTTGGTGTCTCTGCGGGAAGATAGGTTCCGTCTCTTCTAGATGGGAAGCCGGCCCTCAAGCGAAACTGAACTATTATTGCGGGCAAACCATATCCAGACGAAGTGACGCGGGAATCAAGCCGCTCCAACTCTCTGCCCCTAGATGAGTCTGTTGTAATGGAATCACCCTGAAACGTACGATGTGGCGCGTAGTTAGGAAGCGTGGTGAAGGGCCGCGGGCGTTAGGGTACCAGAGAGGATTCAGGGAAGGTGAGGCATCGTGGATCAGGAGTGATGCACATACATCGTACCATTGCAGTCATACGAAGCACTCCCCCTAAAGATCAGAGGCTGGTCACTGCGGAAGTGCGACACGCGAACCCCGGGGCCAGTGGTTCACAATAATCGGGCATTAGAGTGTGTCCATGGGTACCAACGCCCTCCATGGCGAAAGGTAGACGAAACTGTGTGCCGCAGACTATTAGGTGAGTTGTCGCTACCGGCCAGTGTGCTGCATAATGCGATTCGCTCGCGTGGCGGTTACGCTATGTAGTGCCAAGATGAAAAGAAAGAAGAGTGTGAGTAATTGTGGTCTGGTAGCACTATAGGCTGGGCAGTTTCAGCTCAGTGGCCACTTTCTCCAGTCATTACGTTCGGACTGTGTTAATTTCGATAGTTAGATTGACACGATATACACGAGCAGGGACAGAGAACAACAAGGCGGTAGATCCAGGCCTTTAGCATTAGAGGCCACCATGTCCTCCGGTGGAGCCGAACCCCCCAGTTCCTCGGAGAGTTTCCTCAAGATCCTACACAGCACAGGGACAGGGTGAGCGGGGCAACAGGAACGGAAAAAAAAGGAGGATAATACAAACCTGAACTTCAATGGCCTCAGGCGTTTCGATCTTCTCAATAATCAGTTGCGCGATTCGATCACCTTCCGAGACTGTTGAAGGGGGGGGGGGAAAATGTGAAAAAATGAAAATCCATTGGATTATTGGAGATGACCAACCAAGAAATTCCTTGTCAGAATGGTTAAATAGCAAGACAAAGACGATTCCTCGATAATCGGCATCGATGACGCCCGCGCCCGTAGCGATCATGAACTTTGATGCTGTAGAAATTGCGACTTTGATGTCTAACAGCATATAGACATCCTTAAAATCGAGCTCACCTAACCCACTACGAGGTGCCACGCGACCATATGTGCCTATAGGGACGGCAATGGATACCTGAGTGTCGATAAGTGCTTTCCCCCCCGCAGGAATCGTCCTGGTCTCCGCGCTTGACGCGTCAAACTAATATATTTGTGACCAAGAAAGCCGGCTACGGACGATAATACCACACCTGTAAAGATCGTAGCCCGCAGCCAAGGCAGAACCTCGCGTTGGAAGTTTTGCTTTTTCGGAATGCCGTTTAATTAGGAGGTTTGATCTTGTTGTTGGCGCGACCGTATTCGACCCTTCAGCTACTACGGCATCAATGGCTGGCATTTTACTAGGTCTATCTTCTGTGACTGTACTGGGAGAGAGAGGTCGCTTTAGAGAGGCATCCATTGGCGACCACACGCGTGAGCGTGACGCGACATTTTGCTTCCGGTATTTGAATAAGCAGCAGCCTGCATGCTGCTCAAGCTAGTCGCGCAAACGTCTATATAGGCCTGTTTCTTTTTTTTTTTACGATCATCACATGTACTGGTATTGGCCAAGGCCCAGTTTCCGTTTAATTTCCACTCGTTCCGAACCCCCCCCCAAAGAGACAGAGACATGGATAGGCTGTCAGGGAAACGGTGGTGCATCAAAAACTGAAAACAACGACGCGTACGGCAAACATGACGACCAGAATACTGAGTGTTATAGAAAAGAAAGAGAAAGATTGATTATTTCTCTCTAACGAGTGTGACGAACTCGAAATCGTACCTAGTCAACAATAGCTATCATCGCCGTTCGAATAATCATGATCGACTAACGTTTTGATTCCAGATCGCTGCGTATAAGTACGATCACATTAATACAGGGAATCTCAGAAGCCATTTTGATTCTACAAATCCAAATCTCTTACTCCAAGTCCAAGTTCCTCGTTAAGACATGCGTCAGATACTTAGTTCAAAAACAAAATATGACCCACTTGGCTTCGAATCACCCACCAACTTTCCCCAGGGTGCAGACGACCTGTCAACGAAGAGTCCAAAATATATATATGAAGAACACAGGTGAGTACGTAGAACAATCATTGATAGCCAGATCGATCCACTAACTGGGCGCAATTCCAGAGCGAACATTAGAAATCTATTGGGTGAAAGGGGGTTAGGTAACTTACATCGGTAGAGACGAAGGGCAAAGTAAAGTTGCACAACGGTGGGGCAAATAAACCAATGAGTGTTATATTGATGATGAATGCATGACCACACAAAGGCAGACTCGATCCAGAGCTAGCTGAGGGAGAATATGGTTTTACTAGAGACATCTGATAGAAGTACTTGTTATCGTTGAGAGTGATGTCATGCCAGTGTCGTAATGAGCTTAATTGTGAGAGAGCATACCATACTGTAGTTGGCACCAGAACCCCAAAGTGGCGAATGTGTACTCTGTACACCACAACTGTCGAGGATATCATAGAGAGAAGAGAAGATCCCCCTTGAACCGTATTACATGTATTTCAGATGAGGCTATTGACGTACATTTGAAACATCTAGGTGAGCCTCCAAATGAAACGTAAAGTTAACGGACTACACCATGCATCGCGCGCGTGGGGGTACTCGATTAGCCAACACTCACTTACCATAAGAATCCGACGATAAACTTCAAGGAGATATGATCCTTAGGGAACCTATGGTAATACAGGAAAGCCTGAACGGTGATTACGTTATGGCAAGCGAAGAACATGCGTGGAATGGTCAGAACGAGCGGATGAAGACAGGGGAGCTGAGAGCGGGAAATGCTCCGTCAACTTGATGGTTGCCGGTAACGCAGATGTTTTGGAGCACAAGCCCAGAAATGAAGCCCCCTTGGAGATTTTCTCGAAAGGAGATACTCATCTCTGGTGATGCTAGTATTTGACCTGAGAAATGGACAATATGGAGATACCACACCTACTGCGAAGAAGACTTGCTACGCCTCGTGCTTTCTAATTGGTACCGTGGAGGATCGGATTCCCCGGTCTTTTAGGTTACGCGCGTCTGAACATCGTGTGGCGCCCTTGCTTAGGTGGCAGATTACCAGCTTCTATTGGAATAGACGCCCTCAGGCTGCTCCGAGTCGTTGGCTGCCACTGGATGAATTGCAGAAGAAACGAAATTTGTAGCTTTCAGTTCCCCTACTAGCGAGAAGGGTATAGTGCACAACTTTGACGATGAACACGTTAGAGATTGGGACGGGGTCGCAGTAGACGGAGAAAGCTTTATCGGCGGTAATGATTGAGTTCCGATTGAATGAATTGTTCGGGTTCAACAGGCCTTTCATTAAGATTATTTCAAAATGGAGTCAATCTAAGCCATTGATAAATCTGAATCATTACAAATTTTATGTATACGCGGCACGATACAAGTCATGATGCCGCGCATCGGCAACATGGTACCCGCGCGTGGCGCAGACCGCGCAGGCATCCCACACACTCAACCCTGACGCCGCCTCCGGTCCGACGCGTCCGTGCGTCGTAACATAGCCCCACTGAAGTGATTAGTCATATCATCATATTAATCTTGTCGTTACCTTCGTCCTTCATCACTGTGCGAGTGCACTCCTAGCCAGAATTTCAAGTGGCGTGCGAACACCTCGGCTCTCCTTCGCCGTACCCACTGGCTCGCTGGCAGATAACCTACCCGGCTGATCCGCGATCTGCAGTCCTTTCATGACGCTTCAGCTACGTACCGACGCCTCAGAGGTTCGTGTATCTTTTTCTCTTAAGCTTCTTCTCTCTCCCAATCTTCTTTTCACCTTTTGCTTTTCCTCTGTCCGGCGTTATATCTTATCAAATCATCGATCTTCCCGTCCTACGTCCATAAGGATGTCAGACAGCTCCGATGAATTTGAAATCATCAATGGAACCAGAAATGAAGCCGTTGAAACCTCCCGAGTCGGGGAAGACAGCCAAATCCCTCTTCGACGATGAACCCAGAGATATCTCCTGAAGGAATTCTACGAGAGAACAGATATCCCGAATGGTCGACCGGTTTGAGAGTGTCACAGGGGGACTTATCACAGAGCTCGAATGGATTGGCAAAGGAAACGGAAGCGATTCACCTCGAGCGAAGGAAGCGAGAACGCGATGGAGAGTCAAGAGGTGATGTCCCTAGACCCCCAAGAAAGGAGTTATCAACTCATTTGGCGAACACATTAAGGACGGTGGACCAGGGTCTAGCCGGGGCGACGACAGAAGCTAGTTCGAGCAACGGAAGTTCCACTAGCTGTGAGGGAGATGAAGAAATTCGTTTCGCGGGTGCCTGAGCATCACAGGAACTACTGCAACTTGCGCCCTTGCTTAAAAACACTGACCCAATTCGGGAATATTACATGGAAAAAAAGGCACTCAAGAGATGAAATCGGACATTGGTTCGTTTGTTCATTTTTTCTCTACTCTGGACATCTAATCTTCATGGCTTTGCTATCTGCGCCTGCGATAGACTGAAGGAAATCTCAACCCATCTGCTAACGGGGCATGGTCTATCCATTCGTCCAAATAACACACATCCCCTCACATACACTAAGTAGCCTCACTTATCCGGTTGCGTATCTGGCGAAAGGCATTGGGTCAGCTGTGACGGAGTGGATTGTGGATGCATGGCTCTGACCTTGGCAGGTAGGCGAGATAAGTGTATTGAGATTCCATTTTGTACAAGAAGCTCCCTCCGAAGTCTCGAGCGCGAATGTAAACTAACGTGGAGAAGTCGTCAGTTTTCTGGGGATTTCGCATTGTAACGGGCCATGCACATTGCTCCGTGATGGAATACATACTTAGCCAAAAGGGAGGATGTATAGACACCTCCAAGCGGCTGAGAAGCATAGTGCAACCGTGATGTCAGGTTTCCGTATTGGAGTGCAGGTATACCTTACCATGCCGAATATCAGCTGGATGAAGTGGAAGCCGTAGAATACGAACTGCCCAGAGACAGGCTGTCAGGGCTACATGGTGCATCAAGAGAGCTGGAACAACGTACGGCAAACATGATGGCCAATGCCAGAATACTGAATTATTGAATACGAGAAAGGTTGATTCATGGAGCTATTTCCCGACAAATCGTACCTGGTCAGCAGGCCAGTGTTGATGGCATATACTGCTAACTTTCGTAACACCGTATCCGTCCTGGGGAGGCGTGTTCGTTCATTTTCTTCGTCGACCCGGAGGCTGATAAATTGCTTACGGTCGAAATCCTGTGCGGCGCTTCTGAAGGAAATATGACATAGCGAAGGCAATCACGAGGTCTGCCACTGCCTACGGATTTGGCATTGTTTATACAACTGCAGTTCTATGGTCAATGCATAAAGTGGACGTACCTCCAATGTCAGCCAAGTTATCACGACGTGGCGTATAGGCTGGATGAAGCTTTCAAGCTCGTGGGTGACATTCCTATCAGTGATGAAGATGAGGATAGCATCACCATTCGAAAATGCTCTACTAACGCTTTGATCCAGATCGCTGCGTATAGTACGAGCAGAATACAGGGAATCTCAGATGTCGTTTGATTCTGCAATCTGTGTAGTTCTCTTACCGAGTCCAGTCCCTAGTCAAGACATGCGTCAGATAGTCCAAAACATGACCACTTGGGTTCACCCACCAACTTGCCCCAGGGTGCAGAGGACCTGTCAACGAGGATTCAAAACAAAAATTCACATGAAAAATAGGTGAGTACGTACGACCAGCGCTGATAGCCAGATCGATCCACTAACTGGGCGCAATTCAGAGCGAACATTAGAAATCCATGGGTGAAGAGGGAGATTAGGTAACTTACATCGGTAGAGACGAAAGGCGAAGTAAAGCTGCACGACAGTGGAACAAATAACCTAATGGGCATTATGATGGGTGCGTGACCACACAAGGCAGATTCGATCCAGAGCTGAGGGAGATTATGGTCTCACCAGAGAAATCTGATAGACGGTATCATACCTGTCGCGGGAGTAATGTCATGCCAGTGTCATAATGAAGTTGTGAGAGAGCATACCATACTGTAGTTGACGGCAGAACTCCGAAGTGGCGAGTCTGTATTCTATACGTCGCAACTGCCGAAGTTATCCTGGAGAAGAGACGATCCTTGAAACGTATCTCCGATGAGGCTGTTGACTTACACTTGAAACATCTGGGTGAGCCTCCAAATGGAACATGAAGTCAACGGACTCTACACCATGCATCGCGTAAATCACTCGATCAGCCAGCACTCACCATAAGAATCCGACGATGAATTTCAAAGAAATATGATCCTTAGGGAACCTATGATAATACAGGAAGGTCTGAACGGTGATTGCGCCGACGATTCTATTGCAAGGAATGATCAGAACGAGCGGATGAAGACGGGAGAGTGAAAATGTTTCATCATTGGCAAAAAAGATGGTTGTGAATGCTGTCAGTAACGCACATGTTTTGCAGCACAAACCCATAAAGGAATCCCCCCAGGATATTTTCGCGAAAGGACATGCCCATCTCTCGTGATGCTATTTGACCTGGGAAATGGGTAATGGAGATACCACACCAACTGCGAAGACTTGCTACGTGTTATATATATCCTCATGCCTGTGAATTCGCGGGATTGCACGCAAGGCCAACTTTGTAGTCTGCTTCCGATGACCGTGCCGCGCGCTGTTGGCCATCAGAGCTGAAACCGGATAAATTGCGGGAGCTAGTGTGTGATAAACGATATTAGCGGCTCGCAGCCCCCCAATGATAACGAAAACATGGCACCCAATGGCTGAGGACTTGTCGCACTGCTTAGAGATTGCGTCGGTCGCGGTAGATAGAGGGTGCCTGAATGTTTTGTAATGGAGCTATTGGTAGGATCTTCGGACGTAGCCGAGATATGGAAGCTGAGGGTTAGCGCGCATAAGCAGCATAGCCTGGAGATGCATGATCGCGCAATTACCGCATCACATCGCAATGATCTCTGATCGTTAATCACAATAACCAGGAAATACGATTGCTTGTGTGAGCGCCAAGGGTAAAGGCAGGTAGCCGTTCCCCCGGCAAATGTAAAAACAGGCCCCCTAGCACTGCTAAATCCTCCAGTGGACCCGAATCGCTCTGCTCCTCAAAAGAGTCACTTTAGGATCCTGCCCGAGCGGGGCATAGGAGCGAAAGAGAATAATTCAAACCTGAACTTCAGACGCGTCGATCTTCTGAACAATTTTCGCGGCGCGCGCGCAATGCGATCACCTTTCGAGGCTATGTGGGAAAACGGACCATCCAGTTAAATCCCTTGCCAAAATGATTAAATAGCAAGACACAGACGATTCTTCAATAATCGGCATCGATGTCACCTGCGCCTGCAGCGATCTTTGCGTCAAAAACCAAGACCATGATGTCCAATAGCACCCACCTGTCCCGCTACGCGACCATATGTGCCCTCGGGAAGAGTGATAGATATTTGAGTGTAGATAAGCGCGCTCCCCGCGCACGAATCGTCTTAGTCCCCGCGTTTGACGCGTCAAAATAGCACAGAAGCGGTTACAAGCGATAACGCTCGCCTATACCCGCAGCACAAGCAGAACCTTGCCGTTCAACTGGGAGTTTTGATCTTGGCGCGACTGTATTTGATCCTTCAGAGTCATCAGAATCTAGCGATATGTTGCCCAGTTCGGTTTAGAATAATCAATATTTAATTTACCTGGCGATATGTCGCTAGTATACATACATGGGTCAGATACAAGGCATCTGGACACAAGATAAGGGAAAGCTGTCTCACCTCAGTTCCGTAGTACGTGAACTGAGGAAAGACGTAAAGGAAATTTTTCTCGAGTTATAAGCGAGGAGCGCACAGGCATGGTGACGAGTTTACCAAGAAGCGCCGCAGACTCAACTCCGTGAGTCAGGTCACAGCGTACGTCAATACCCGATATCCCAAAAAATTCTGCAAGAACCAATGACTAGCACTTTTCCCGGTCCATCTTCTGTGATTGCGCTAGGAGAGAGAGGCCATTTTAGAGATGCGTCCATTGCGTGTTTGCAGGCGTGACGCGACATTTTGCTTCCGGACCAACGATGCCTCCCAAGCGCGGTCGTTATTCGAGGACCGGCGCTAGGGGAGATGGGCCTGATGGCCCCCCCACTCAGTATCAGACTCGGCTTACGGATATATTTCTTCCGAAGCCGCCCAAGCCCCCACCCAGCTCCCGCAAGCATACACGAAGTGTTACTGCAGCACTCAAGTCGCAACCCTTTGATTCTCCGGCCGGTTCCTCGGTCACTCCGAAGACAAGAAAGCCGAGCTCAAGGGCATTGGCCCCTTCTCCTGCTGTAAGGAGCACTCCGAAAAGCCGAGAGACACCTCCACTTGTCGACATAAGCAGTGATTCGGAAATTGTGCCTCTTCCTAAGCGTCGGAAGCGTCTCCCAGAAACCCCAGCATTGAGAACTGTCGTTAGCACGCGTATGTATTTGTTAGCTTCCTATTGTTCATTTCATTTCATTCCATCCGTTTTTAGTTGCCCCCCCTTCGACCATCCGCAGCTCAACTGTTGTGATAAGTTCTAGCCCTACCCTTGCAGACACGACACCGCACCTAGATACTACTGTTAAGGGGAAAGAGAGGTCAAGGGGGCCACGAAACGACTGGGATACGAGCCCAACACGCGCAGGATCGATTTCACTGTTTCATACCTCTGACGAGAATCGAAATATTCCAAGCAGCCGAGTGACATCCCCAATGGACGATGAATCTGATGTTGTGCCTTCTTCCCAAACACAACGTTCTTACATAATTGTTGAGGCCCAACCATCGGACTATCGTGGAGTTTGGAGCTTATCGAACGGACCCAAAACACCTTCGAAGGTGCCCCGGGGGGAAGCCTCTCGCGATTCTGTGGTGCCGTCTTCTCAGACCCCTGAGCGGCATATTTGGGCTTCTTCATCCATTCATGCGTCAGATAAACCATTCGAAAGGAAAGGCGGCTCTCTGAAAAGTACCCTCGCTACCCCGCGCAAGTTTGTTGTGCCTGGTACAGCAGATCCTGCTTCGAGTATCATCGTCACCAAGGGGCAACTGATTTCCCCAGGAAGGCTTTCAACCCTCGATAATTCACCTATGGAGTGCTCGTCGACAGCTTTATTTCATGTTGACCAACCGCGCTCAAATGAAGGGTCCCAGACACAGAATACTGATACACAAGGATCGGAGACGCAAGATACCATGGGTGATGATTATGGCAGCAAACTACTATCCCAGCTCCGTCTCGATCCCCCTTTCCCGACCCAAAGGGTTCCGCAGTACAAAGATGATAGGCGATGGCGGGAATACCGTCTGAGGGCCACGCCTTTGCCTTCCGAGGGGGAAAGCTACTTCTCACTAGCCTCACTGCTTCCAAAGAACCAACCTCTGGACGAGAATGCTTGCGCGCCGATGACACCATCCCCGACCAAGTCACACGCCAAACCCACTGCTGAAGACGTTCAACTCGACTTCCTTCAGTCCAGCCCGCTTTCACCAAGAAGTCCACAGCGAAGTTTTAGACGTGATTCCGATGAGAGCATGCCTCCCGATGTTAAGCGGTTCCTCTTCTCCGAATCCTATCAGGAGAGTATGGAAAAGTACATTTTGGATAGCAGTCAAAGCCAGGCATGAAATCCGTCCGCCTCTTTCAACTCTTTTTTTAGATCTTCTCACTGCTTTGCATGAAATCACCTATTACCACCATTACCACAAGCGTTAATCAACATTCTCGTGTTATATACATAGCGGAACGGACTTCATTCATGTATATTTAGTCACCCAGATTGTAGTATATTCTTCCTGCAACGTCATCAACTACCCATTCCAATGCCTCAGCTACGTTTTGACCCGTAATGGCACTGCATGGCATGATCTTCCAATTATGCGTCCTGATAGACCGAAGGTCAAGGGCCTGAATGCACAAGTCGCTCCATAAGCGGAATCTCAATGAAGGCAGGAATAAATGGTCACCTTTTTAATTTCTGCATCGGTCATAGCACCATTCAGATCCTGCTTATTTGCCAGAACTATAAGACTTGCACCTGCGAGTCTCTAGCGTGACAAGTCAATAAGTCGGCGAGATAGGTCTTCAGGTGACTACGCACGTCCTCCTGAAGCAAGGAATGCAATTCCTCCTTGCAGTCCTGCATTCGCAGTCGATCCGACGAGTCGACAACCCATACAAGAGCATCGGTCTGTTCAAAATAATTCCTCCAATATGGACGAAGCGTTCGTTGTCCACCCACATCCCCTTAAAAACGCCTATCTATCAGTCCATCGTAAAGTATCAGAAAATTAATTAGCCCGAGGCTACCGACAGATGTTCAAGGTATATCTGGTTCGTTGGGAAAAATCCCGTATCAGCTAAATAGGCTCAGAATGGGACGGATCGCTCGATTGCGCACTTGCCGTGGATAAAGGTTTTGATCTCGAAGCCAAGAGTCGGACTGACAGAGCCTATGTCGTCACCGTTCAGACGCTTCAGGATGGTTGTTTTCCCAGCATTGTCCAGCCCTCTGTGAAATGCGTGGGGCTTTTAATAAGTGTGACGAGGCTAGGGTGTCAAGGGTATATAGATTTCACTTGCAGGAAGAGTATCCTCATTTCTTTTGCCTTCCGTTGGTTCTTCCGAATGATAGAGAGGAGTCCCATTCCGAGATCGACAGTAGGAACTCAAATGCGAAGGCTGAATGAGACAAATGGACAAATGAATTAGAACCTTGGTGCCGATAGAAAATCACGTTTGCCTTTGTGGCTATGCTCTCGGGGTGGCTGTCCGCGCCTTCTTTTTTTTTGGACAACCTTACGTAATAAATCCAATCCACTTGCAAGAATGTCAGAGGACCTCATCTCATCTCAACTCATCCAGCTCAGCATTAATCATGACAAGCCGCGACTCATTACGGCTCTCCCAGTGGAGGTTTTGGTTAACACCTTTCCTTGAATGGTCTCATGGGGTGCAAACAGGCGAGTTTTAGTTAAAAGCAGTTCGCTTGCCCTTTCGTTCCTCACGTTTTTATTCCTCTTTGTCATACATTTTTATGGTTCTAATATAAGTGACGTTCGCAGGCAACTAAAGCCTCTCTCTATGTCATCAGGGGTCGTTGGTTCTCCAGTATAACATCGAGCGCGAAACTTACCTTCTTGCCGGTAGCACTGCCGCTTGTACGGGTGATGTATATGCAGAGACTACCAGGTCTGATGGGACCGGCCCCAGATCCAGATCATCTCTCTATTGCAGAGAAACTTACGAGTCTTCGTAGGCGGGAACTTGGATGGGCTAATTTGAAATGGCGGCCCCAAACATGTACCATTTCGGCCAACCCATGGCCCCATTTCACTTTCAGGGACACGGAGTCTTTGCGTATGTGCACAAAGTAACCGTGTCCGGTGGCTTTGATTGTCTATGGCTCCACCCCCTTCCGAGATTCGCGGATCGTCCTTCGAATTCAAAAGGTCACGGATTATCATCCGCACTGCTCAGGCCAATCGATTCTGAGCGTCAGGTGGACCTAGAAGGTGGAGATCACGATAATGTTGAAATAGACTGGCCCAAAACGCCTATTCTCCACCACCTCGGCTTCGAGTATCTGGACTTCAGTATCGATCCGGAACAGGATTTGGCCATTTACGTTTGCTGAGACTCTGATAAGATGTTTGTCAGAATAAGGCAAATGTGATGGCTTTCACCCGATGGCCCAATATGAGACTCTCGATGCTTGCCCGGTGCTGGATCCTTCGCACATTCTTGTCGAGATCTTTGGCGACTTTGTCGGCGTCATGCTACAGGATGCTGGTCACCACTATTTTTGGATTTGGAATTGGAAGACAGGGATATGCCAATGTGTAAGTGTCTTTCACTGGCTCTGCATATGAGGCATTACCCTGAACCTCAAGAGCACAGGAACTCTCAAATTCAACCATGGAGTCGTTTCTTTTCTTATCTCCGCGCCATTTCATCATTCCTCAACGTGAAAGGGACTCGATCTCGCTAGCAGTCTATTCATTTAGACCTTGTCATTACGACGGTCCCCCTATTAAACCCTTGCCTTCCATCTCAGCATGTCGCGACATTCCAATTACCCGATTTCTCACCCTGGTTGGAGTATTCACACGTCATGCGGTTGCACTGCCGGCCCAGTCCCGTCTTTGAAGCTCCAGAATATGAAATTTTATCCGGGGGAGAGCCGATGTCTGCACACGGACCTATTCCAAGCATGTCCTCCTTTCCATCAGGTTCAGTTCAAGATTCTTCCACAACTTCGGACGATCTGCCAAAATGGGGGCGTACACACGCCACCAACGGACCGTTTGTTCGTCCCCGGCAGGATGATTTCAGGGTCGCTGTCTTTTCACCTACTCCGTTCTGTACGTGGGAAGTGTCTTACCGGATGTTTATTGCCGTGTCCGACATCTATTGCACGACCAAACGTTTCGAGAGCGATTTCCATACTAAGGGAAAGATACTGGATGACAATCTAGACGCCAACTCCGACGCCGACTCCACCCTACCTATCCATGTCCCATGGGGTGATTGGGGACCTCGTTCTGCGCGCTTGTTGGCGACTGGTCACGAGACATTCTGCTCTATTTTTATGAACCGATACATCTTCACCCGAGGGCGTGTACAATAGGATCCCTGGTTAGCCCCTGAATGGGGACGCTCTACCCACCTTCATATGCTGGATTTCAACCCCTATTCGACTCGTGCTGGGTCTATTGGCATGAGGGATAACACCGATTCTGATGACAGGATTGAGCGTGGCGCAGACGCGGAAAGACGGTCAGGCAACGAGGAGCCCCCTTCATCCAGTTCGATCAAGCCACCAAGGATATCAAAGGGTTTCAGAATTTCAGGTCGTATGGAGACTCGCCTCAAACGGACGTAGCCCTTGGCAAAGTCGTCACTGGACTTCCATACCGTGAGGTGACGAGATCCGTTACCGATGATAGACGCAGAGAGGATATTGCTCCTTGATGTGAGTCCATCTTATACATTCATTTGACAAGCCATGGCCATAGTGTGATTATTTTCCGATTTTCTAGAGTGATCAAGGCACTATTAAAGTCCTTGTCATTTAAATGCATATCACCTGTATGGATTGTTTAGGATCCTAATCGTCCCTGTCATTACCCCAGTTTGAAATGGCCACTTACAGTGCTTTCTCTGGACCTTCCATCATCATGTGCTTATCGACTTGTGATTCTTCCGCAACTAGGGCAGCCCTAGTTGGCCGAGCTTGCAAGGTATCTGTTTACAAAGGGAGGTCATTCCGTGGGGGAAAGTTGAATCCCACCCCCTGAGAAATGGCCAAAGGCTGAAGGTGCCGCAAGCTCAGCCATTCAGTTTGAGGGGAACAAAAATGGCCTGTACCCGAGCAAAAGTTGAATTAGTTCCCCCCGCAAGTGTGGATGCATGTGGTTTGTAATTCGGAACTTGAGCCCAAGATACATGCATGCACGGGAGATACACAGCCGCTGCTAGGTGACGAGATACTTTGATTCCAACAGCATTGGCCGGATATAAAATCATTAAATGTGGGGGGAAGGTTGGGTCATTACATTACATAATCGATTGATTCAATGGATGATGGCTGAAGCAGCTTACAACAACAGACTCGCAACATCTACTTTCGATCCCAACATAAAAGCAACATGCTGAACCCTCAGGTCGGGCTCATGGATTCAACATGGATCGCGGTGGATGGATGGGTGCATCAAAAGCAACACAATTCAACGTACGGCCGAGTACCGGCGTCGCACTATTCTGTTGGTTCCCTTCTTTTTGTTACCACCCGTACAACCACCACACCGCTGAGCGCGTAATATGTACAAGGGTGTCAGACTACCAACACTTTTTTTCTGCTCAAGAGAATTTCGATAATGCGGCTCTCCTGCGGGTCTGTTTAATATTGTGGGTGCAAATCTTCCAACCCCGTATCTTCAGTGAAAGAACTAGAATATCAAATTTACGGGCCGTCCGCGTTCACCGCCACCAGGAACAGTCAAGTCCGAAGTTTGTGCTTGGGATGCCCCCGACTCAACGCTGTACGCCGCCACGAAATACGACGTCATTGATATATTCGGCCGTAGAGCCGCGGAAGGAAGCCGTGAGACTGGACCAAGTTGTTGAGTAGGGATGGGAAGGAGAGTGATGATGACTTCCGGGAACAGAGCATATGTTTCTGCAGAAGACAGTGCGTCGTAAGCAATAAATGTTGGGCGGGCTTCGAGTCACCCTTCCCATTGTCCATCTCAAGCATGACACCGAAATTTACACATTTGAGGGAGCCCATGTTTTGGCTGTTCGCAAGCAGTACTATTCGGTTCGTTAAAGATTGAGCATCAAACATTGTTGTAGCGGACTTCCCAAATTCAGGCTACACCCCAATGCAAGCCCACCGATTGGAGAGAGCATCAAACTCTACTGTCGGCTGGTTGATGACCATATATGCCAGGATGTTTGGCGCTGTCGCGCAACAGTTTTTCTCCCCCAAAGCTAGCCAGTCGCCTTTCAGCCAGGAATCTTTCTTCCACCCGGCCTATCTGAACTCGAAGTACTAGAAACGTGCACCCGGGAGCGTCACACTCTACCGCCACCTAGTTGTCACTCACCCGAATCCTATGGTCCCATCCAAACAGGACTCTGTGACTTCATGGTGTTATGTGGAGGTCCCGTCCAAATTTGGAGGCTCCAGCTGCGTTGTAGAGCCGAATTTGGAAAATCTGGTGCACAGCACCAGGGATTGACGCTTCAGGAGAGCAGCTTGAGCGCGATGCCTCCAGAGTCAATTACTGAAGATGTTTTCATCGCCTTTGGCACATTATTGATGATGTGTTTTCAATAAGGAAGGTGAGTTTCCAGGTCGAGCTTGTATTTATTTGGGGTGCCTTGATGGCACTTTTCCAGTGTGGTTCAAGGCATCTCTATTGGATGTCGTTTTCGAAGGCATTTGTTAGATACTGATCCGGGGTCGGGCACCGAAGGTCGCCGATGCGGACCGCTAAGGGCTGCGATGGCCGCGATGCCTCAGACAAGGCCCGAGGGTAGGGCATTTGGCCTCAGCAACTCTAAAGGGAGTGCTGTGCCCCCTAGTTGTCTCTTGGCCCTCATTTCGAACTTACTGGGGCTGCCTTGTTGGGGTCAGGGCTTGGGGTCGTGGTCAAGTCGATATTAGAGCTAAGGTACTATAATGTAATATACAGGATATATATATGAAGGTAGAATGAATAGGAGCGGACCCGGGCCGAAGGCCGAAGGGTCCGGAAGCAAATAGGAACAAAGAGCGGGGTTGGCCGCACCATGGCCGGCAATGACCGAGGGTCAAAACAAACAATAACAGATAAATAAACGAAGGGGTGTAGGGCCACGATAGCGGCGATGGTATCATAGCGGAGTAGGCGATGTCGCGGAGTCACGCTAGGTCGGTACCAGAGGCGGACTTGGGGCAGGGAGGTCGGTGTGGCTGTGGGGGAGTCGGCCAAGTGTAGGGGAGCCTAGGGGCAAGTGGGGGAGTGAGCAGGGAGGCCCTCAGGGAGGATAGGGCTGAGGTCGGGGCTCGTGCTCGCGCTCGCACAGTGGGAATAGGCTTGGGCAGCATCGGGACGGGCGGCTAATGGGCTGGGATGCATGGTCGTGACAGTATCCCCCTCTTAGGGCCTGAACCCTTGAAGGCCTAAGAGTGGTGATGTCAGGAATGCCAGCTACAGCACAGCACCGGAGTCGGAAGAGAAAAAGGTGCAAGATGAATGCTGCCGACATCTCGGCAGGGTCTTGGTGTCCATAAAAGGACAAGGGCGCGGTACCTTGCTTTGGTATCCAGTCAGCGCATGCGGCACCGAGTCCGGAATCAGCAGGGGGTACGGCAGAGGGTGTCCCACAAGGAGACAAAGTCGGAGCGCTGAAAACAGCGGCGTGGAAAGATCAGAATGCCTCAAGCAGAGGCGAAATCGGCGCGGGATTGGTGTGGTACTCAAAATGGAAGTCGGAGAAGGAGTCGGCAATGATGGACTGGAAGGTCAGAGGAGAACAAGCTGGTGGACTTGTCTCTCAACTCAAACTTGGCCTTCCTACCATGCTTCCTATGAGTCCAGGGATCCGGGTAGCGGAAGGGAAGTGGCCTAATCGGCCCGAAGGGTGTGGAGGCGACAGATGGAGGCCGGTTGGGCAACTCACATCATGTCCAAAGGTTCAGAGGTGCGGCGCATGGAGGACAAGAGTCCACTCAACATGACCGCGGAGTTCGGGGATGCGGCGCAGGGAGGACGGAAGTCAACTCACAAGGTGGCTGCAAGCGGAGGGGTCAAATGATGACACATGGGAGACCACACAAGTGGCTCTCATAGTGCCCGAAGGGACGGAGTGTGATAGAGTTCCCAGCGGTGCGGCAGTACAAGGCACGGTACTGCTGCGGCATGGTGCAAACTCATCACGGAAGGAAATGGTGGGGTTGAGATGAGGTCCTCAGGGTGCTGGAGCACAGGCCGAGGGTAGGCTCACTCAGGGTGTTCAGGTGGTTAGCCTGCCAAGGGCCGGGAATGCGCAGATTTGCGGCATTTGGTATGAAAACTCGGCTAAGTGGCAACGGCGTCACCAGGAGAACGGGAACAAAGGACTCGGGATCCCATTCGGTGATGGCACAAGGAGGTACTCCCTGCCGCTATGTTGATTACGGCGAAAGCGGCGATAGCGGGATTGACGGGATGGAGTCCTATGGCCATTTGGGGAATCGGAGTCAACTGGGGGAGCCAAACAGGCTCGGAGCGGTGTACCTAGGCGCGGGTGAAGGAAGACATCTAGTCCTCAACTGGGTTACGAGGACCCGGCCAGGTGGTTTTGGAACCGGTGGTGTTGTATCATCAGATACGGGCTCAGAGGTCATTTGGGGGTTGGGATACAAGAGTCGGCCATACTAGGCCTTCTGCAATGACTGACCTATGAGGTCGGGAGAGGACTGTAGGGGTGTGCACTCAGGCACCGAAGGGTCGGGGGTGGATAGGGATGATGTCCGGGTGGTGAGGGAGGATCAGCGTCATGCACGGGCTTGCTCCAGGCTAAAGCGGTGCGGTGGTTGACAGGACAACGCGGCAAAAATCCTCGGTGAAGACTGGTCAAAGGCCAAAGGTTGTTAGGCGCGGAGTCCTTATCCCCCTCTTAGGGAAGACGTCCCATCGTCTAACTATACTTATAGGCTTGTACCGAGTCTCCTGGAGACAGTGGCGGAACATCACGGTGTCGGGATAGTACTTCAACTATTGGACAGGCCAAAATAGCCGAAGCCGGAGGGTGCGGCGTTATCGGGGTAATTCCCAATAGACTACCACAGGTGTCCGGGATTCCACACACAGGCGGAATAGCAAAGGTTCTTCCTCAAAGTCGGTCCTAAGGTTAAACCCATGATAAAACATGGTATACCCTCGGAGTCAGCAGAGAGGTCGACGGTGATGGGGTGTTAGCCCATAATGCAAGGCCGGTGACGGCCAGATGGGGTGTCAACCAGCGGTGGTGAGGCCGGTGACTGGTAATGTTGGAGGGTGCGGGGCTTGGGTGTTCAGATGCTCAGGATGTGTGGCCCATAACGTCAATCACTCAACGGAGTATCATGACTAGAGTCCGTGATCCTAGCGGTAGAGCGGTGAAGTCCGGCAAAGCGGAGTAGAGTCGGAGTGGAGTGTTTGGGGTTGGACTGGGTGCACCGTTGTCTAGACGCGGTATGTTCAAGAACCATTGCTCAACGGAGCCTCAGGGAGAACAACCTTGTCATAAGACAAGTGGGATCGCGGCCCATCCAACAAAGTGATGGCAAGGCATCGGCGAAATAGGCGAAGGTGAGTAGTCAACCAGCGGTGTGATGGCCGAAGGTGACAGGGAGACTAGGGTGGAAGCGGCACAAAGGCGCACTATCCCGGGATGGTATACCTAGCATTACTAATGGAATGCCTGGTGGTCAAAGTGCATACGCGGCGAATCGGCTTGAATGCCAACCAATGGGAGTACTGCCCAAAGGCGGCCGGGGGTGCGCGGGGGTACTAAACTGGAATACTCGGACGTTCAGACTAATTTACTTGCTCAAAATCCCGGTCGCTCAACGGAGCGAGGTGGGTGAGTGTAGTTGGTGTCCCCGAAACGGTAGGGTAAGATCCATATAGCGAGGTGACATTGAAATGTCCAAATTGATTGCACCGGTAGCATAGCGGGTTTGATAATTGTTGCGGGCCTGGATACCGGTGTGCCGGTAGTACCTCTACAACAGTCGAAGTGATAATCGGCGATGAGCCAGATCATCGGGGGGTGACAAAATCCTCAAAAGCGAGGAGACGGTGGCCAAAAAATCGGCGAGAGGACAGAGTCCTCAGACGGAGTGGACAGCGTTCCCAAAAGGGAAACAAATGTCCCAGAAGAACAGAAACGGAAACAGAAAACAGAGAGACATTGAAAACGAGCGACATGTTTCAAAATGGAGTAGACCATTGGAGAGAAACAGAAGCAGAAAAGCAAAAATCGGCGAAGATATCGGCGAAATGCCGGTTTTGGTAATTAAGCCATTAGCGGCGAAGGTAACGAATTTTCGGGGAAGTCATATTTTTATTTTTGAAAATCTAAGGAACAAGAAAAACGAGGATTGGACGGGAGACAGAAGTCCCGGAAATGGAAACAATCTAGAGCCGGGGCATGTCCCCTTGAACGGGAAATCGACCGTAGTCAAACCAAAAAAGGAAACAGAAAATGAAAACGGAAATGGAGCAGACTATTTGTTTTGTCTCAGAAGAGACGCCCGGTTTGATTTCCGGAGGTGCGGCCTTGGTTGCTCAAGCCAAAGGTGCACTAACAAGAGTCTTAGGCGATTCAAAGCCGTTAAGGCCAGGAAAGCCGCCAACTAACGCGGGGTTGTGAAGCGGCAAGCTTCAACAACAGGTCAAGAATGTGACAAAGGTCTTTGGCAGTCCCTAGCCGTCTAGGCTGGGCTAACCGCAGACTAACAAGAAGTTGTGAAGCGGCGATCTTCAACAATGGCGGAGGTGTAACGGCGATCTTTGGCAGTCTTTGGTCATCTAGGCCTGGACTTGCCGCAGATTAACGGGATTGCGGAAATGCGGGGATGGTCGGTTCCTATTGACCTAACGGGTTTCACAAGCATCTACAGATGCATCCTAGGGTACAGGATAATGGCAGAGGGCAGGTGTATGGGTAATGTCTCGCCGAGACTTTCGCCACACTCCTAACCACTCTAGCCTAACAGAAAACGGCGTCTAGCCGAATGCGGGGGTGACGGCGAACTCAACCGTCAGCGGACTGAGGAGAGCTGGATGCCAGCAGGGAAAACCCATAAGGAAATCCAACCATGATGTGACCAGCGGCGCACAAAGCGTCTCCAGCGATCAATAGTCAGAAATCCGGGTGAATACCCAGCGGCTTGGAATGCGGGATTGATAACCGAAGTTAACGGTATCGCGGGTGAATGAGCGGGGGTGCCTGGATGACTGAAATGTCATGTGGCATGGCAAAGCGGGAAACAGGATGGCACGGAGACAACGGCAGCGCAAGCCAGACTACAAGTAGCCTGACAAGCTGAGCACTCCCCCCTGGAGATGTGCTCATTCTGCATTGGCAAACCCCCTTCCTGGGAGCAAGCCAATTGACGTCGTCTGGGTCGGAATGGATGAGGAATGCCTAAGTTAGCCTACTCCCAGGACTTTGGAAGAGGCATCGGGGTGCAAAGCGGCGGCGATCTTGAAATCAGTTGCACGCTTGCCGAAGGTTTGGATGTCGGGGTTGAAGTGGATGATGGGTGCCTATCTGGACTGCTCCCAGGACTTTGGAAGAGATGCCCACAAGGGCTCGGGGTGCCAGCAGCTTGCTAGCGGCGTCAGAGGGGTCGGATTGGAGATCGGGTTTGGTAGAAGTCGGGTTTCCAAAATCTGATCGAGATCGGATAAGACTGATGGGGGTCGCGATAAGACTGGATGAAGGATCAGAAAGGACAGGAAGGGACTACAACTCAGGCTCGCCGATTGGGGTACAATCTGAAGCAAGAGTGGTGTAGCCAGAGTCGGGTTGGGACTGAAATGTCGCGCATCCAGTGAATATGGTATTCAGCGACCTAAAAACCCCATCTGAGTGCCTATCCAAGGCCCCAGAGGGTCACAGAACGCGGGTTTGAGCTATACTAGCATCAGGAACCCAAGAATCCCTACTGAGAGCAATCCAGCTTCAGTGGGAGTGGTTTTCGCGCGATTATTGGCCGTGGGAAAGATCCGTGATCGGCGACGTGGCACGGTATCGCGGGAAAGCTGAGATCGGAGTCAAAACTAGGAACGATGTTGAGACAACCTAGGGAGAGAGCTCTAATATACTGTTAGATACTGATCCGGGGTCGGGCACCGAAAGTTGCCGATGCGGACCGCTAAGGGCCGCGATGGCCGCGATGCCTCAGACAAGGCCCGAGGGTAGGGCATTTGGCCTCAGCAACTCTAAAGGGAGTGCTGTGCCCCCTAGTTGTCTCTTGGCCCTCATTTCGAACTTACTGGGGCTGCCTTGTTGGGGTCAGGGCTTGGGGTCGTGGTCAAGTCGATATTAGAGCTAAGGTACTATAATGTAGTATACAGGATATATATATGAAGGTAGAATGAATAGGAGCGGACCCGGGCCGAAGGGTCCGGAAGCAAATAGGAACAAAGAGCGGGGTTGGCCGCACCATGGCCGGCAATGACCGAGGGTCAAAACAAACAATAACAGATAAATAAACGAAGGGGTGTAGGGCCGCGATAGCGGCGATGGTATCATAGCGGAGTAGGCGATGTCGCGGAGTCACGCTAGGTCGGTACCAGAGGCGGACTTGGGGCAGGGAGGTCGGTGTGGCTGTGGGGGAGTCGGCCAAGTGTAGGGGAGCCTAGGGGCAAGTGGGGGAGTGAGCAGGGAGGCCCTCAGGGAGGATAGGGCTGAGGTCGGGGCTCGCGCTCGCGCTCGCACAGCGGGAATAGGCTCGGGCAGCATCGGGACGGGCGGCTAACGGGCCAGGATGCATGGTCGTGACAGCATTCTGGATTGCGTGGATATATAAGAACATTGTCAAAGCAGGCCTCTGGATACCGTACCACCTCAGTGGATTATGTGCCTCGCCAAGCACTGTTCTGGAATGCCTGGCTGTTTGGACTTTCCGTGTCTTGGCCAATCGTGATCTGTGGACCTTTCGACCGCGGTGTCTCAAGAACATTCAATATAATGCTAATTCTATATCATGGCTCACTCTCTATGGAGGGCGTTGGCTCTTCCTCGCGTTTTCGGTGGGGACGTTAGAGATCTGGGATACCCACCATGACATGCCTCCTCAGCCACTTGATCTTGAATCTGCCAGCGGATGGGTGTGCTCGGGGCTTGTTCATTCCCTTCAAACTGATGTTGATAAGCCTCTTCTTGTTGTTTCGTACAGGTGACTTGCGTTTGATCCTATCGGTGGGGTGTTTCTTACACTTTATACCTTTCATATCAGCAATCACAGGTCTCAACTGCTGGAATGTGCGTTGGATGGCTATCCCATGCTCACTCACCTGAGGACATACGAAACGGCCTCTGAGCCACTTGCTGCACACAATGACCTTATTTTATTTGCTACCACGACTCAACCAGAAATGTTGGCGCTTGCCAGAATGGATGGTGCAACCTGGACTATCAGTTCTAAAGTCGATGATGCAGTCGTAAGCATTGCAGGTTTGTCTGATGATGGCATGGACTCTGAGACATTCCTTCAGCCACAACGTGTGCAGGCTGGATTTTTTACAGAATCTCATATCGTTGTCTTCAAATACTCTGTCATCTGCATATACGGACTTGATACGTTCAACAAGTCCTCTGTCTACATATCGCCCCAACTTTTTATTAATCCCAAGCAAGTCATAGACCTCGAGGGGGGAGGGTATGCCCTCTTCCAGGTTCAACCATGGGTCAGAGGAGAGTCGGGTCATTCCATTATTCAGCTAATTGCACGCTCCGGTGACAACTTCTTGCTCTGCCCGCTGAGCACAGATGATGACACTGGCTTGATGACCCTAGACTGTTCCTATGCTCAGATGCGTTATCGGTCTAATGTGCGGTGGCCATGGGTTCGTAACCTTGCATTGACTTCGAGCAACAGCAGCTGTGTCTTCTTCTCTGGTAATGCATCCCCCCAGAATCCAAGAATTGTTGTCTGTTCCATTAAAGAGGGCCAGCTTGGTGAACCTCGGACATTGTGGGAGCTCCCTGGGCCTGACTGCTGGGACAATGGTTTATACTTGTCGCTTGATGATGTTCTTGGTGTGATGGTAGTGGGTACATCTCAGGGAAACGTTTGGCTTGTTGATTTGGGGTAGGTGATAATCGTTGCTGGTGTGCTCACGATTTTTACTGAGCCTGCATTCCACAGACTATCGGGAGAGAACTCAGTGTTTGTCAACGGAAAAGCGAACATTCCTCGGGAACTACAGAAGAATCCTATTGCAGCTTTGCATTCCTATCTGGATCTTCCTACGGATAGATTCCCATTTCCGCCACGGTTCAACATCAGGTAAGCACGTATCCTGCTTTCTTCACAAGCATCGCTAACCCTGGATGCGTATATAAGAAATGAAGGGCTGCAAGTTGAGTTGTCATCTCTTCTAGCATTACAAAATATTGATGTGCTTTCTAGCCCTTCCTGCCGCCAGTCCCTTTAGGCTGGTGCCCTCACTCAGACCTCCTTTGTCTACCGTCAGATGGATGGGGAGTGATGGACTTTCCCCCGCCTTCGTCCGTGCCGCAAGAGCTTGTACCAAGAGGCTGGTCAAGACGTCGATCTAGGAGACTTTGTTGCTGGGCTCCTTGGACGTACCCTTCCTGCCACTCTAAAATGTTGGATGTGTTAGAAACCACCTCCGCCTAATGCGGGCATTTAGTGTAATGGTAACACACTCAAGGTACCTATGCAGGGCTCTGCGGTTCGACTCCCAGAATGTCCATATTTTATGCATTAAGGTTCCTGAGACCACGTGTACAAATTCCAACATGGTGGACATTCTACGGAAGTCACCGAGCACACCCAAATCCGGTTGCTGCCACGTGAGATGGGCACGTGAAGTCAAGCATTAAATTAGCCGGCCTGACAAAGTTTCAGGGGGTGTAGCTCAGAGCACTAAGGACCCAAATCCGGCTGCTTCAGACCACATGATGTGGACATGTAGGAGATTAGCAGTAAGTCCGGCCTGAATATGAATTCAGGGGGTGACGGCTCACGGGCTGTTGGAAGCCCGGTGGTTAGGGTCACATGTGGATCACGGGTTCAATCCAAATGTGAAGGGGGTGTGTTAGAAACCACCTCCGCCTAATGCGGGCATTTAGTGTAATGGTAACACACTCAAGGTACCTATGCAGGGCTCTGCGGTTCGACTCCCAGAATGTCCATATTTTATGCATTAAGGTTCCTGAGACCACGTGTACAAATTCCAACAGGATGTTTTTAAATTCCCCCATGGCGACTTTGAAGCTTTGTTAATAGGGGAGTCCGGAGTGGTGCTATTTCGCGTTGGGTCTGTGTTCTGTTTGTGTGGTCCAGACCCCATTCATGTCCGCTGGCTTCCTGGTAACTGGACGATTTCCAGCTTCCTCAGTGAGCTCGGACAAGACCATCCTCCCATGCTTTACTCCATTGGCTTCGACTATGATGAGTATCAATTCCAGGAACATTTTAAGAAGCGGTACGCTGTAGGGAGGGAAGTTGGGGCCATTGATACATTTGGATATGGTTATGATACTGAGTTTGTGAGTGGAGAACATCTGCTTACTGACTGAGCATCCTAGTCAATTGGGAGCAACAGCGTTGGGAGACATGTATCACTGTTATCATTTGTATCCTTTCTGCCTCTTGTTCAGCCAAATTTGTCATTAATATTTGGTTTCCGGCAGCACAATGTTGCCGAACAATTCTTTGTCATCTTCTCACACTACAACTCTCCTATCTCGATATTGCAACGTGCGTTAAAAGGCCATGTAATAGTCTTTCCTGCCAAGCCAGAAACACTCGAAACCCAAATGAACGTTGAACATTTCGATATGCTGAATACTACAATGGGGTTTGACGACTTCCAGTCTTCCCCTCTTGTGTCCTTGATCAAGCATCAGGACCAAGGCATGGTGTACGTACATATGTTCTTGATCATACGTCTTTGGAGTGGGCATGGAAATGCATGCACTGAATCCAAAGTAGGGATCTACCGAGCACAGCGCAGAGCTTGGTCACTGAGGGTACACCTCCCGCCAATGAAGGAGATAGTAGCACTTCCACTGAGAGGATACCACTTCCGCAAAAAAGGCTACTACTGATGAGGTGAAAACGTAGCATGTCTGTGATTTGTTACGAAGTTTGCGCACTTCCGGCCATCAAACACTCTGATTATTATCGAAGCACAGTGGTGGCTAAACTGGTAGTGTAGTTGACGTTTACGAAAATATGACACACTTGCAGCAGCTCAAAAAAAAACTTTGGTCCGAAACAGAAATAAATAGCTTTCTCTCCAGTAGCAGGCACCCGCCGCGATAGGTGGCGGCTAGTTGGTGTACGGCTTGCCGAATGTATCGACGAATTTGATGATGAACTGTCGCCATTGTCATTGGACAGTTCAGATGAAGATGCTTAGCAAGAAAAGATGACTCAGACGGTAAGCACTGTATGGTCATGTACAGCGGACAGTGGACATTGGATCAGAGCTCTTGCGCAACTTGGCTTCCCCTCTGGGTGCAGTGGACTCGCGCTTGCTTGCCTTGTGCAATGCTTAGCGAGTCTCTTGGAAGTCAAGCCATTTATGGTTGAGAATTATCTTCGGAATAGTCTTCAAGTCAGCCAGAGTGTTACAACCTTTGCCTCTCATGGTCGACATAGAAGCGCGCGCGACTTTAGTTAGACTTTAGTCTGAGTCCAGTAGCTGAGTACACACGAGCGGTCCAACCCTGGGTGTGTGTCAGTCCACATGTCCGGCAACAAGTCAGTCTCAGGCTCAGGCTCCACAGTGAGCTCCCCAAATTGTTGAAAGCTTCGTCAGATACAGACAAGATATCGGCGAGGGAGAAGGACGCCTCCTTCAAACTTCTGACAGTAACCCAGCATGGGGTAGGGTAACCCACACGCACACACTGCGTTGTCAGCCAGGCGTCTTGGTCGTTAAATCGTGAACATATCACAGTCATTCACGATAGACATGTCTTACTCATCATCAGTGAGGGTAACCGATTCAGAGGTATCATAGGCATCCGCCTTAGTACGGTATTCACTGGCATATAGCAGGTTTTTCTATCGCGAGCATTCTTATCGTGGGCGTCCTCCACCAGTAGGAATAGAAATGTGCCATCCACATTGACGGGACTGCACCCAGCGAGCGGTATGGGCAACGCATTTTAAATATAAGGCTATGGCACGTAAGTGTCTCAGACTCGTGTTAGAGATCTATAAATTGTATGTACCTATGGCGCGTAAGTGTCTGTGCCAACAGTTAGACAATTTTTGTAAAGAATAATAAAGTCTATCTCACCTCAGACTCGTGTTAGAGATCTGAGGGAGAGGGAGTCCAAAAAACTCCCTTCTTATACGCGAACTACACCAGTGGCGAGCCCGTCGCATAAAGAAGAAAAATGGGGTTCAAAAGACGTGCCCCAAAACTTCACTTCCGCCACCAACAATCAACACCGTCCTCGCCACTCCGTCGTCGGAACCGATTGTTGATATTCCAACACGCCCTCTCAACGACGGTTCCCATCGACAATTCCCATTCCCCTCGTAAATTTATCATGTTTCTCGAATGCGAGTCCTTTTGTGAGGATATCGGCCACTTGGTCCGCGGTTGGAATGTATTCGAGTATAATATCTTCGTCGTAAACGCAATCTCGAATGAAATGCTGTCGGACGCGGATATGTTTAGTACGAGCGTGAAAAGCGGGGTTCATGGCGAGCGCTAATGCGCCTTGGTTATCGCCAAGTATGGTGGTAGGAACAGATGGAGGACGAAGGACATCACCAATGAACTGTTGCATCCAAATCGCCTCCTTTGCCGCATGGGTCAACGCCATGTATTCTCCCTCAGTGCTCGACAACGCGGTGGATGGCTGTTTCTTTGAGCTCCATGACACAGCACTGCCAGCCATGATAAAGACATAGCCGGAAATGGACCTATTGTCGCGAGCATCGCCCGCCCAGTCAGAGTCAGAGTAGGCCGTGAAGTCACCTTCGCGTGCTTTTCTGTTGTACATGAGCTTGTAGTCCTTAGTACAGTTGAGGTATTTGAGAACCCGGTTTACCGCATTGAGGTGGTCTTTTCCAGGATTGGCCGAGTATTGGCTTAGAGCGCCTACGGCATATGCGATATCGGGGCGAGTTCCCAGCATTGCGTACATGATACTACCAATGCGGGATTGATAGTCGCGGACGTTCACTTCAGAGGTGTCGAGTCGTGACAATTTGAGACCGGCAGCGATAGGAGTAGAGATGGGTCGAGCGTTAGAGAAACCGAATCGATCGACAATGTTGTTGACATATTGAGACTGAGAGACATAGATCAATTGGCGGGATCGGTCACGTGTGATTTCAAGACCCAGAAACCAATGAATTGCACCGAGGTCTTTCATCTTAAATGTCTTCTTGAGCTGGTCTTTCTTGAGATTCAACAAGTCGACGTCGTTGCTGAGGATCATAAGGTCGTCGACATAGAGAGCAATGATGCAGAACTGTTTGTTCTGGCCCCTGTGAATGAAGACAGCGTGATCAGCATCACATCGGGTAAACCCGAGTCGTCCAAACTCGTCCTTCGCTTTCTGATACCATGCCCGCAACGCCTGCTTCAGGCCATACAGGCTCCTTTGGAGTTTCCACACCACACCTTCGTTCCCATAGTCGGTACTGCCTGGGGGTGGATCCATGAATATGGTATGTTCCAAGTCACCATTTAAAAATGCCGTCTTGACATCCATCTGGTCGATTTCTAAGTCAAGACGCGCACCAATTGCAAGGAGTATCCGGATGGAAGCCCATTTGACTACTGGCGCAAATGTCTTGTCATAGTCGACCTGGTAAATCTGACTGAAACCTTTAGCGACAATCCTTGCCTTGTAGCGCTCTATTGCACCATCTGCCCCTCGCTTCAAGGCAAATACCCATCTGCATCCGACCACATTACTGGAGCCTACCTCATCTGTACTAACCGGACTGTATGTCCGGGTTTCCTTTAGAGAAAGAAGTTCATCCTGGCAAGCTTCGAGCCAGGAGTCCGTGTCGGGTCGATCTAGGGCTTCATGATAGGTGCGTGGAACTTCGGTATGGGCTACATAGGCATGTGCTTCGCCCTCTCGTTGGGCATTGTTTGGTTTGTCAGGCTGACTTCCTCGATCATAGGAACTAACAAAGTATTGGTCGTCGTCGTCTCGTACTCGGGGTCGGCGTACTCGTCCTGATCGTCTCGGCATTTCCGGCACTACTTCTTCTCGCGCGTCGTCATTCAACCCATCTTCAACTCTACCATTCATCTCTCCGGATTCCTTATTTCCACCCTCCACGATGCTTGTCGCACCTCCTTCCACCCTCTGACCCTCAGCTCTCTGGCCCTCAACTTCTTCATCCCTTTGAACAACGTGTGATCCCGACACAACTTCGGGCACTTCAATAGTGACACGCTCTGACTCGGTAGACCCTTCGAAGAAATGGACATCTCGGGATTCGTGGATTCTACGGGTAGTCGGGTCATAGATGATGAACGCCTTTTTACCGATGGCAAGTCCGAGGTGGACTCCTGTTATAGAGCGGCTTGCAAGCTTGTCCCGTTGGTTCTCAGGGACAGCAAGAGTGGCTTTGCAGCCAAAGGTGCGTATGGTGGAGACAGATGGCTTATTTCCCGTCCACAGTTCGTAGGGTGAAATGCCATCTGGGAGTGATGAATGTGGGACGACATTTTTGATGCGAGTAGCATGTCGTAGGGCATATGGCCAAGCAGTGTGCCCGACTAGAGACTTCACGCTTTCCAACATCGCGATTGTCATAGTGACCAGTGTTCTGTTAACACGTTCAGCCACACCATTTTCCTGCGGTGTGTTGGGATTTGTCTTTTCATGGACTATCCCGGCGTCCTTCAAATACTTGATGAAGTCTGAAGAGAAGTACTCTCCTCCTCCATCAGTGCGCAAGATTTTGAGTTTGTTTCCAGATTGCCGTTCTGCCTCAGCCAAGAATTCTTTGAAGATTTCAAGAGCATCACTCTTTTTCTTGATGGGGTAGACGGTGAGGAATCGGGAATGGTCATCGACGAATGTGATAAAATATCGGAAGCCTTCTCAGGTGATGGTTTGGACTTCGCAGACGTCGGAGAAGACTCGTCCAAGGACTTCCTTGGAACGGGTAAGTGTTTCTTTTGGGATTGGAGATCGGGTATGTCCTGATGCTTCACATTCCTCACAGTATTCTGTTGGCTCATTTCCTCCTATATCTATTCCCCTGGCCATACCACTTCGGACCATTTTCAGGATTGAATCCACTGAAATGTGTCCAAGTCGGGCATGCCACACATCAATGGAGGCTGTTGCCGCTGTTGTACGTGCAAGTTGGGCAGCCTCAACATTGTCTGTTTCATGTTTCGTGATGTATGCCTGTTCTGCTCCAAAGATAGTGCAGGTTAATCGATATAATCCATTTGATGAGAATGCCATCCCAATGAGATCATTGTTGGGATTGTATATCTGACATTTGTTGTTGGCGAAGTGGATATTCGATCCGCATTTAGTGAGGTGTGTGACGGATAGTAGGTTGGTGCCGATCTGGGGGCAATAAAGTACTTCCTTGAGTATGGCATGTCGCTCACCGAAACTATTGTGAATGATGACACGTATCTGTCCTTGCCCGATGGCATTCAAGACGCGTTTATCACCAAGGTAAATGGGATGGGGAGGATTGAGAGATGTAAAGAATGAGAACCACTCGCGGTGTGCGCACATGTGCGATGATGCACCGGAGTCCACAACCCACTCAGATATCTGAGTAGGACCATGTTTTGCAACTGCAGCATGTTCTCCAGCCAGGAGAACATCCACTTTAGCTTCCTTCTTGTTGTCCTTGGAGGGTTTCTTGGACTGTCCATTGCTGGACTTTGACGGACGTTGTCCCTCAGATCCGCCCCCTTCGGCCCAACACTGTTCAAATGTGTGGCCTATTTTGTTACACTTTGGATTAGTGCAACGTGGGCGGTCTTTACCCTTCTGGGACTTCTTTCCTGCTAGTTTGTTGCCTTTCTCCGGTAGTTTCGCGGATTTAACAAGTAGTGCGGCTGTCTCGGCCTCCTCGCTTTTAATAGATTTTTCTTCTCTGATGATCTGGCCTATGAGGGTTTCACAAGCTAGTGTCGATGCATCCTGAGTATTGGCTATAGCTATAGTCTTGAGTGGTTTATACGCAGGTGGAAGAGCTTTGGCGATAATCAGCGCAAATTTTGCATCTGTTATAGTGTCACCGAGTGAATCCAGTTGTTGGCGCAGTATCCGCATCTGATTGATCTGAGGCTCCAAAGGTTTGGAGTCATCCAGTTTGATGTGGTGTAGATCATAAGCCAGGTCCGAGGCATCCAGAGCCCCTTGTCCGACAAAGCGCTTCTCTAACGCTACCCAAGCCTCTTTTGCGCTTTTCTTGTCTTCGGCAATGTTAAGCGGGTTTTCTTCAAGCGTGAGACAGATCTGTGCTAGTGCTCTCTCATCCTTTTCATCCCAAACTTGGGTAGGATCCGGAGAGGGAGCTGTAGACGTTTGCAGAGCAGCAGGAGTTTGTGAAGCCGAAGCCGTGGGGGATTGTGGAGCAGCAGCAGAAGTAGAGATAGGAGTGGGGCGATTAGAGGTTGTTGCCTTAGGGTTTACAACGCTCCAGAGACCTCTGTCTATGAGCACCATGCGGCAGCGGATGGACCAAATCCGATAGTTCTTTCCATCGTTCTTCAACTTTTCAATGTTATGAACGCTTTTGGTATTATCGTTTGAGTTGGCCATCTCTGGGCTCATAACCTTTTAAATATAAGGCTATGGTGCGTAAGTGTCTCAGACTCGTGTTAGAGATCTATAAATTGTATGTACCTATGGCGCGTAAGTGTCTGCGCCAACAGTTAGACAATTTTTGTAAAGAATAATAAAGTCTATCTCACCTCAGACTCGTGTTAGAGATCTGAGGGAGAGGGAGTCCAAAAAACTCCCTTCTTATACGCGAACTACACCAGTGGCGAGCCCGTCGCATAAAGAAGAAAAATGGGGTTCAAAAGACGTGCCCCAAAACTTCACTTCCGCCACCAACAATCAACACCGTCCTCGCCACTCCGTCGTCGGAACCGATTGTTGATATTCCAACAACGCACTCTAGGTTAACAGAAGTGCTCGTCATGTTCGTGTGTATGTACTGCACCGGACCCGTCAGCGCGTGCAGTCGCTACTCCTGTGACCGACAAATCTCCGATGTGCACAGGTTATTGTCTCATTGATGCTTAGGATGTCAACTGAAACGGATCGACTACGCCTACCTACGGTTGGCACGCCGCTCCTTATATTGCAGCGTGGAGGTGACAGTGTTGGGGATGGCTTATGTAAGCGCTGACGAAGTGAATGCGCCAAGATCTTGCCAAGCTGAGCCCCACTTGGTGTTGCTTGTAAAACGATGATTCAGACCTCCCACACGAAAGAGTGCATGCACTAGTCCTGCTGCACTCTCCAAATTCTCCCGAGTCCCATAATCCGACATACCCTTGTGGTTGAACGAATCGGAACAAGGGAGTAAAAATGACACCAGAGAGTGTCGATAATTTTAAGAGCATCGTTTCTTTGGTCATCTTCCTGTTTGCCAGTGAGTTCCAAGCAGACAGCTCTTTACTCTCAGCACAAAACATCTCTCAAGACGTCCTGGTGGTGATTCCGTTCACAATCCGATGTACCCTTCCCGCCGTCATTGTACGTCCTCTGGAGACATTCCTCACCAAGTCACGCATAATACCGGGAAAACCATCCGCTGCGAATGAGCACCGTACAGCTTCTGCGTCGCTCGAATTCGCCATTCCTATCGATCATTCAACTGCACCATTGTTGGCGGTCCTTGTTCTGCTTTCGACTGGATCCATAACGGGCCGGGAAGTCAGAGATGGCGTGTTGGGATCTGACGGGTATGTTTAATGTACACCTACCAAGTTCCTCGTTTTTCAATTCTGATCCTGAGCCTCTTCAAGAGTTAAACCTATTGACGTCATGGCACTCTTCATCTCGCTCGTACGTGAGAAATTGAAGTCGCGAAGATGTCACTGGGCGAATTCATAAATGATGTCATCCAGGCTTACATATCAATATCTCTGGATTCCACTGGCCTACTCCGTTTCTTAGCATTTTGGGTACTGAAGAACGGTGGCTCCAAAGGTAAAACAAGTAAATTATCAATGCTTTACTATGCTCATCCGCTACTATGGAGGTCGCTTACTTTACTTCCTGCTATACATCTTTTTCTTTACCTCGGGAGTCGTCGTTGGGAATGTCGGTTTTTGATTCTCCTTCAGTTCAGCATTCATAAAAGCCTTTTCTCCATTAGGATCCCGTCATCTTATCAGGAACAGCATTTCTGGCTTACATGACACGTACGGCCGGAATCGATGATCCCACTGCCTGGATTTACTCCCAATTTGCAATCGTGAACATCGGTGCGTGTTGTTCACACTTCCACAACATTCTCTGAAGCCTAAATCCTCTCGTTCTGCAGCCTCAGCAGTGCTTGTATCCTCCAACCCAACAAACCTCGTTCTTTCAGGTGCTTTCGGTATTTCCTTCATCATCTACACAGCGAATGTTATCGTTCCAGTGTTCCTAACCGCTGCACTATTATTTCCTTGTCTCTTGGCATTTTTCATCAAGTTCCCCGACTATTCATCCATGAGAAAGGATAGGGATTCAAGAACCCCGGCATCTTTGCTCCCAAAATCTATCCACATTGATACGTTCATAAGTAGCACGTCTATATCGGGAGTTTCGGGGGCAACGAACAACAACGATCCTTCTCGCATGCTACTTATCGATCCTGGTGGAGCCTTTTTTGGGCTCCTTACTCTTGGAGTTACTCTTGTGGCACTCTTGGCAACCAGCGCTGCCCATGTTGGAGTAGGAGTCTACGCGATCACTGTGCCAGCCGCCGTTCTCATGTTCGTCCGGGATGTGCTGCACGATTGGCGATCTAGTAGACCAGCTCAGGCCAAGGCTGCGATAGGAGACGAAGCTCACAGCGTGGATGGACATAGGCCTGGCAACCACGAATCAGTCGAGATGGATGCCCTTGACCGACCTCGGGCGCCTACGGTGGCAATTGGAACCATCTTGTCGGGAAACCCTCAAAAGTTCCATCCATCCTTTGCGAGCACCTCATCCTTGCCACATACAGTTCCGGCTGAGCAAACTCTCACAGGGCTTGACGAAGCAGCAGTACTCACTTCTTCCGAACCCATCGATGAACCTCCATCTTCCGTGGCTCTGGATAACAACAACAACGAACTAGACCGTGGGCTTATCTCGTACCCTCCAGCAACGACAGCTTTGGACACTTCAAACAAGAACAAGAATCGCCCCAGGTTATTCCCTAGATCCACATCGCACCCAACCGTTCCTTCAACGTTAGAAGTCGAAGCGGCACAAAAACCACACTATACACTCATCACCTTCTTTCGCTCAGCAACATCAAAAATCTCCCGCGATTTTCCAACACCGGTAACGACGATCACCCGTCTCCCACTCTCTTTACTTCCCTTCGCATTCTCGATGTTCATCCTCGTACAAGGTCTCGCATCCAACGGCTGGGTTGGAGTTCTCGTTAAATGGTGGGAAACATGGGTACGTAAAACTGGAACCGTGGGCGCTGTAGGTGGTATGGGATTCATCGGAGTCATCGCTTGTAATGTGCGTCCGCTCTGTCTCAAGGTGTATCAAATCACGAAAACGATGTCCATCGCTCTTTTTCAAAAAAATTGGGATACAGGTTGCGGGAACTAACATTGGTGCCACTATACTTCTTGCTCGTGTTCTTCAGCAATGGGACTCGACCTACACACCCTCCCTCCGGACCCGTGACGCAGCTGTACGTTCGGCTAGACTCTTCCCTCCATTCTCATATTTTATTATACACTAATTAATGATCACTCCCCACCCCCCACCCCCCCTATCAGATATATGCCCTAGCTTTATCCTCCAACTACGGCGCGTTCTCACTATCCTTCTCCGCCTCGCTCGCAGGACTTCTCTGGCGCTCGATCCTCGCTCAGAAACACATTCATCTCAAACAGAAAGATTTCGCTAGGATAAACGCTCCTATCGTTGCTTGCGCCATGATTATTGGGTGTTCGGTTCTACTGGCCCAAGTTTACATCATGAAACAGGAGGATTAGACTATTTCGCTCGTTGTATCAGAATCCCTCCAAAAAATAAATAACTGAGCATCCCTTACGGGACGATACTTGAATTAGAATTTGGATTGGAAGTCGCTCGAATACGGAACCCCAACCGGGATATTATCCCTTTCCCCGTGGGCCTGGAATGATTGCCCCCTCAGTTTTTATATATACAGCGTCGATCTTGAGCCATGGAGCGGATGTTACTCTGATGTCAGCTAAGCTATTACCCAGGGCTTTCCGAGTCAAACGTAATTATGAACTACCGTCTTGTGAACCTTTGAGTGAGAACCATCACCAGTCGTGTTATATATTGATCCAGTCAAGGGTGGCAGAGATAATGCAAATCGACAAACGATACAGTGGCAGATGAACAGAATGGTGGGATCTGGACGAATGTAAACGAAAATGTGCAGCTGGTGATGTGTCTAAACGATGTACAGTGTCATTGTTCTAAGGTGTTGGGCCGGGATGCGATGAATATGACAATGGTAAAGCGAAATTATGGAAGAGGGATCAGAGTAAGTCACGATTGGAATAAAAATGAAGAAAGCGGGGCATGCAAGAGGAAGCGAAACCAAGAAAGAAGAAAAAAAAAACAAGAATCTATGGAACGTCTAGGGAGACAGGTCTAAAACGAATTACGAATGTCACAGTCTAATGAGGCAGGGAAAAAAATGAAATTAGTTTGTCTAGGCTATAGAGTCCCGTGAAGGACAGGACTCGTCCGAAGGATGGGGAATGAGGAAATTGAAGGAATGACGTGTGCTATGAACATGCTTCGTTAATATGACTGCTCCAGTGGGATCACTGGCCAATCTGATAGTGATACTAGGCACCGGATGATACGGCCACCAAGAGGTTCCTCAGCGACGCAGAGAATCCGAGAGACTTTGGAGCAGGAAGGTTACGAACAGAACTTTTCTCTTGCTTCGAAAACCCAGAAGGTGAGTGGGCACACCCCGCGCGAGAATGAAGAACACTTTGGCGAAGTGCTGATGTACTCGCAGGAGCCGCGAGCCCATTTGACGAAGCGGATTTGTGGCTGAACAACCTCCCACTTACGCGACGGGGATGATGTTGAAGTTGGGGTGTGGAACCTGCCACGGGAGTTACAACAGGTGGGCAAGGAGTATGATTTCGATGAGAAAATACAGACAGCCGATTAGAAGGAATGGTTGTAATGGTGCTGGAAGATGAAGCGAAGGAGGGCTGACTAGGGCGGGGACAGTCGGAAGAGAGGAAGCCATCCGTATTCTTGTTATTTGAGCCCTTGGGGTCAAGAGTGGTCGCGGTGTCTGAGCGGCGACGACCCATGCCAAAGCGGAGCTTCTTTTGATTCGAGACGGTGGGCCGAGCAGCGGGTTGTAACTGAGGTACGGGTCGCATACCTAGTTCCCCGTACCTTTCTTTCTGACCCACGATCGTGCCAATCCCAGCAAGTCCAGCCATTTGATCAGAAAGTTCCTCCATAGTTTTCTCTAAAGAGGCTATCTGTTCTTCAATGCGAAGCGAAGGTTCCACCAAAACAACATCAGGATAGTCGTCCTCCTCATCAGAAGAGGAAGCAGCTGAAGACGAAGATGTACCAGCATCCTCAGTTAGAGAACTGGCCGATGAAGATAGGGAGGACGAGACAGAGTCAGTGGACGGCCCACGAGAAAGAACATTGCCCAGCACTGATGCAGTCATATACACATTAGTGTAAGATGGAGGTTCATCGACGATCCTTGCGGCAGAGGACCCAGAGCCAGCGCGAGAAGATGATGAGGATGTGGAAATTGAAGTTGAAATGGAAGTCTCGAGCGGTACTTGATAGGACCGAGGAGGCTTTGCTTTCGACACAGTAGAGATTGGCTCGGGGAGCGCAACGCTGACGTCGGAACCATTCTTCTCCATTCGCTGACGCACACCTCTTGTGACACGTTCCATTGCCTTCTCGCGGGTCTCCCTATCTCGTGCCTTTTCTTCAGCCGCAAGCTTAGCAGAAAGAGCATTGACCGCCGCGACATCCTCTGGGGAAAGTTTTTTCCGAGCCTGAAGGGCGCGATGGAACCCGGAAGTACTTTCCACAGCGTCCTGGTGGACTTCAAGGAGCGGTGCCCAATCCATTAGTGCCTCCCTTTCAGTGAAGCTGAGTTTGAAGTCGAGGAGGAAAAGCATCTGCTTCTCCATCAAGTTAATCTCGCGGAGATCGAACAGGCTATTGGCGCAAAACATCCAGTGGATGTTCTTCGGAGCACAGTCGTTCAGATACTTTGCGGCAACAATAAGGGATGCTATGAACAAACGATGAGGAGTTCCCGGAGCAGCTGAAATAATATTCTCAGTCATTTAAACGAGTGCAAGCTTGAGAGAAAAATGACGTACCAGAGGCCAATGTGGGCATCCTGGCGCGAAGTCTGTTGAGATATATGACAACGCAAAGGAGTGTAGCCGTGTAAACATTGGATCGAGTGCAAACGTGCGTTATAAAATCCTCCAAATCGGGGATCTCCGGGCTTCCAGGAGGCTCAGGAGTCGGCAAGGAGTAGTCACCGTCACAGACGATTGACTCGGAGATCCAGGCTATGTACGAGATCATCTCATACGTGACAGGGAGAGAAACCAATCGGAGGAGCCGGATGTTGTGGCAGTCCTGAGGCATCAAAGACGAAGGCAGGTTACGCACGGGATAGTTGGCGGGCATCTTGTTTAAGGTAAAGAGAGTCACGTTGGGTAGTGGAAGGAGGTGTGGGCCTTGAGGGACCAAACTCGTTGTTGCTTGAGGGACCAAACCCTAAAGGGTGAAGCAGCGAGAACGAAGCGAACAAGTGGAAGCCACGTCAATACACGAAGTGAAAAGATTGAGGACTCGGATAATGTCCACAACACGTACCTGCAATACTTATAAGTGATGTGAAGTGTTGAGTCCTACCGCGACTTTTGAAATGTCTCAACCCAAATCGAGGTTTCGGCATTTCCCGTACCTAATGTGCACCAAACCGAGCTAGTTTCTCACACGACACTGACTGGACCAGTTTCAACGTTCCACTTCAGTACAGGCTGGGACCCCACCTATTTCAACGTTGCAGACCTTCCAGGCTCATGACTCTGACTGTTGTCATCAGACTCTTTCGCTCTCTATCTGCCGATTGAAATCGACGAATACATCGCTTCAATCAAGGTGGGTGGTCCGTGGTTCAGATCCAGCTTACGAACAAATCGCATAACCATGGGTGTGGGCGGCGTGTCCCCCAGATACCTGAGGCATACTCAATTGGAGTGGGACGCTATCAATGTAGCGAGGAAATCAGTGTTTGACAATACAATTTCGAAGACTAATCGTGAAGCTTGTCTTGAATCAACCTCTGACATGGGCGCGTGGAATGGAGCGGACACGGTGGATAGCCACTTAGGACTTTGAATCCCCACCGTGGATCTGCAGACTCGGGATCCCCGTCGGTAGCGGAATCCCCTGTTTTCCACTGCCTGCCTGCATCGTCCGCTATTCCATTCGCAAAAGTCAGCCCTTTGGCTCTCAGTTCTGCTGCCTTAATTGCTGCTTCGCAGAAGGCAAGCAGGCCATCGGCCCTTTCCACCGTCACTCCAGTACAAGTTGCACAAGGCTCTTATCAGTTTCCCATTCAGCTTCCTGCCCCAACTCCGTTCTCCTACCATAGTTGCCTCAATTGGATTACTGTCCATTCCCACGTGTAACTTTGTACCCTTCGGACACGCGGGTTACGCATTGCTCCCTTTGGCCCAGAGATGACAGGCCGAGTCGGCTACTTCTCAGCAGTTACCTCCGATTGTGTAGGAGCATCAGCGAGAACTGGTGCCGAATTTATGACAACCGATGTAAGCTCTGAAGGGCGTTTCGGGCACCAAACTGGCCCGTCCGCAATAGGAGCGCCATTGTTGCGGTTGATACGCTCGGAGGAAGCCAACGATCTGCAACATTCCCCAATTTGGCTCTGCTTCAAGAAAAGCGACGGAATATGGTGGAGTCACGCAGCACATGCGTAACCCCTTTGCAAACAGTCGGACGGTGTTGAACCACGGAATTTCGTGACCTTTCAGTAGATAATTTACCAGCTCGGTAGGCGGCCATGCTGAGATCTATTCAACATGGACTTTTGGAAGTGAGTTGGTAAAGCAGAGTTGGTACCAAGGATGTTTAAAAGAACACGTTGTCCCGGACCCGCCCAATGCAACGTGCAGCGCGGGATATACTGGTGGGGCCCTTTCACCCCAAAAACCATCCTTTTAATGCACTTTAGCCAGGTAGAACTCCAAACAGACTGAGGTATGACCAGCGACCGCTCAGTTGTGGGACCGGTTGGTTTCAGATAAAGCGCGCAACTGCTCTTGTTGTCTCTCACAACCCTATGAATGAACTGGAAAACGTTCAAGTCGAGCATTGATGCTAACGATGAGCCCAACATGATCATGACAGAATAAGCGCCGGCTACACCCAGTGAGACAGTTGAGCTACTGCACGCACTGCGAACCCGGAATTTGCCGGTCAAATGTGGAATATCACGTGAACGGTTTCCCCGCCGTCTGCTCCCTCTAATCCCCTTTGCACTCTGATATGGAACTGGATGGTGCAGCTGAACAATTTCCGGTCCAACTTCTCCTGTACGACCTGACTTAGGTCCGCTCTTTCGTTGCCTGCGATCCCGCAGTGTCCTGGGCACCAGCTCAACGCGATTCTGATGTCCTCATTCTCATGTATGAGCTTGCTTATGGCCTTTCTGAACTCCCTCATATGCTCTTGTGCTTTCCCTGGAAGACACTATTGTCTACGTCAAATACTATGCAGTTTAGCTTGTGTGTGACTGTTTCATCTTCTATCCTGCGTCTGACCTCTTCTCCCGCAGCTCTGAGGCCTCCACATTTCTTCATCGTACGCTTCTGTATTCCTGCACCCACATGGCATCCCACTACGCCACTCCTTATGCACTGGAATGTAGGAATGGACCAAACCCACTAATCTGGATTCTGAATCGAACTCCATGTATTGCTTTCAAACCAACCTTCAGCTTCCACTGCTCACCGTGACGTCAAGGAGAGAACATTACTGATCCACTAGACCACCTGTGGCCTCCAATGACGAAAACTCTTCTTGTATTTAATTATACTAACCCACATCCCTCAAATCACTAGACTCACTGACACATGCTCAAAAGAGAGGGTTCGGATTCATGTTATATACCCACTGCTCTGCCTCCATCCCCATCTACGATAGACGCAAGAAATCCGCGCCCGGTGACGGAGATGCTCCCTGTATTCGTCCGAATAATACCATTCACACACTAAGCAACACATATCTGGTCGTCTATCTGGTGAAAAGCATTGGATCAGCTGTGACGGAGTGGGTCATGGAGGTATTCCTCCGAGCCTGACCTTTGAAGGAAGGTGGGATATATGTATTGAAATCCCGTTTTCTCCGCAAGAAAGCTCTTCTCGAAGTCTCGAGCGCGAATGTAGACTGATGTGGAGTGTCATCAGTTTGCGGGAAATCTCGCATTGACACGCAATGCACATCGCTCCGCGGCGGAATACCTACTTTGCCAAAAGGGTAGCTGTGTAGACACCTCCGAGCGGCTAAGAAGTATAATACAATGTAAAGCTAGAATTCCGTACTGAAATGAAAATGTAACTTACCAGGATGAAAATCATGTGGATGTAGTGGAAGCCGTAGAATACAAACTGCCCAAAAGTCATCAGGGCTACCTGGTGCATCAGAAGAACTGAAAATTGTCATACAGCAAACATGACGGCCAACGCCAGAACACTGGATTATAGAAACAGATGAAGGATGTTCTCAATAAGTTCGATAAATCGTACCTAGTCAGCAGGCCAGTATTGATGGCATAGACTGTTAATTTTCGTAACACCCTATCCGTCCTGAGGGAAGCGCACATTCAGGAATTTTTCGTTTGACCCGAAATAGACAAATCACTTACAGCCGAAACCCTGTGCGACGCTTCTGGAGGAAGTATGTCATAGCGAAGGCGATCAAGAGGTCTTCCGCTGCCTGCGGGTTTGATAGGGTATATACATAAGCGAAGTTCTTGCGCTCATGCATAGAGTGGACGTACCTCCAGTGTTAGCCAAACTGTCACGAGGTGGCGTTCATGGAGAATCGAGCTCTCAACACCGCGATTGATATTTCTGTCAATGAGAATGGTGAGAATACGTCACTGTTTGAAAAGCTCCACTTACGCTTCGGCCCAGACCGCTGTGTATAAGTGCGGAGTACAGGGAATCTCAGAAGCCGTTTGATTCTATAATTCGTGCAGCCTCTTACCAAGTCCAGTTCCTGGGTTAAGATATGCATCAGACTCTCCAACACATGTACTTTTAGGTCCACTCACCAACTTGCCCAAGGGTCAAGAGGGTCTGTTGAGGAGGATCCCAAGATCGATAAATATTCAATAGGCGGACGGGTGACTACGTACGATCAGCATTGGTAGCCAGGTTGATTCACTCACTGAGCGAAATTCAAGAAAACATTAGGAGTTCACAAATGGAAAGGGAGACCATTGAGACAACTTACATCGATAAAGGCGAAGGGCGAAATAAAGTTGGACGACGCTGGAACAAATAGTCTAGTGGAAAATATGGTGGACTCGGTCCGACTCCAGGGCTAATCGTGGTCTTACCGCAGAAATCTGATAGACAGTATCATACCTGTTGTGAGGGGAGCAAAGTCACACCAGTACCGTAATGAGCTTATGGGAGAGCATACCATGCTGTAGATTTCGCCAGAAGACTGAAGCGGAAAATGAATGCCCAGATCGAAACTATCCTGCAAAATGGACAGTCCTCAAAACATATATCTGATGAAGCTTCTGACTCACACTTGAAATATTAGAACGAGCCTCCAAATGAAATGTGAAGTCAGCCGACCATACACCAGACAGTAAGTCATCAAATCAGCAAGCGCTCACCATAAGAACGCGACCACAAGTTTCAAAAAGATAGGGTCCTCAGGGAACCTGCGGTGATAGAGGAAGACCTGAATGGTAATTGAACCGAGGAGCCTATTTCAGGGCAAGAACGTGGAGTGGGCGGAACGGGCGCATGAACACAGTGGAAGGGTGGAAATGTTTATTATTCACAGAGAATATGAATGCCAATCCCATCGATATAACGCACATGCCTTGGAACACAAGCCCAGAAATGAAACCTCCGACGAGGTTTTCGCGAAGGGACATACCCATCTCTGGCGATGGTATTGGTGAGGCGATCTGTGAAATGGGCAAAGGAGGTGCCTCGCCAACTGCGAGGACTTGTTACATGGCGTTATATACATCTCTGTGGTTTTGAAATAAGTAATTGGGGAGATTGAATGTAGCCCTTAATAATTTTGTAAGTTGCTTCTTATGATCGCACAGCGCTGTTCGGAAAGTATAGCTAACAATGAACCAATTGGGGGGCTGGTGCAGAGGAAACGATATTTGAGGCTTACGGCTCCCCATTGATGATAAGAACATGATTTCCAATGACTGCGAACTTGTCGCACTTTTTGGAGATTGGACCGGTCGCGGTAAACCGAGAAAGCGTGAACGTTATACAGCGGGGGCACCCGATGTTGATAGGACCATTGGAGACGGGCACAGTAAGCCGGCACTGCCCAGGATTTGGGAGCGAAGAAGTAGGAGAAGAGCATAGCCAAGATATGCATGGTCACGGAACTACAACATCATGCCACATTTACTCTGATCCATGATACACTACTGTACCTTGTCCATAGTGTCGCTACAAGAAAATAGCCAGTAAACACGAGATGAAATGAGGTGGTTTTTTTTCTATTACCCGCAGACTTCGGCGAGCGCCAAGGGCATGACATGTGCGCACCAGAGGTACTGGCGACATTCAATCGGAAATTTTCAATCCAGACCAATGAATGATTGAGATCCGCCAACCACCATCAATTCAATCCCGAGCTCCGGACTTCCCCAACCACATGCACATGGTAGGCAGCATCCCAGCCACTACTAAAGCAACCACAGCAACGGCTCCCACAACGATAACACCCCATCTTGCAAATCGCGTTAGCATAACGTAAGCGCTCACTCAGTTCAAGATAAGTGAACTAGATTCATTGTAGTGGGGTAAGCGCGAGGAGAGATATTCAGACGGTGTAGAAGACGGCGTCAAAGGATGTCATCTCGCCTCAGTTCAAGATAAGTGAGCTACGGGAGAGAGAGAGAGGTCGTGAAAAGTGGCTTTTAGGCCCTCACGTCTGCGTTCATGAACAATGAATCCAACCAAGGAAATTAGGGGGGAAAGGTCCATGTGGGGTCACGGTGGTACCTTACTGCTAATCCGCACAGCTAGTGCCAGTAAATGTGTTTCAACCATTTTGCATTGGTAGCTCGGTACCAGTGCTATAACCCATGCACGTGTATGAATTAATGCATGTCTTCATTCTTTGACCATCAACGATACACGATCACATGTAACACGTTACATTCTGAACGGCAACTGCTATGTTCCCCTATGTTATATTGCAGTGCTCCTGAGCGAGTGTGATCCCATATTGTTCTTGATGCCATCGTAACGAAGTGGGATTTGTCGTTAATATAATTACTCCCACGTTCCTTGAGTTTGAATGTTATGTAAAACAAGGGCAAATCATTTCGCAGATGGAAAGGAAGAGGGAGCGCTCTTCCCGTTACGGTCAATAAGTAGCGGCTAAGCTAGAAGCATAATACGCTCCGAAGTTAAGCTTCCGCACTGAAGATGTAACTTACCAGGATGAACATCATATGGACGAAGTAGAAGCTGCAGAATACAGAGATACTTAGGCTCAGTACACAAGAAGAGTTGGAAACAGCTTACAAAAAACAAGAGGATCAATGTATTAGAATACCAACTTTGTTTACATCGGGAAGTTGTGTGGCGGTTATTCGTAGCGGTTATTCTGGGGCGCTTTGAGGCGTTGGGGGCGTTTTGCCCTTTCTTATTCAACTTAAAACTCCCTTTGTACGACGACGTTGCCACTCAGGAATGTCGCGTATATAAGAGAGAAATTCTTAGACTTTTCTCCCTCAGACCTCTTATTCGAGTCTGAGGTGAGAACTATTTCTATCTTTTACTTTATAACTCATGTGTAATTCTTGTCGCAGTCTAACGCGACATAGTCTGAATTCCAATACAATGCTGGAACACTGGAGTATTGAAACAGAGAAAGACTGGCTATTGCCACTGCAACAAGTTTGGCAAATCGTACCTAGTCAGCAAGCCAGTATTACTTGCATGCACTGTTAACTATCGAAATCCTGTGCGGCGCTTCTGGGGGAGGTATGACATAGAGAAGGCAGGTTAAGAGGTCTACCACCGCCTGCGGGTGTGGTAGGGTGTGTACATGACCAAAGTTCTTGGGTCGATGCATAGAATGGATATACCTCCAGTGTTAGCCACAGTATCACGATGTGGCATGTGGCAGGGCGGAGGACCCTTTTAATCCCGTGGATGAGATTTCTGTTAACGAGGATGATGAAAATGCCTCGCTGTTTGACAAAGCCCCACTCATGCTTTAATTTGACCCAAATGGCTTCGCATAATGCCAATTAACAGAATAGGGGAATCTCAGAAGTCGATTGATTCTACAATTTTGAAACCTCTTACCGAGTTTGATCAGTTCCTAGGTTAAGACGTGCCTTTTACTCCGGGACCCCCAACAGGCAGCGCTAAGTATCATCTAATGAAGAAAAATCACTATGGCATCAACAATGGATGTCTTACTTCCCTCTCAGTGGTAAATTTCCATAAGGTAAGGTAGAATTCAGCTGTTCGTCACGAGTGGAGGGACATTCTTGCCACTTCGGACACAGCTGCATGGCAGTGTGTTGGCGCCCAAGTTGGGTACACGTTCTTATCTAGTTTTCTGTTGAACACAATTCTTTCCCTTTATCGAGGGTCTATCACTGAGCCCTCCACAGTAACATATTTCCCCTTGCAGTTAATTTTCGAAATCAGTGCATGTGCGCAGAGTAAACTATCCAAGCCATGGTCGAGTAATTATGAGCCCTTGTCCCAATGAACACCAACCAGATCGAATTGGTGAGATAGCCTATTGGACGAGGATTTCCCGCACAAGGGGGGGGGGGGAGGAGTCCAAAATATCTTGCGGAGATAACGTATGATGGGCGGGCCAGATCGCTGGGGTTCTCCCAGATCAAGATCAAAAAGGGGAAGACCTACCCAAATAACATCGATGAAGGAATAATAATCGCAGAGCTAGAACAAGTAGTTAGGAGCCGAACGAAGATGTAACTCCTTCGACATCAAGGCGGATATATATCCCTTGCTCTTGCCAATTTGCGCCTCATTATGTTGTGCCATTATCTTCCGATCATCCAGCACAACATGCACAGTGGACGTCACGCAAAAGTGCTCGTCCTGGTATGCCTCAGCGAAAGACCATGTACATGCGTGCAAACGTCCCAGCGGGGAAGCGGATCGCCACTATATATAGACACGTTTGCACAACAATTTCCGTGGTGAGTGGGGAACGGCCCGGGTTGAGATGGGATGCAACGGTGGTGGGAGGTTGCGTTCAGACAATCTGGGGGACAACTGTGCATTGGAAGTCGACCGAAACAAGACTGGTCAGGCGTGGGAAGAGTTCCGCACCTGACCAATCTCCCGAGGGCTCATGCCACCCTCAAGGGTTCTGTACCCCCGAACCCCGAAATGCGCGTAATGAGTTACTCTTAAGCTTATGCTTATGTGGCGCGAGTACGTGATCAATTCGGTCATGTATCACGGTCACCAATTAAATCCGACGGATCCGCGGACCTGGCAGAAAGTCACCCAGCCCTGGAGCACTCTTGGGTGTTCCTGGACTTGAAAGCATTTAAGAACACTCAGGGAACTGGAGGTGGTCTTTCTTGTTCAAAATCGTAAGCCGCAGGATCCATTAAGGATCTATTGCAGGTTGTGGAAGACATTCGGAGAGGACTGAACCTGGTCTTTTGGAATATCGTTATTGATTCTGATTTAGTGGAGTGGGATTGAATAACCTGGTTATGCAAGGTATCATAATGATGGGATTATCCAGTCGTCTGCTTTCTTTCCCCAAGAAAGTCCCTCAAAATCATTCCCTGATAGTTTATCCCCGCGCATGAAGCTGAAGCCCGCTGCGAGGGTTATAAAGTCGACCCATGCGTTGCCTGGTCATCTAATCTCCTCAGCTGCCTCTGGTCTTTGTTTTGAGCATGTGTGGCAAGGAGGCGCGTCTGCTGCATTCGTCACTTTCAACACCTGGAACAGAAGCCTCCCAGGTGGATCTATGTCCTCGTTCGAGTAGCATCCGGCGTGCTGAAGCTGCCAAGCTCAACGACCCCACAAGCCTACCTTACTCGGTATTCTCCCGCCACCACAAGTGGCTTATTGTTTTCCTTGCCGCTTATGCTGGTCTCATTTCGCCTCTCGCTGGAAATATCTTTTACATCGCCATCCCTCAATTAGTCAGAGCCTTCCACAAGACAACCCAGCAGATAAAGTCTGCTTCTTCTTCTTCACTTTATTGTCAATCTTATTTATCACTGCTTCCGTGTAGCCTGATTGTGACGGCATATATGATTTTCCAGGGAATAAGTGCGTCATTTTCTTCCCATACTTCTCGGCTGGCATATTTCTGGACACTTTCTCATGATCACAGCTCCTATCCTGTGGGGAACGTTGGCAGAGGTGTATGGGAGGAGGTATCAATTACTGCCCTTTCCCTCTAACTCTACAATCAACCCATCCTTCAGGCCTGTCTATCTCACTTCTCTCGCATTCGTTGTGTCTACATCTGTCGGCCTTGCGTTAGTTCCAACGCCCAAATACTGGCTTCTTGTGCTACTGCGGTGTATTTCCTCATCAGGCGGTGCCGTTGTCATCCCCCTTGGTGTGTCATTCTGCTACTCAGTACACCAAAAAATATTCACCATCTGTGCTCTTCAGGGAGCGGGATCGTGAGTGACATTGCTGCCACTTCGGAACGTGGAATGTTTATGGGTGAGCAATTTATTTAGTGATAGGGCTGAAAGTCGAGGTCATTAAGAGTTTTCGGCCGCGCGGTTCAGGAATGGTGAATTTGGGTCCGATGCTAGGGCCTTGCCTGGGGTACGCAGCGAGCTCGCGATCTGATGCATTTTTTTCCCTCAAAACCTCCAACAGGCCAGTAATAGGAGGGTTTATCGACCGTTACCTTGGCTGGCGAGCAGTCTTTTGGTTCTTGTCAATTTTCACTGCATGCTGTCTTGTGCTTCACTTCTGGTTTCTCCCGGAGACATTGCGAACCATTCGAGGAAATGGGAGCATTCCTTCAAGCGGGATCAGCATGACACTGTTGGATATGTGCAGGAAGATTTGTCGGGGTGGCAAGGAGGAACCATGGACTGAGTTGATGTTAGCTGCCGAACATGAACGGAAGATGTTCGTCGAGCAGAAGAAAACCGTTCATCTGGTGCCTTTTAAGGTCTCTCACAACATGGGATTCAGTACTTACTTCCTCCCATAGCTGCGCACGCTTCACTATTTTTTCGAGAAAGACGTATCAATCCTTCTCTTTTTCAATGGAGTGAACTTCATGAATATGTACATAGTCGTATGTAACCCATTTCGACTTCGTCACGTCCCCATTGACAATCGTTCTTATAGACGGCCACCACCGCGACCATAATGCAGGATACATATGGGCTGGGTCCGAGTGATGCAGGTCTTTGCTAGTAAGCAACCATGGCCATGGCTACACTCCAAGGACCCATGACATTCCAACAGTCTTCCCTTTGGTACTGGAATGGCTGTGGGCAGTGTCATAGCTGGAAGACTGATCGATCGCGATTTCCACTCTACTCTCGCAAGCTACATGCGGGATCGTCGTTACGATCGCGAAGAGCATCTTCCAAATTCACTGAGAGATATAAAGAATGGTAAGAAATCGTTGTCAGAAGAAGAGATGCTCCGGTTCCCTCTTGAACATGCAAGGCTCAAGTCGTCTCCGATTTGTAATATTCTCGCTTTTGCCATCGTCGAGCCAACCACTTACCCTTCCATCCTAGACGACCTTGTTCTTTGGTCCTGCATCGTAGCCTATGGATGGTCTGTACATTTTAAAGTCCATCTTGCTGTCCCTCTCATCTTTCAGTTCTTCCGTACGTCATACCGCTCTGTTAGGTGCAGCTTCTGATGATTTTCTAGAGGGCCTTGGTCAGGTCGCATCGAGCCAGTCTATTACTGTGCTGTTAATGGATCTCTATCCTGGAGAGGGAGCATCCATTGCCGCCAATGTAAGCATCTCATGTCTGTGTTCTAGCCCAGTGATTTGTGAACATCCTTACAGATCTACCTGGTAAGTGGGGAATTCACCACGGCCGCAGATTACTCCGACTTTACCGGATGGGTGATTACAGACTCGCTCCCTGATCGGGGCTATTGCTATCGCGATCATCGATCCGCTTCGCCGCGCCGTGGGAATGGGCCCAGCGATGGTGCGTGATCTGATATTAAGCCCTTCTCGTGAACTTGTCGTGAACTGTGTCTCGTCTGATCCTGGGAATTGGTCTAGATGGTCATTGTTAGCGTTCCCTTGTGCCTCCTTCCTCTCATGTTTCTTGAACGGAGGCGTGGAATGAGATGGCGTCAAAAACGCGCGGCAAGAGGTGCAACTGCCAACTGCTCCGACCCGGCTCAGAATAATATCCCTGATATCAGTGGCCGGACTACCCCGATACAGGGGTAGATGGCCCTATACAGCTTTCATCTCTTCCTAGAACTCCTAGTTGGGATTACTTGCAAACTTCTTCGTAATCATCTCACCGTCATTGTCTATAACTCTTCGTCTGCAGCGGGTTTACAAAAACCGCGTTCTATGGCCGTCCTCGTGCAGGACAACAACCAACAGACTGCCCCTTGTGTTCGTATTTATGAATTGTGAAGCAGAAAACAAAATGTTGTACAGGATCACCATCTTGAAAGGAAATGAAAAGTGAGCCGAGGCGAGGGCTGCGCCAATATCGACCTGCCCGGTGACCTGCAGCAACAGAAAACCTCCCAAACTCCATCACACATCAACCAGCTCCCACTGCCGAGTCAACAAAAATGGGTATACATGTGGGAGCACTTGTTGGAGATGTACGTACTTTCTGTGATGTATCGCCGTCTATGTATTTGAGGCGAACCTACGCAAGGTTTTATCTAAGGGCTGGTCAGGGCTATATCTCGATACGCAGGGCTCACATTAGCCTCAGGGTCGTCCGTCTGAGAAATGGCTAAAGTAGTATCGGGTACCAGAAGTACGTATGATTCCTCTCCGGCAATCTTTCGAATTGCCCAAAGACTATCTGGTAGTTCATTTCCAAGCGCTTCGTCTCCGTGGAATGATCTAAGGGCTTGGACGGGCAGATCGGTTGTAGGAGGTGAAATCCAGGACAGGATATATCTCTCTGACTTAGGATTCCGAATTCGATAATTATCACCCACGAGCTCAACTTCCCACTTTGTCGAAGTCAAATTCAGCATACTGAAAGCGAGTGGATCATTAATAACAATAATGAGACCGCACCTCCTGGGTATCGTAGTCCGCTGCAGTTGGTTCGGAACTCGAGACGGCTATTCCATTATGCTCTCCTTTCTCGAACGTGATCCTATCCCCTGTCCCCCTGTTCTTGAAGAACATCCGTCTCATACTAAACCCGTTAATGAGTTCATCGTATCCTTGATTGAGGTCACAAGTCAAAAACCCCTTACGAAGCGACAGGTTCGGCACTATGATCTATTCCGCCCGATCTGAGATAGTCCTGAGCTCGCCGCTGTGCATCTGCATTTATGTCTGCCTTTGACTTGCTATATTTGGGCTCATCAAGTGGGGGAATGCGGTGACCCGGCCTTTCCGGATCTTCAAAAGTCCACTACCAGGGGAGTCGACGTAACCCACTCAGCTTCCGCCACTGCAGACCACAGTTTCCGTACACATACTGCTGTAGCTTGGGAAACTGGAGTCTTGATAAGATTTACCTATTAGCACGCCCCGAATTGTGGACATTCACATTAGCTTTGATGTCTGATCCAATCTCAATGCGCTTACCAAACGATCGGACGGTCTCCGTTCCCACAATCTGCCATCCGGTAATGAGATGCTTTTTACGAAGTGAATATGTCAGTGTACAAGGCATGCCTGATAACGGAAACGGAGGCACCTAAACATGGAGTTCGTGATATGTGTGATCTTCCATTCTCTGAAGTTGCTCAGTTGATCATCTACATCATCACAAGTCAAAATGGAAGAACTGTGTGATGGATGGACCCACGCACAGAAAATGGAATCAGGATGATCAGGGCTCGGTCTAGTTCTCTCGAATGCACCGTCATATATATGAGGTGCGGAAATGGCGTACGCTCCTGTGTCCTGACTAAACCTTATGGTATGCTAGAACATTCCCGAACCAATTGTAAACACATTGGTGAACCGCAAAGGCGGAAGGGGAAGACATACCTTGAATGAGGGTAGCGCCGCGGGTAATGACGATCGATGAACACCGATGGAGCCTGCGTTTGCTACGTGACCTGTAGAATTCATGACGGCATCGTCTCCTGGTGGTAAAAGGCTTTTGATGTAATACTGGAGTTTGAAACGGGATTGTAGCACATGTCAGCGCAGATCCGATGAGAGAGGCGTTCCCTCCACGATGTTGCACTTGCCGTTCCATCTGGGATGATTGCCATGGTTTATAAGTAGCCGCGTCCTTCAACGAAAACAAGTTGGAGTCACGAAAAGGAAAGACGTGCTGCCTCGATCACTAAATGGTTGAATCGGACGGTATCTATATATTGGATATGGCCGGTCAATTGTACACCCTGCGACCACAGTCACAAAGTCATTGATCAGATATGAAAAACAACAGATAGAGAAGCAGAGGGCGCAATCGGGGCGAGCAAATACGGCAGAATGATAAACCTCGACGGCGCGCAGTGCCATGAACCGAGCGCAAACAGTCGCTACTTACATAAGGCTACCTTCCTCATCGCTTCAATATACAAAGAATCAAAAATGCGAAAGTAAAGAACATCTGTTCTGATCACGAGCTGATATTTGCGGAGTTTGCCCTTGATTCTGCGTAGCGGAGTCTTTGATGTTGCGCATGCCTGTTTCATCACTGGGCTACCTTACTTGTCCTCTTTTTTTGGTTAGCTCGCTGTGCCTTTTAGGACTGGACGTGTTTCTATGCAATCCAAAGGGGTCACACTGACGCATACTGGGATGCGATTTTTTGTAGTACTCACACCCAGGAGTGTAGGACGAGTCCAAACGGCTGCACTCTCTGATGGTTGGCTATGTGATTTCGTGCAGCCCCATTTTTGCCCTTGGGTCAGGAAAGTGATTAGGTGTAACACCAGTCTCTATCAGAACAGAGTCGTGATGTGCCAGCGCGATAGCTCATCATGACTCTATAGTTTGTGTCGAAGCTGCGGGTCTCCTGCCTGACGAGGGCCTGAATATACCAAAATCACGATCAAGGTGATTATCTTTATAAGCGTGCAGCGAAGGGCATGCGCAAGTTAGTTCATCATTTTCATTGTTCGAACTCGAACTCTTGCCGCATGATGATTGGACCGAACTACTCGCATTCTCGTCCTCACCATCTGGGTGTTTGCCTGATGGTATCGACTTAGTGCTGGAGCCCCTTTAAGGCCATCTTTTAGATTGTGTTGTCGGATGACATCTGTCATCGTGCAGATGGTTAATACAGCATAAGTCAAATCTAGCGGCACCGCCCATCCTCCAATTTATGAGTGAGTGCTTGTTTCCAAAGGCTGGATTGATTGGAGCCAGCGATAATGCCGGAATTTGTAGTTGGATATGGCCAAGTTGCAATATCGCAAAGAGTTGCCAGGTTTTGCTTCTTGATCTGTTACCCTGGGAAGGGTCGATCGATCATTGCCAATGGACGCCGCCTTTCCGCTCAGATTTCGTCCACTTAGAATAATCCCGTATGTTTTCGGAGAACCCTAGCTTAAAGTACGATGTTTAGTAAGTGCCATCGCGACAGCCGTGATTGATCCAATCATGAAAGCGATCAATTTTGGACCTACGATGGTTTGTCAACCCTGCTGCTGTACGTGGCACCAACGACCGTTAGTTTGTTCCCACGGCCTCCGGGAGTTGCCGGAGGCACCAAATCAATTCAATCCAAAATCTTCGTGCGACATGCGACAAACTGGTCGTTATAGTAACAGCATTTCGTGAGAGACACGTCGTACGAGTTATCAAACGCGGTTGGGGGTCAAATCGGTAGCGAATAAAATAGCAGCCGACGACTTGTGATCGCAGCTAAGGTGCTAGATAAAGGTTGCGCCGCGGATATTGTAGGGGTGAGCGCAGACAAGATCTTTGCCAAGGGCTGAGCTGCGAAGCAGATAGGAAGACCACATAAATAAAATGTACGTATACGATAACTGCCAGACCAGTAGGCCAGTGACCTTTTCTAGAGCACATGGCTGTCAGTGGCTACATAATACATGTATACAATATGTTGCCGCTTGAAGCCTGAACTTTGTCCTCTCTTTACAAGGACCCCTTTGACTTCATGGCCTCACTATCCGAAACACCAATTGAAATCCTCGCCTACCTCGAACATCCTTTTGACCTTCTCGCATTGCTTGTCACGGCTTGTAATTCCCGAGTACCTAACCTCCGAAGTTTGGAGGACATTCTGTGATAATGGGCGTTTTTCGCGAAACATTAGACATGTTTGGGCGGGGGATTGGCTGCGTGTACCGCCTTTGGAACATTTGAAAGTTACGCGAATCTGGCGAAGATTCCGAGCAGGAGTACCAGGTCCAGGAAATCCTGGGCCACGCCTGGGATACAGGCGCCTGTCTGTAGTTTCACATCAAATGGAGTCTTAGTGATCTCACTTGGGAAACACCATCAAGTTGACTGCATTAGAACACTACGGAATGTTACATGGAGTTGATGCCGAGGAAAGCAAATTTCTTTCAAATATTACAAGTCGGACGAGTGGTGTTTGATCCCCCTGGCAACAGGATACCGTGCACTTCAAAACCAATCCCGTTCAAGGTCGGACGCAGGGCTTTATCGGAACGCACAAGGAGTGATCGCCTTGGGCTGCCCTGAGCCAGATGGTCAGCATCCGGAAGCGATAATGCGTGCCATCTCTCACGGTTGAATGTTTTGACGAACATCAACAGGACAGGGCATGAGACGCATCCTGTGCTGTTGTGATGTTCCCTGGCTTTTCGTGAAACACCTGGCACTCGGAAAACTGCTCACAAAAGATAGGTGGACTAGATTGATGGGTGACCACACTCACATACCCGCCAGCGAAGGATAGAGCAAAGCTTTTCAATATTGGGACCTTGACCATCCAATGAGTCGAAACGAGATGCATCGTTTACATAAAACTAAGATACGTGACAAAACTCAAAGAACCTGGCTCACTTTCGTGAGACAACACTGTGGAAAGCGGCAAACGAATGTCAAACTAGCAATTAGCATACGTGTGCTTATTCCGAACCTTCCCAATATTTGCCTAGAGGATGACATCAAATAATACCAAATAAAAGAAAAGAAACACACTTCTGTTGTCGTCCATCTTCGAAGATGGTCTTAATCGCCATGAAAGTCCACAAGGTTGGCCAATGATTTCGATGTAAATGAATCAGCTTCGCCGTTAGACGCTGATAAATCTCAGGCTGTCGTGTGATCAAAGCCCAATGGCATAATTGACGAGGTAAGGACGAGAGGGTTCCAATTGCTGTGCGGCCTCATCCAAATGTGTCATAAATCTCTCCGCATCAAACTCCCATCGAAAAAAGTGACCGCTCTTCTCAAGCTCCAAGTCATGCATCACAATTGGGATGATTTCTGGAAGAAGCGGGACCAGGTTGGTAGAGGCGATCCGAGGTGGAATGCGACGTCGCAAGGGTTTGCGCTTGCGCACGCGCCGGAGGTAGCGGTTATAACAGTTGCTATTATCACCCGAGTTCACTAAAATATTACGCCGATATAGGCGTACTTGAAATGAAATCATCATCAACAATCGTCAAATCCGCCAGGCATGTACCTCAGGATCGGAGTTACTTTGACTGCCATCCAAACATGGGCAACAATATCACACCTGTTGTTATCCCAACCTTCAGCGCGGTTCAGCTGAATTTCAGATGCGTGGGTTATGTTTCCACGGCCCTCTGAGGTGCTAAAACTATCGTCATTGAGGGCTTCTTCGTTCACGGTCCATGATCATTGGCTATTCCTTGTCCATTAATTCCATAAATCGCGTCCCCGTCCGCTCATAATTGGATCGATGAGCTCAGTATCGTATTACCAGATGCCCCCCACTGCCGGTTCCTCGGATGCTGCGAATTCTGGCAGTACATCACACAGGCGAAGTGGAAGCACTTCACAGCTGATGCACTTTGTGACATTCTATGTACGTCATGGAACCGTGAACAAATTTCTAAGGTTCTCACTTTCAATCGTGAATTTCTGACCTGGAAAGGAAGAGGAGGCCAAATACATGCAGGCGATGAATGGCGCAGATAGTGTTGTCTGGAAATGCGGAATATTGTTGACTTCATAATCCTCAGACATCACAGCGATCGTCTGATGGGCGCGCACGTATCGGTTTGCATCGTCTGTACTCGCATAATGAGTATATATACACCATCTGGAGCGCACGCCGAACACATTCTACTCGTCTGATGTCACTTCTCCCGTTGTCTCCGAATGGCAGTTGTCCTCAGTAACCATGCGACATTCTCGTACACGACAAAGGTGACCGCACGTTCCAGCAACACTCTAATAAGATTCGTCCCTAGTCCCCTATAAAATCCCCGATAGCCTTCGTCCTGCCATGTTTTACGAGTGCAGGTACGGAGATTTGGATAGAGGTGGTTTGTAGCGTTGTTTTGCAAGCGAGAGCGGATGACTTGGTATGGGTATGTAGAAGCAAGCGCAAGGAGCTTAGCAGCAGCCGACACGAATGTATATGTGGCGTTTGACTGTACAAATGTAAATGGGTCGAAGAAATGACCGGCATCGATGCGCTGATAGATGTGAAACTCGGACAAACGTACCAGCTTCTCTTCACCTTCCCTCCACATTCCGCCTTGCTTTCAATTCTCCGCCGTTTTCTGTAGAAAGCAAAATTCTTCATCTGTTCGTACGCCATGAATTGTAGAGCCCCCGAGCTGACGCCGAAGAGCCCTAAGGAAGTCCCTCTATAGAGACCCCGCACACCTTCGGTGCGAACGATTGATGTTAAGCCATCTGAAGATTTAAAGGGAATTAGTTTGAGTTGTCTGGTGGCTGAATAAGCCCTTACGTGCCACGCTTCTATATGCATCTGGAGCATCAGCACGTGTAGTGAACATTCGAACTTTCACCACCCATAGAGGGTTAGTAAGCACCGCTGTTATGGCGCCTAGAGGCAAAGAAAATTATTTTGAGACGAGTATGCAAAGGATCGAGCAGGCGAACTGGCTTCTGCAGATGCTAACAAATAATCTCCCGAAGTGAGCTTCTCTGAGCCGTCCGTTGCTAATCGACCCTTTATTATAGTGTAGCTAACAGCGAATGTCAAAATTAAACGCGGAACCGACACCCGACGATTGCTCACAGCCAGAAATACAAGCCCCAGCCTGCTGCATTCCCTGCGACATTGGAACCAATACCTCGATATAAACCCTTCCACCCAGAGTCGCGCTTGATGCCCGTAAGGGAGTTGTATATTTGTTTCAAAGGATTAGAATTCCCGGGTGGTGGCGACGTTGATACCTGGAATTTGATCTTGAGGAGATCAAGCGGATGCACGCAGCAAACTGCGACGGTCCCAGCCGTTATCCCGGCGAACGAATGGTCCTGCCGATGTGCACAGAGGTCATCAGGTAGTCAGGCTCCAGAAATTGGAAATTTTTAACCTACGAGGGCTGGTGTTGGGAAAAAACTAGGACCCGTCGACATGCCACTGGACACTCTACCCCAATGAAGGGCGATAATGTGCCTAACTGGGGTCGTACTGGGGTCGTACCAAAGGTGTATGGATCGAGTAGGAAGATTGAGCAAACCTTTCGGTGGCAGTGCTGTAACTTCTCGTGCCGGCCGGCTCCGACTGTCATGGCTAATTTACCGCCCACCAAGCATTGCGCCCTTCCGCGACAATGGGCCAGCGGCGCAAGGACATGGCGCATACATGACTATTAAATATAAGGTGGCCACGTTCGATGTGGTGCTGGGTGGACCGCTCACTTGTGGCTTTCATAATGGTGTCAAGCGTGAATATATATCAAGAATCCCTCGATGGCGTGGTTTCGTATGGGGTCCACACAATATTATCTTAGGGGTTGCAATACATCTTGACACGTAGATGTTTCGTATTCTCAATATTATAGCATGTCAGTGACTTTATGGGAGCTACATATGGGGCAACCCAAACGGCTCAGGAATGTGTATTGAGTTTTCATTCCGTTGTTTACTAGTGGACAACACTTAGACTCGACATCAAAGCATGTGTTCCTCGGGACCCATAGCTTATTTCCATCGACGTCAATGACGCCGTTGACTTTGCACTTATAACTGGGGTTATTCCAGGGGCCTCGAGTCCCATCTCACGAACGCCCTCGCGATTCACCTCACCTTTCTCAGTTTCCTCGATCGTCTGATTCATGTAACGTCCGGACATCAGGCCAACAACTACTCAACGAAGGACAATTCGTCATACCTCAAACTCCAGTCGGGAGTAAATTGGTTTAGCCCGATCCCCAGTGGCTGGGAGGTAGACAGGTGCGGGAGGATTTGAGCCAACGGCTCTGCTTATGACCGAATTCATGAGAATTCTCGCATACCCTACGAATGTATGATTAGTCCCATAGACTTCAAGGCAACAAGATCGACCACCCTTCGATTCGTGCCTAGGATCAGTGAGATCAACCGTCCAGATTCCTCTGGTTTTGAGCCTCGAGCGCAGCATGCTCTTCGCGAAAAACTCATCCGATCGTTGGGAAAACTGAGTCCACTACTGGGTGTTTCCGGCTGGTAGGGAGGGGGGGGGGGTGAAAGCGTTGTCGCACCTGGTTCTTTAGCTCACTCGGAACCCAGAAGCAGGGACTTCAGTGGGCCTTGAACCGAGGGTGGAGTGGCGTCGACATCTTGTCCAACTTCCATATTTTTAATGGAGGATTGTCACTCGAACTCCTCCCGTGCTCTAGCGATAGGATCTGTCCAGCTTGATACTGAAATCTGGTGGAGGAAGTCCAGGAAAGTTCTCGACATTCTGTTACAAGTTCCGAATCCCATCACGCACGTAAGCACGCACTAAAATTGTGCGAGACCTTCGCTGGCTGCCTTTTGAATATAGAGCTCTTCATCACGAATTCTGTAAAGACCTTGGGCCTAACAATGAGGACGTTTTGCTGCGGAACGTAGTCCACTACTTTCCAGATAGAACTTGAGCCACAATAGGTGGATCGGCGTCACCTAGATGTGGAGACCGGGGCTACAGGCGTCGGGGCAAAGAGCGGGAGAAGAA